GTATCGAAAATTTCCATTTTTATTGCCAAATTGGTTACTCCAGTAAATTCCAGCTGTTCTAATTTTTTTTTAATAATTTATGATGTTAGTGAGTTTCATTGCAATTATTTGTTACTTAAATTTTCTGCGTATTAAACCTTAATTAACAATACGCTATTCGTTAACGCAGGTAGAATTAATGACGCTGACTAACCTGATTTTGTCCAGGGGGGCGTAGTACGGTAGCTTGTACTGTAATGTTTGGTAGTTTGGCGGTGAGCTCTCATTTATAAAACTGGGGAATGTTTCGTTATCTTCAAATCGTAAACACGTATCATTAGAATTATATTTTTAAAATATTGATTACGACATGTACTAAGTAACTAAATGCTCTAGCAAAAATATTCACACATATTGCGGAAAACGTACAAATTTATATTAGAGAAAATTAACTATTTTTAGAGGTTGGTTTTTCAAAAAGGCGGGGATTTAGTTAAAGAACAGATAGAGACTAAAGGGAAGCTCTATGAGAAAAGTTAGAATTAAAAAATCGATGTTTTCGTGTCATAGCGCAAGATGGATTATTATTAAAAATAATACTTGCATTAATTGTTGTCACCATTTGTGAAAAATATGGAAAATATCCTCTAGGTTCGCATACCTTTTTTTAATTTTTTTTAAGGTGGCTAACAAAATACACAGACAGAAAAGTTTAGATCCTGTTCGTTAATGTAGTGCATAGAAAAAAATTAGAAAAGAGAACGTTTCGTGTATGGCATTCGTAGTTAGTACGGAATATTAATCTGAAGGCTGCAAGACAGTGAAAGAGTGATGCGCTTAAGTGTGGTTCAGAGAGGTTATTTGGGCTGTAGAAGTTTTTCTTTGAACAGGGTTCAAATAGCGTCTCCTAGAGCGTTAGCAGAGAAGAGTATTACCGTAATTAGTATAAGCGTCCAGATTTCATTGTTGTTGAGATTGGCATAGAAACACACTTTTATGTAGTAGTAGCAGCAGCTATATGTATAAGTATATGAATTTTTAGTTAAGATGCCTTTCGAGTTTGCTTTATGGCTTGATAGGAAATTAAAGGGTAGATACAGATAAGTTACGAAAAAAAGTATGTACACTATCCTCAAAGATCAGCAATAAATAAAAGAAATTGATGAAATAGTAAAGTTGACTGCGATATCTTAAAATCATCAATAAGATAGATAAATTAATTTTGAAAATATTAAATAATAAAAACAAATAATAAAATAGCAAAGAAAATCAAAATCATCAATAAGATAGATAAATTAATTTTGTAAATATTAAATAATAAAAATAAAATTATAATAGCAAAGAAAGCCTACCACGGCCACATACACATAATATTTTCGACATATGAATTTTTCCCAGATAAATAGTCAAATATTTCACGATACCTTAAAACAGAAGCATGCGGAAATATGTATGAAGTTAACGCCCGGTAGATGGCTTAGTAAATTAAAAAGGTATATGGTTTCTAATATCCTACTTTATTAATGAAAATTTTAACCAGGTTTTTGTTTTGCAGATATTATTGGTGGTGCCTGCCAGCTTCCAGTTCCGAAAAAAGAAATCAAACACTTTTCGTCTTTATTTCCCCTGTCCTTTGTGCACAATAAAAGTACAGTTTGTACCCGCGAGGGTACACATTCGCAGAACTATATGTTTTTAAAATAAATTGTTTTTGTCAATATTCACTAGGTGGGGTTACCTTATTAAAGAAAATCTTCGAACCGCTAGAGGGTGCAGATGGTCACGCGAACAATATGATCAAGTCTCATTGCCGCCATTGCTTTTCTTTGGGGTGGGAAAATATCTGGGCTCTGATTGGCTTCGCCGCCATCGCAAACTAGAGGTGGGGAGATTGATTAATCCCCATTGGTGCTTGCTTATCCAATGGGAGCCAGTTTCAAGGGATTATGGGTAAAGGGGGAGGAGCTAGAGAGTCGTGGGTAAGGAGGACACCCCACAAAAAGGGAGAGGAGTGGGGGAAGCCTATATTGTACTTAATAACTACTCTGGATGTAACGATACTGTTTATTTTTGATAAGAAGGTTCCTAAGATTTTATTATGAGAAAGTTTTGTGAGAATGTATAATAAATAACCAACAACCTTAACCTCGTCATCTTACCAGGTTTTCCCCTACATAGTCTCATTAGGGAGAGTGCAGAAACGTTTTTTAAGCCACATAGCCTACAAAATGCACATTCAGATGGAGAAAATTAACAACAATGAATTAAAGATAAAGATAAAAATATCTTTATTTCATATTTACAAGTGTTGGATATTGTCAGAGCATTTGAATTTTGTTGGACTAGTTACCTCCTTTAGTTCGATAGCCAATTTATTATAAATTATTACAGTCAAAACAAAGGGACTATTTGCTATAAGAGACAGTCGATGTGTAAGTATTTTTATGTTAAGATTCGCTCTTAAACTGTACTGAATATCTGAGTTTCTTGAGAGCAAATAAAGATTAAGTGACTTTTTACATACGTGGCACAATTTAGTATGTACATTCTAGGACGTGTCAATAAAGAGCGTTGTGGAAACAGGTCCCGATATGAGAAATTCCAGGGCTTAAACAGTATAGCCCGTAAAATGCGTTTCCGCATCCTAAAGATTTGATCCGCACGTGGGGAACCTCCCCAACAAACCAAGGCATAGTTGAGACAGGAATAGACATACGAAAAATAGTACATTTTTAACAAGGGGAAAGAAACCTGATGGCGGAGCCTCCATATGACAAAGCAGTAAACAGAAAGTTTTTTGAGAATGTGGTCCACCTGTTCGAACCAGGAGAGTCTCGAGTCTACATAAACTCCGATGAATTTTACAACACTTTTCTGTTGAATTGTGCTTTCATTAAAGTGTACTTATAAACTCTTATTTAAGTCCCGTGTTGAAAAGGCCATCATCTCAGTTTTACCTTCATTCAATATCAATTTGTTAATTTCTGCATAATGTTTCATTTGCTCAACAGTTGCGTTGGTTGCAATGCTAAGTTGCTCAGACGATGCTGCTGAATGCTGAAATAATTGTTGCACCGTTTTTTTTATGGAGTGGTGTGATTACCGCATTTTTTAGAATGCTGGGAAAGGATCCATGCAAAAAGGAATAATTAATGAGATATGTCATCGGTTCTGCAATAGTGTCGACCATATGCCCTAACACAGCGCAGGGAATGCCGGCCGTCCGAACCCGCTGAATACTTCTTAGTGACAGACAACATTATATTACTAACTTAAATAAATATGGACTTAAATACATGGCTCTCTGCAAGACAAGATTTTTATGAATTGAGTGATGTATTTAATATTCAAACTTTCAAAAGTCGTAGAAAAACTAGTGAATAATCATGTTGATTGTACTCAACTTCTATCAGATATTAACTTTAATGCACCTATAAAATAATAATAATAATTATTATTGTGTTAGGTGGCTTTTTCATTTTGTTGCCCGATGTTATGACATTATTATTATTATTAAAATGCATGTATAAAGTGATTCTTACACTCGTAGAAAAACTAGTAAACAATTATTTATAATCTGCCATATTGAACTAGCTGTATGTTTATTGCTATTGATTCCACGATTTTAAATTTTCTTGCTTTTTACTTAATACCAAAAAACTTTTTGTTTAAGTAGTAATTTTTATTGTCACCTTATTCTCCCGATATTTCTACTGTCGATTTTTCTAACATTGCGTGGAAAGCAAGATAGATAAGAATCTGTAGTGGTACTTAATAATAATAAAAAATATTCAAGAAAGCAACAGTATCGAATGTAAAAAACGTATTTATAAAATTAACCATTTTCAAAAACTTACAAAAACGTTCCCGTTAATATCGGGTTAACTTCTTTTTTATTTTCTAGGCTTTTGTTTAACCAAATCAAATCAAATTGTACGTTTGACTCAGAAATCGACAGAGGTAAGTCCAATCCGCAGCGGTATAAAAAATTAAAGTGTATTTCAGAAAGGTGTAGAGTAATTAAAGCTCATTAAGTATGCAAAGTGACTACAGAGTAACCTTTTATTGTTTGGTATTGATTTTATTGCCAAATTCTTTCTTTTTACTGTGCTGGTAAAAAAATAGAAATAGGTATGAAGATAGAATTAGATACCTTTAATTTGCATTTTAGGTTCAAAGTAAGAATAACATAAAAATAGATGAATTGTGAAAAATATTATAATTAAAAAAAATACTATTTACAATACAACTACATTTATAAATTTTATGTACCGAATAGTCAGCTGAGGAATAATAAGGGGCTCCCTAGTGTTTTCTAGCATGTTAACAGATTCACACATTCGTTTATTTCAACGCATTTACTCCCTTATTCACAATCCACTCTCTTTATTCGCTGTGGTACGAGGGTTTCAACGTCCATTGAAAAATAATAATGTTAAACCTAAAATGGCAGAAGGCGGAAATCCCGCTACATTTCAACAGATGTTTATTCAAATTTACAATCTCCAGTCATATATTTTTTTGAAATTGCTCTCTATTTAAAGTAAAGTTCGAATTTTCTTGAGTGGCAGCTGGCATTGTCCATGACTACAACAGATCCAGCAGAAACAGGATCTAGCAGTTGCTGGAAGTAGTCTTCAAAAACATTCATTCATTTTTCACTTCAGACATTATTTTGTGCAAAGTAGGTATTTCTTTTTTTTAAGTAAAACAAGTCTATTATTCTTCTTTTCAACTTCTTTTCTTCTTGACTGGATGGCTGTCCAACTCCAGAATAATTGTTAAATACTCTAAAACATCTCACTAACTACTAAAGACTTCTAATAAGAGGACCTTTTTCACCGAAAAATTTGACTTTGACAAAAAACTTCCAAGTATTTAAAAATAAAACTTTGACAACCTGTTAAATTAAATTAAATTAAATTAAATAACATATATGCGTACTATCTTGCTAGCAAGGCACTTTTTTATACTGATTCGTCTAACAGACCGGGGAGGCAGCCGCTAATGAATAAACAACAAAGTAAACATTAATTTATTTAAGCAACATTTAAATAAAAATGTCGATTTTTCTTTACAATTATTAACAAGTGTAAAAAAGATAAGGAATCATTAAAAAAACAAATCGATCCGGTGTTCCGCGGCGATCCTTCGGCTTCATTTCGATCGCCGTCTAAATGGCCTTATCGAAATCGACTTATTTTTTTTATACACGCAAATTGTGTAACGGCAAACTTCGCAATTTTTCATGTTTTGATAATGTGTTTTCAAACGGGAGACGAATGATGCCCCTTTTGACGCTACTGGATGTTTAAAAAATTTATTTAATATTTTGGACATTTTACACAGTGCCGATCCGAAAGTACTGCCGGAAACATTCGTTTCCTAGGGACAACTTCCGAAGTCCGCATTCTTTCTTTCCCATAATGTACAAAAATCATCCCTTTTTTAAAAGGGTATGTACGAACTTTCATATGCTGTTCATCAGTTTTTTTTTTCACTCACTGTTCTATAGAGTCCATTTCTCATACAAACGGTGCTCATCTCCGATAGATTTTTTTTGTGCAAACGAATAAAACCTATATACCGGGTGGTTCACGGTGGGATATTAAATTACACAGACGAAGAGACAAAGAACATGCTATGTTGTTTCAACCGGTTTTTTACCCTTACCAAAACAAAAGTTCTTTACATTAATAGAAAACCGAACATACATGAAGGACGTTTCTTACATAATATTTTTGGAAATTCTAAGGGGGCTATTTAGTTAGTTTTCTTAAATAACAGATCCTGCATTTTCTTTGATTTTCGAATTTTGCGAAACAAATTATCCTTTACCGTTTGTGGGCAAAAATCTTTTCATAAATTTCTAATAATCTCACTACCTTTTGATTTTAATTTGCCTGGAATATTCTCACCATTATTTGGTCCCCTATTTGTTAATTAGTTTAGTTTTGTCAATTTTTAAAAAAAACTTCCACAAAAGTAACCAAAACTTCCACAAGCTACTATAATACTATTTACAAATTTTCTGGATTTCTCCTGCATTGGTTAGTTATATATCGAACTTGCTGACGTTTCGCCAATCATGCTGTTGGCTTAGGGCTTATTGGAAGCTGTTGAAGAGTGTGTTAAGCTCTAAAGAAGCCAACACTATTATTGGCGAAACGTCTGCAAGTTCGATTCATCAATAACCGACGCAGGAGGAATCCAGAAGATTTATAAATTAAATTATTACCTTATTCGGAAGGTTTCGCAGTTCTATACTCAAAAGTCCACATTTAAATACTACGTGTTTTGTTTCTACTTTAAACTTTGAAATTCAATTGAATGTTTAAATTAAGTTGTGCTCTTAAAACTGCTCTATGACATAATGGACTAAGTATTAATAAAACTTTAAGTAAATAATTAATTTAAATTTATTAAAGCACGAAAATAATTGTTGAAGCATGTAGTTATTTAAACTATATTCTTGTTTTGAGTTCCATTTCCTTTATTTCATTAATGTAATAATTCTTAATTATTATTATATTGTAATTATTAAGTGATATAGTTTAAGGAAACACTTGGATAAGATTTAAGATTTAATAATAATAATCATTTATTAACCATATCAAATATGGTCATAAATGAAAAATTAAAAAAAATTATTAGTAATATTAAAAAACAACGTTAACGTGATTAATGAACATGTATCCCAAAAAAAACATCCACAAACATCTTTGATTGGGTCATAAAAGTTGCTGATGACAAAATTTAAGTTTAGAAATTAGGATATTTTTACTTCATAGTTGTTTCTGAACCAACCATTATTCCCTGAGATATACTGCGTCCTTAGCATGAATATTGCATAAAATAATTTATAACTCCAAAACAAGAATACTTTTGCCTTCAAACAAGGGTATCTCTTTTTATGAAAAACTGTTTAGAAAATTTTATATCTACACACACTCAAAGGTATTTGTGGTGTAATTTCTTGTCTTAAGCCCATTTCAGAAATATTGAGACACATGTTTATTAACCAAACTAACGTTAATTAGAAAACAACCGAGCGTTTTTGAAACACCCAGTATAGAGGAAGTCCTACCTTTAAAAAAGTATTGCTAGAACTCCCCTAAAATCTTCCACTTTTCAAATACCTCGCGATAAATTATCTAAAATGCAATCTCCACAAACTGTCTTCGGAGATGTTCGGTTTTCCATTAAATTTAAAATTTTTAATTTTTTCAAGGGTTCGAAACGACCCTTGTGAAAAAACAGTAACAATACAGTAGAGTCGGAATTTGTGATACGTCATTTTTGTTTAACTGGCATTGACGATAGTTATGTTAAATTTCAATCTCAACATTATTTGGAAAAGTTTTCAATAATGCTGGGAAAAAAATACAAAATGAACAACAATAATTTTACTTTTAAAAATGATATGTATGCATGCTATGTGCACCATTGAAACTGTTTGACAAAATAATTGAAAAGAGACTACGATCAAAAGTAGAACCAACTTTAACTGAAACAAAAGAAATCATTTCGAGAAAATTGGCAAGACATAAACCGGTATACGTAGTGCCATACTTAGATATGGAAAAAGCGTTTGATAGAGTTCACCGAATAAAAACCTGGAAAAGCCTACAAGCTAGAAAGGTTGACAATGCTTATACAATTAAACAAGAAATTGTGTAATAAGTAAGAACATGAATTTATAACCCAAGACGTGAGGCAGGGAGGTAGTTTAAGCCCTTTAATATTCATAATTTATATGGACAGAACTGCGATCAAAAACTCTTTACGTTGGATACCGACAACTAGAATGTGTCATATCGGAATGGACATAGCAGGCATCTCAAAAGATATAGAGGAAAATCTAAATAACTGGGATCAGATATTGACACAAAACGGCAAAAAAATAAACATAAATAAAACCAAAGTTATGGCAGTATCAAACGAAAAAGAGAAATCAGAACAAGTGGGACACTAATAGAACAAGTTAGTAGGTTCCAGTTCTTGGGAATTATGTTCAAAGAAATAGGAGGCCCGAATACAGAATTAAATAATAAAATAGAAAAATAAAAAACAAATTTTCAAGGAAACTAAGATGAAAGTTTGCAAATCAATTTACAGACCAATCGTTGCATATGACTCTGAGTCGTGGGTATTGTCAGATAGGGACAAAAGCAAAATTGGACCAGCAGGGATGAAATACTTGAGGAGAATAAAAGGAATAACCAGAAGAGACAAAATAAGAAAAGAGTTAAAAGTAGAATCCATAGAAGAATTCATAGAAAAGAAACAATTTGGCTGGTGGGACCATTTACAGAGCCGCACTGTACCGGTTAAAAGAGTTTGGCAGAGTTAAAAGGATGGGAAAAAGGAAAAGAGGAATAATACCCAGAGAAACGTGGGACAGCATTTGGGAAAGATTGTGAAGAAGAGAACGAGGACATGGGTAAAAGCTAAAAATTTGGCCCTAAATAGAAAAGACTGGAAATAGATAGTTAGCTAGACGGCATGTAATGTTTATATATGTTTATAAAATAAATGATATTAAAACGCTACGCACGGAATGTTGCCTTAATATTCTCAAAGTAACATATTTTTGTCGAAGTATAGTGAAAGTGTCCCTGTCAATTAGCAACCTGTAATTTGTGTTTAACAAATGGGTATAATTCCGACTAAACTTCAATCAATTCGCCGTTGTGAGCCACCCGGTACAACGTACAACCACTAAAACTCTTAACACGCCGATACAGTTAAAAAGAATTGCAACGACCCCCCGTTTAGTACCCCGACGTCTCCTTAGGCCTCACACCTCCTACGTCTGTCTGTATGGGTAAAATTTGTCGCTGCTTGGGGCACATATATAACGAAGAATAGGGGGGGGGGGGATAAAATCAGACCTCCCGTCGGAAGCCGATGAGCGACCGCCCCGCACCCCACTATTCGGCGTCCGACGACATCGCCACGTCACCGTTGGTGCTAATCACCAACGCGTCGTCCTCGTTGAAGTCTATACTCAACACTGACGACCTCCGAACCCGCTTGGCGTGCGTCCTCTCCAACTCGGAGTCGGAATCGGTCCGGTCTTGTTCACAAACACTATTCGAGTCACCGTTCGCTCGTCCGTTCGCCATTTTCAAAGTACTGTTCTCCTTTTGCAACACCTGCGTCGCGTCCTTCGCTTTTTTCAATTCCGTCTGCAGGAAAAGGATGGTGCTCTGCATGCCCTCCACGTCCTCGTCGAGATCGGCGAGGAAAGCGTCCAGCTCGTTCTGCGACTGCCTCACCTCCTCCGAGAAGCTCTTCTGCAACGCGAGATCGCTTTCTAGCTTCGCGATCCTGCCCGAGCTAGTGATTTTGCCCAACTCCTCGTTTTCTTGGTACAGCAAGCGACACTTCGCCATCAGCCGTTTGCCGGTGTTGCTATCCGGCGTAAACTTCCACGCTGCCAGTTCGTTTTGCGTGCTCTCGAGTTTGTTTTTCGTCTCTTGGAGCTCTTGCCGTAGCTGGTGAACGAGGCTGTTCACGGCCGGGTCCAAGAGGGCCGTTCGTAACGACGACGACGAAGACGGAACCTGAGAGTTCTTCAATTCGTTGAGCTGACACTGCAGAAAACGAAATCGTCCTTACTTTGGATGCACGCCTATTTGTACAGTGAGCTTGAGGGGTGTGTCCGAAGATAGAGCATTGCGTTTTTGCAGACATTTGACATTTTTTTGTGAAACAAACGATGGCGTTAATTTTCATTACTTGCTTAGTTTTTAAACTACAGGGTCATTTTGGAAATTTCAAGTTTTGTGGCACCCCTCGTATCTCGGGTATCCTATGAAATGTCGTAACGTAGAATTCAGTAGCGTACTCAGTTTTTTTTCTAAATGGTTTCGTTTTTTTTTTTAATATTAAAGAACTTTTTTCATTTTAATGGCACACCCTATATATTGGGCAATTTGATTCCGCTTGGTATGAACTTCTAAAAAATCTATAACAGTATTTGCATAAATGGCTTCACAAAAATTTGTGGTAGGCCTTGGAAAAAGCATTTATTAAATATCTAAAAAAGTTATAATACGGACAATACTTATACAGAAACTTTCGTAATTTGCATGAGGCCAACTTAGTTTGCAGCTTTTCAAAGTTTGCGAATGCAACCTCTTGTTATTCTGAAAACTTTGGAGAGGATCGAAACTGTGTGTAGGTTGTTGTATTTTGAAAAGTACTTTTAACTTTGCAAATACTCGCTACTGTTATACATTTCTCAGAAGCTTATACCAAACGGAAACAAATCAAATCAAATGAAAAAAAAAAGACGAAACCGTTTAGAAAAAACTGACTATGCCACCGAATTCTACATAAAAATCTATATCGAATGCAACCTTTCCGACAGTTCAAAGGATACCAGTGATACGAGGCGTGCCCCTAAAGCTTCCAATTTCCAAAATCACCCCGTATTTTAAAAACTAAGCAAGTCATGAACATTTTGTTAACATCATCTTTCGTTGCACAAAAAAGAATCAAAGATTTGCGAAAACGCAAGGCTCTATCTTCATTAACAACGACCAACCTCTCAGTCGCGACCGAAATGGAACACAGTGTACAGTATGAGTAAAGCTAGCGGGTTGCTGTTTCTTTATGAAACGAAAGGTGACACAAATAGATATGCGTGTTGGTATTTTAGATTTTGAAAATTTTGCATTTGAAGGCACTCTTTGTGGTTCAGTTGTGCATTAACTTATAGAAGTTTAGGATGGGTTATGGGGCTGTCAGTTTTCTTCTGAATGTCCCCACTTGTGATATATAAACCTTTATAATATAATATAAACGAAAGATTTGTTCACTCAGAATATCTTTTATAATACCAGTGAATACTTCGAGATACTTAGGCAACTTTCAAATGAAATATCGTGGTTTGTCTATTCGTTGATTGTATTTGTTACTTCCCTATAGTATTGTCTCAACGTGATTTTGAAAGTACCGTTTGTTCTTATATAGCTTAGGTATCTGATTTCTGGTTAATTCTTTATTCTATTCTATAAAAAATGCTTCAAATACAAGCACATTCTTTTTTTATTACTAGGCAATGGAAAATAGTTGTATTGTGCGTGTGTGCAATATTAAACGCGAAATGATAAAATACCCCAATATCGAAACTCTCATTCATATTTTTTGTTAACATGAGCCATCGCAGAAGGAACAGGATGCAGAAATCAAAACAATAATTACGGAATATCATTACTGTTTGACGGCTCAAGCATATTCGAAAAAGGAAAAAAATAGACCCATGATTTTGATTTAAAATGTTATTTTTAAAAAGTTTAAAAAGTTCATAACATAAATAAAAATTATGTTCCATAAATAAAACACAAATTTAGTTTTAAAATCACCCTGTATCATTGCTCTTTGTGTTCCCTTTCAATTCGGAAAAAAGCACGCTTTATTATCAAAGGAGATAAAATGAAAAAAACATCAAAAATGGAATACACTGGAACTTAATAATGATAACAAGAATTTTAATAATGAGGTTTTTGTTTGGTGCCAAAAATGACGATGAAGTTCACCTACAGCCTTAAAATTTTAAACTTGTTACCTACTTCCGACACCAATACACGATTGCTACTACATTTTTCTGAGTAAGTTCCCCATAACACTTTTATTAATTACTTATAATTTTTTTTATTTTCTATGAAAATCCCCTTCAATAATCGAATATTTATAAAGAAATACTATAATGAAAATAAATTAAAATAAAAAACAGTAAATGAAATGAATAATTTTATGATTTTAGCGGGATAAACTTTTTTCTAAACAAAAAAAATACCAATTTTTAAGTATTGCTGGAACCTAGTGTTGGGGCTGGTCAATTCGTTAATTGACTGGTCAAATTCGATCAAAGTGTTTTAAATTACGTCTTGCAATTGTAGAGTATTAACTATCACTATTTAATAAAAATATGTATTTTATAATAAATTATTGTGCCTTTGTGGCGTCCTATTTACCAAGAAATACCCGAATAGGATACTTTGGGACTAGGGGAATCCCAATAAAAATATCCACTTTCAGAATGAAGTGACGGCGAGGTAAGGCACAATATAAATAAATAAACGTAAATTCCATGGTGTTTTTAAAATTATTTCGGTCAATTGACACAAAAAAATTGACCCGTCAATTCCACAACCCTACTGGTACCCTCAATTCCGAAAAGTTCCCACTAAATGTTTTCTTCTTAAATTGCACCAGCGATGCATAAAAATATTTTAAAAAACATATATCAAAAATCTCTGAAGATTATGGGGAACATTTGACGCCTATAATATGCCTTATACATTCATACAAATGACAAAGTCTCCGGATTCATTTTCGATTTTTAACGCTTTTAATTTCTTTTATTGGAAAGAATTTGGAAGTAATCTGTGTAATTGTATATCATCTATTTGGACAATACCGAAAAATAAATAAATAAAACAAAGTATCATAAACTCCACTCCAACTTAGTTGCAACATATTAAATCATATTTATATTGCTTAGATCAAATATTTTACTTGGGATTAAAAAAATTACCCAGGAAATAAAAGCGCTCTGTACTCTTGCCAAGGAACTGGATAACTCCATTTAGATGAAGGTGTTACTTAGCTTGATAACGCAGATTGTTTAATTAAAAACTTCCCCTAATTGGGTTCTATGCTCAGAGCATCCAATTGCAATAACAAAATTTTGCCTACATCAATAAATTAGGCGAAAAATAATTACATTAATAAATGTCATTTGGTTTTATTACACGTCCAACTTTGAATATTGATAATTTTTTAATTATTTCAAACAAATACCTACCACAAATAATTTATTGATAAAATAAAGTATGTACACATATCACAGATAAATATTAACCTAAGAAACCATCACACCACTCAAATGTTCTTAACTATGTCCAAATTCTGTGTTTTTATTAAACATTGGTCTAGAGTCACAGCATTTTGCGAGGTCTTTCCATTTTGGAACATCAGCATAGACTATCCTTTCTTCTTTCTTGACAGGCAGTTTATAGCTTAAACTTTATCAGTTTTTTACACTCTTGGTATGTCATCAATAATATCCACGGCATTGAATCCAAAAAACTTTGTCATTCATTTCTTATAACAAAAATAAAGTTTGAAACAAGAGAAAGTAAATTGTGCCCGACACCCACTTTACATTATTGATGACATGAAATATACAAAGTGAATCCATCGAATTTAACCTTAATTTATAAGAAAAGGGTAAAAAACTATGTAAAATGTGCACACACCCTTAGGTAGACTTACACAATTACCTAAAATAACACAGCATAATTATTCAGCTTTTACATAGCTTTTTGTTTTTAGTTTGATTAATCTCATTGGAATAGTTAGAATGTGTGTAAAAGACAAACAAGATGGCGGTATCCATTTTAGTTTGATGAGTCTCTTAATAAAAGTTAACTTTGACCAGCGAGATAAACTGGTTCATTGCCAATATTTAATGATACCATACCAATATAAATTATAAAACCAACACACAAATTATTAAACAGTGCTCCAAAATTGACAACTTCTGGCGCAACAATAAATAAATTCTACCTTTTGGATACCATTAGGGCAATGCAACCGATCCGATAATGGAAAACATTCAGTACATTGGTGGACTAGAATAACACTTTCCACTTGGATTAGTGATGAGGGGAACTTGAAAAAATTTGGAAATAACTAGTGGAACTCTTGAAGAACTGGGCACATAATCACTGTTCAAACAAATCGCACAACCGATCTTACTTTCTCCACCGATTGTTAAATTTTAGCTGTTACTTTGTAGACCAAATCATAACTCAGTTGTTTCACTAAAACGCCACATGTCATTCTGAAGCACATAGTTAAGAACATTTGACGACGTTGCTGGCCGATACTGACCACATAATCTTGCGTTTCCTGTTCCTTAGCAGTCAAACGTCGCATCAACACTTTTTCCCGTTGTTGAGCATCGAGAAGCTGCGGCTTCAGGCGGTCTGTTGACTGCCGCAATTCAACAATTTCGCCTGTAATTACACCATGGTTTACTTAAAAAACTAACACTTCACTTTCACTATACACTGCACCCTCTTATACAACGTGGGGCACAACACCAAAACCACAATAATAAGAAACTAACAAGTACCTTCTTGAATGGATAATTTTTTTTCCAAACTCGTTACATATGATTCTTGTTGATGCCATCGGTTCACCCATTCCGTTGGACTTAGGGATGAAATTTCTGATTCTGGAATTACCACCCTCGAAGGAACTTTATCTCGCTCGGCAGGACTGCTGGGTTGTTGAACATCGCCTTGCTCCGACATTTCTGGAAATAATTTAGCTTGAAACCCCAAAGTCGGCCATATTACTTTAGACGGTTTTTAACATTTTTCCGAAATACTCACTTTAACCAGCTTTTACACCGTAAAAAGTTATTTTCACAACTAAACTGTCTTACAGAGACATACAGTAGGTTTATATTTACTAAAATCACCATCAAAACGCAACACCACCGATAGTCTTTTAACGTAAAGAACACCAATCCACCACCATTTCCACCTTTATTGCAAACCATCCAAATCGTTTAGGTCGGTTAGTAAAATGCAAACTGTGTTCTGTGATACATTGACAAGGCATAATTGTTGAGGTAAAAGCCGATGGTGGGCGAATGATCTAGTTATAGGGTCCACATGAAGCCAAATATTTTTCTCTGTTCAAGGGTGATAAATGCGTGAGTGGGTTAGCATTGTGACGCCATTTTTGAAAGTAAGGTTTCCGTTTGCCTGCGAGTTTTATTCATTACTATTCATTACTTACTAGTGTAAGTCCAAGAAGTTTTAAACAAGGGAAAGATGTAGGTGTAGTCGTTAAAGTCATCAGGATTCAATTGATTTATGGATTGCGATTTTTAGGGCTAAGCCAGATGCAGACATAGAGTCGGCACAGAAAGATAAGAAAAAGGAACGGGGTCGAGAACGTAAGAAAAAGTCAGAATCTGGAAGCAGTAGCAGTGACGATAGCCGAAGCAGGTGAGATATTTTCCACTTAAATATTTAGCAACCCTTGCCATAAAATTTTATTTTTAGTTCTTCTGAAAGTAGCTCTTCCAGTTCCCATTCTTCTAGCAGTTCAAGTTCAGCATCAAGTTCTAGAAGCAGCAGTTCTTCATCAGATTCAAGCTCTTCAAGTGATAATAACCGCACAAGACCTAAAAGAAGGTGGCCAATAAACAACAAAAATTGACTGTATGAGTTACTTGTTTTTGTTTATTAGATCCCGTTCAGCTACTAAGAAGGCAAAAAGTAGGAGCAAAAGTCACGACAAAAAAGAAAAATCCAAAGATACCCGAGAAAGAAAAGAAAAAGAAAAGCCTGAAGTAAAAAAGGAAGAAAAGGAAGTCATTAAAAGGAACTCTCCTCCAAAGGAAGAAAAGAGTCATATCAGAAATAGATCAAGGTATACCTTAATGAATCATATAAAAAGTTATTTATTATTGACTTATTTAGATCCCGATCCCCAAGAAGGAAGCGAAGGCGGTCTCCTACACCACGTCCAACAAAAATTCATATTGGTCGATTAACGCGTACAGTAAACAAAGATCACATACTGGAAATTTTCGGAACCTATGGTACAATAAAAAATGTAGAGTTTCCTAAAGATCACACTCACGTCTATTTGGGACGAGGTTACTGTTACGTTGAGTACTCAACTCCTGATGAAGCCGAAAATGCCATGAAACACATGGACGGGGGGCAAATTGACGGGCAGGAAATCACAACAGCTCCAGTTTTAATTCCAAAACCCAAGTATGTATTGCTTATTGTTTATTCATTTACAGGATTTGATAATGTCTCCTATAGGCCACCCCCGCCGAGGCGCTCTCCCCTGCCTATGCATAGAAGGCCCCCAATGCATCGACGTACCCCTCCAAGATTTCGAAGGAGATCCCCACCAAGAATGAGAAGAAGCCCTATAAGGAGACGTCCTCATTCAAGAAGCCCACCTCCAAGACGAAGGAAACCACGTTCTCGTTCGAGTTCCAGCAGTTCCAGATGATTTTTATTATGTTAAGTGTTCATTAAACTGAATTTGTGTATGTATAATCAGCCCCCTGTTAATACCTGGGATTATAATAAAAGTTTATTTGGATTTTCATTTCCAATCTATAAATTTAGTTTGGGTGACAACTTGGAAAGGAGGACAAGGAATTGTAAAAACAACTGCAAATATTCTCAAATATAAAGAATGAGTGTATGTACAATATAATTTAATCGTTATATACATAAAACAACGTAAAATGAAACAGTCAAAAATTGAACAGATACTTTTAGATGGAGTCATTCTTTAAAATCTAAATGCAAAATTTCTTATTCAGTTCCCAGAAAATTATGACACAAAAATGTATGGTGATTCTGTAACAATAAAATGGCGTGATAAATTGTAGATGTATAAAGTTAATATATGTATATATATCATTTTGGCAAAATAACAATTCAAAGAAAAACTTTGATGAGTAGCTTCACTTTGTAAAAAAAAAAGTTTTGACTTAATATACAATTAAATAATCATCGCTACGGGATCTTCCAGGCATTCTTTGAAGGCTTTCAACCAGTTGGCACCTACAGCGCCGTCTACCGTCCTGTGGTCGCAACTTAAACTCACATTCAAAAACTGGGCCTCTTTGAAACTGAAAAGTACAGTAGAAACATGTATTCTGCCTTTATTAAAAATAATTTACCCCTTTTCGGAATCATCCGCAACTAGTCTAGTCGTCGTTGTCCCTATAGCTAAAATACAGCTTTGGGGAGGATTAATTATAGCCGCGAACTGACTTATGCCAAACATTCCCAAGTTAGAAACGCTTATAGTACCACCTTAAATACAAATTCTCTATTAAGAGCACATTGGATCAATACTTTAATTTTGTGGTACCTTGGAACTCATGTGGTTGCAATTTGCCATCCCTTGCCTTAGCTGCCAAGTCCTTCACTAATTTACTAATCTCAGCAACACCTTTGTTGTTAACCTCAAAGATGATTGGAGTTATTAGACCCTTATCAGTAGAAACTGCTACACTGACATCCACATTTTTATATTGTCTTACAAAACTATCCTGCCACGATGAGTTGGCCTCCGGAACCTACAATATGGCCCTCCAGTTAATCCATCAATTCCTGCACTAAATCCAGGATATACACTTACTTTCTGAGAGGCGACAGCAGTGGCTTTAATAATAAAATCATTGACACTCATCTTCACCCCTTGTTTCTCTAATTTCTTGTTGTATTTGGCTCGAACTTTAAGCAAATTTTCAACATTAATTTCAACAGATAGATAATAATGAGGTATGTTTTGCTTTGATTCCAACAGTCTCTTCGCTATGGTGCGCCTAATGTTACTCACAGGAACATCTACATATGGACTGGCAGATGCAGGGGCAGCAATTGGAGCTCCAGGTACTACTTGAGAGGCAATAGGTCCTGCACCTAATATCAAAAATCCGTAACACACATCCAAAAGGAGCTAACTGAATAAGCATTTAGTGCAATGGAAAGGAATAGGCCTATGGCAATTGATAAACAATCCAAATGAGGAAAAAGGATACTTGAATCAGAAAATATATATTAAAATTATAAATTACCTGCTACAGGTAAGTCAGCAGAAGTAATTGACCCGAACAATCCCGTACCTTTGCCTTGAAGCCTGATATTTCTTTGCTCAGCCAATCTCTTAGCCATGGGACTTGCATATACTCTTGATCCAGCTGCCTCAACTTTGGGAACAGTAGGTGCCCCTTGAGCAGGTGGTGGAGATGGAGGATCAGCCTGTGGGATGCTTGGAGCCTCTACAGATGGAGCTGGTGATGCAGCACTGGAAGCGCCATCGTCCTTGAAGTCTTTGAAGGCAGCTATGTCAGATTCATTTTCTACTATTATACAGACCTAGAAAAATCCTTTGTGTCAAATTAGCTTAGATAGGTGACTAAACATTTACAAAAAATTAGCAACACATGAAGTATCCACGAAAGCAAGATCCATTGCAAATATACTATGCTATGAAGGAGAGGCATATTATATGATACCTACCAGTTTCCCAATAGGAACATCTTTTGAACCAGCTGGGATCAAAATTTTTGCCAAGTAACCTTCTTCTGGTGTTTCAAAGCCCATAGTGGCCTTATCAGTTTCAATTTCAGCCAAAAGATCACCCTCATTTAATTTGTCACCCTCCTTCTTTTCCCAACTGATAATACTGCCCATTTCCATAGTGGGAGATAGTGCTGGTAAAGCTACCCTCGTATGAGCTGGAAGACCGCTTGAATAATACTTTACCAAAGCTTTGTCTGTTGTTTTCCATGGCTTTATTATTTGCTTGCTATTAAGTAAAAATCTAAAAATCACAAAAACATTATAACTATGAATTAATTCCTACCATAAAATACATATATAAAATTAAATAACAAGTGGACATTAAGATCAATCATTAAAACTCAAATTAGGTATCACGCCGGTTATGTAAGAGGAAAAAATAATACTTTATAACTTAAATTTGGTAAATCACTTGACTACCTGTGATAATGTTTCGTTCTTATACACTGAATCGAAATATTTCTCAAATTTTGACCGCGTAACGCTCTTTTAACCAAAATTTTGGCCACATCGTTCCTTAAAATTATGTTACGGAACATGACTTAATTTGCTGTCTTTGATTTAGTTAATAAAAGCAGATTTTTTTTTAAAAAATCGAGGGCCAACCACTCACTATCTCCTTAAGGTCATTTAAAAGACTTTTACGATCAAACTGAACGACGATTGCGACTCTATGACGTTAACAAATTGAAAATTGATAGGAATTAAGGAAAATTTTGATAATTTTTGACAGTGATGTCAGGAAGCACTTTTCTATGCGTAATGGTTAATTTAATTCGAGAGACTAAAAATTATTCTATGAAAAATTTTGAATTATATTTTGTTTTAAAATATTGCTTAAATGACTATTTTATTTATGTTAATTTATATTATAAATATATCTAATTAATCCATATTTAAATTCTTACTTTAATAGTTATTTCTCTCATGCGATTTCTTCTAGTATTAGGTAAAACAGTAGATTTTAAAATACTATTTTCTTTTTTTCATCGTCGCAAAAGAAAACAGTCAATTTGGAGTTGAAAGAAAATCATGTCAAATGCGTTTGTGTGGTCTAATTGATCTGAATAAGAATGCTATAAAACAATTAAAATTCCAAGTCATCTCCTTCCTTTCACAAATAATTTGTGATTTCACCTTTGCCATGTCGTCATAAATGTCGTGTAATCTATGGAATTTGAATACGACTTTTTTGTACGCAAGTTTTTAATGATAAAATTACATAAGTTAAAAAGGTAAAGATTTATTATGTTACATTTATACATTGATAATGTTGATCAACAATAAGACAATGATTGATAAATGTGAAGAAAATATATCTGTTAAGGAAAACTGGCAACGTCGAACTGTGTTTACTTTTTTTTTAAGGTAGCTATGCGGGTGGTCTCTAACCTCTCCATTTTTGTTTGTAGTATTTGTTTAGTTGTATTGTTTTCGTCTTATTTAAGAACTTTTGTTACAGCCAAATATAAAAATGAAGTTATATTTTGTTTTTGCGTGGTTGCTTTATTATAACACTTCAGAATCAAAGGTTTTGCCAGAAGAAATAAACCACAAAACTAAACCAAATCAAGATTTGAATAGGGTATCCGATTTTAGAATAGATTCATCTCCATATATAAGGCATAAGGAACGCATTAAACCAAAGGGGGAAAGATTTATGGATACTTCCTTCAACATGAATATGCAATACTGCCAAAGATCTGCAAAATGTCAGACATTAAACCACACAAACTGTATGGGAGCTAGATTGCCCTATTATTCAACTTCTCTGGATCTTACAGATTTAGATAGCCAGTATAAAGTTTATGAAAAACTGCAGTTATACGAGCAGTATTTGAAATATTTACCAAAGTGCTGGGCTGTTATACAGCCATTTCTTTGTGCTTTGTACATGCCTAAATGTGAGGATGGAAAGGTGGACCTCCCTAGTAGAGAGATGTGCAGGATAACTCTACAACCTTGTCAAATAGTTTACAACAGCTCATCATTTCCAGAGTTTTTTAACTGTGAAGATGATAGGTTTTTCCCGCCAATGTGCAAAAATGATATCCATGAAATGAAATTTAACACTACAGGGTATTGTATGGATCCTTTAATAAAGACTGATAAACCTGAATGGTGGTTTAAAGGTAATAATTATGTGGCTATATGTTGTAATTATATAATGACTGTTTTCAGATGTTGAAGGCTGTGGCTTAAAATGTAAAGATTCTCTTTACACAGAGAATGAACATTACCAAATCCATAAACTAGTAACTTACTGTGCCTTAGTATGTATATTACTAAACTTGTTTGCAGTTGCAACATTTATTATAGACTGGAGGAGTGCCAATAAATACCCAGCAAAAGCTATTTTTTATGTCAATATATGTTTTCTTATATCGCATGGTGGATGGTTGGTCCAATTTTTGGGTTAGTTTTTTATTTGCTTTAGTTTAGTTTTAGTGCGGGGTTTACTCTGGTAAAAATTGTGTTGTACAAATCAATGCTTTCCATGTGATGGTGGGGAATATTGCATAATTGTGTGAGATTTGACAAGATTCGGCATGATTTCACATGATTGCACAGCCAAATCATGTTAATTAGCTATCATATTTTTACAGTTACTAAGACTCGTAAGAGCGAAGGATGAACTCCTTGTATATCAAGGCATTTTTGAATTTCTCAGAACTTTACATATTTATATACATATATAGTATCCTATATTTAAATCTTACCTTTGATCTTGCCCTTTCTCAGATATTTTGAATTTAAACATATCTATCGATTTCTCCAGCTGAAAGGCTTTGTTAAAGATTGTTCAGTGACCTAAAATAGCAACACCCCATTTATATAAATTTTTAAAGTTTTTCTTCTAAAAAAATAGTCAAATAATACCCATGTTAGAAGTGTGCATTTTGAATTGTTCACAAGATACTTAAAAAAGACAACGAGAAAGAGAATGAAAAATTTTGGATGCACTGCACATTTGAAAAACATTTCTACCAATATTACCTGTCAAATTATTTTTTTATTATTTAGCACAAATCTAAAATGATAGGTTTCTTCTATTGACTTTCACAATCTACTAACTCTGGTTTCAAAATTCAAATAATTTGTTTGGTCACTCGGGTAGCAGTAGCAGTAGTAGTAGTATTCAAAACTAAAACAAGAAATTTAATGGGCATCATGATGATGTCAGCCGTCCTTTGAAATTTCTCTAGATTCCGCAAATTGCGCCTGATTTTGTATATTTCTGGGATTCCCTCAGTGCCGATTGTGTATGTTTTGCGAAGTGGTTAACCCATCGGATTTACGGTTCGCCTAAGCATAATTATTTTAGGGTATGATACTAAAGAAGACATTGTTTGTAAAAAAGACGGCACTTTAAGAAAATTCGAACCAAGTGCCACGGAAAATTTGTCTTGTGTCATTGTTTTCTTTATGGTATACTATTATTTCATAGCTGGAATTGTGTGGTTTATGATATTCTGTTACGCTTGGTATATGAGCTCTTTACAAGCACTAGGTAAACAGAATTTGGAGACGAAATTGGTTGATCTTTAACTAATTTTCAAAATTTAGGTAAGATTCAAGAACGAGTTGACAAGAAAAGGGCATATTTTCATTTGGTAGCATGGAGTTTACCACTAATCTTAACTATAACTACCATGGCTATTGGGGAAATTGATGGAGACTATGTGACCGGAATTTGTTTTGTTGGGTTTGTGGACACAGCAGCTAGCACGGGACTGCTGTTGGTGCCATTGCTTGGTACAATGACAGTTTCAGTGTATATCATTATAAGAGGTAACATTATGAAAGCCAATAATGAAGTGTGGTCAAAATTAAGTTTTTAAACTTGTTATAGGCCTCATACTTTTGATAAAAGTAAAAATTGACGGGAAAGAAGTGATGTCTCAACATTCAAGCAGACAAATTCAAAAGAACATTGTTAGAATGAGTGTTGTTATGATACTAATGGTGATATTTTCTATTGTTACAGTAAGCTATCATATTTATTTTGCTAGCAATAAGGATTCTTGGAATATAAGTTTGCAAAACTATATTCTGTGAGTATTTGTTCAACTTGGCCAAAGAAAGTGTACAGCTAATGCTTGTATTATTTAAAGGTGTAAGTTGACAACATTTAGTTCAGACTATTCCCATTGTAAACAAACACAAAGGCCCAGTGTTGCGATGTTGCAGTTGTCACTGTTGGCTATATTCGGAAAGGGTATAGCCATGGCATCTTGGGTTTGGTGCGAACCAACCCTCCATGCCTGGAGAAGATATATACGAAAGTTGGTATTTGCAGTTGTGGCTGGAAGATTTTAAGTACTGCGGTTTCTTTGCAGAAAATTTCATTGTGAAGTTGAAGAGCCAATGAAAATTCAGAAACACAAAATCATCGCCCGGGCGTTTGCCAAACGAAAAATATTCAACGAGGGTGGCAAAATCTCGATTTTCAGTCAGAATCACACCGACCCTGTGGGTTTGCAGTTTGAATTAAACAGCGAAGCCAGTAACGAACTGTCCACGACTTGGGCAAAAAATTTACCCCGCTTAGTGAATCGAAGGCACGCGGTCCCCAATGAAATATCTTATTCCGCGACCAGTGATAATCAGTCAATTGATTCGGAGGTTAGTTTGAATGTCCGTCATGTCAGTATCGAATCGCGGAGAAATTCGGGTGATAGTCAAGTGTCGGTGCAAATTGCCGAACTTAAGGCTACAAGGAAAGTTAATTCTAGAAGACACCGTAGACATAATAAGCACCATTTCAGAAGCACCTCGCGAAATATTGGTAATATCTTGCATTGCTTGCTAAAAATGCAGTTTCCGATTTCAATCTTTGACAGGCACCTCATCTAGAAGGCTTTCGGGATGTGCTCCCAAACGGGATAGCACAACCAGTCTCGACTCGTATTTACAAATTCTGGCATTGACCAGCAGTAAAAACATAAAAAATTTTGCGCCGAATTTGAACAGGAGAACTGCCAATGCCGGGCTGGAGCTATCAAACGGGATGATAGCTAGACCCCACAATATTCACAGTGGGTCAGAAGATGAAAATGTCTCCACAAGGATATCAGAAGGTGATTTCATTAGATGCCTGCTTTTTATAAATCCATGTGAATGCACACACCTGCAAAACAAAACATTAATTTAACATCATTACTAAAAAACTGAAAAATTATTTCCACCAAAATAACAATTCAAGTCACCAACATCTACAAAGTACTACTTATTATGCATGCGCTACTAATGAGTCACTTTACTGACCGACTCTTGATCTTGGGTCGCTGGTAATAGAGTAATCCACTAACCCTTCTGTGATCAATTACGCTTGATTAGCTCGTTTATTATTAATTATTTAATTTAATGTCACTACAGTAAATATCCCATATAGTGTGAACTCATAGCAATTACATTTTTTTAGATATGCCTCCATATTTACCCTCTTTTAATCGCTTTTACAATTTTAATTGTTTTGTTTTAAATTCGTGTTCCAATATTATCGGTTACTTAAAAATTATAATGAGTCTATAGTATTTTTCTACTCCCGTCTGTAAAATACCTAATTACACACCAATCTAGCGTGCGGGAAGCGTCGCTTTACCACGTCAGTTTCGTTTCCCACGAATCCGAGGCACTTCGGACATTTCCGGCATTTTACCGCACGGGTTTGGGAGCGGTCGGATGTTTTCGGGGATATTTCCCACGCTTTGAATTTTTAACGTTTGTCAATTCTGACGGTGAAGTCAGTGAATGTATTCGTGTTTTGCGAAAATGTACCCAAAAACTAACGGTCGTAGAAAAAGTATAGTATGCAACACGTTCGGTAAACTTTTTAACTCACTCGTTTATTAAACACTCGCTCCGCTCGTGTCAAATAAACTCGTGAGTCAAATGCTGTTTACCGCACTTGTTGCATACATTACATTACATTACATCGTTATATTGATTTTAGTCATTAATACTTGGCTTTATTTCGATGTACTCTGTACTCTTGTAATTAGTTTATTGAACAGTTAATTTCCAGTGGATATGAGATGCCACAATCGACATTTGGATTTCACCGATCAAATTGCCATGAGACAGTTGACCGATGGTTTGAATTTCCACAAGCTTCCTAACACGGAAAGTGACGAGGATAAAACCAGTAACAAAGACAATCGTCCAGAAAAGCACTATTCCAAGTCGGGCAGAGATTCCCATTCCAGTAGGAAATCCAAGAAGTCGAGGAGATCTAGGTAAAATTTACGGCATTTCCTTTCAGTTTGCTCATATTGTCTACAAAAACAAATATTTGCAAAGATTAGTTACACCAAACTATAAACCAATTATACAGCCAAACAAGAAAACAATCAACTTAAAATTTATAGTTCATTTAGCACCAAAATAACTACAATAAGGTGTAGTTAATAATGCTGAGAGATTTTTGGATTGACGCGACATTTGATAAGAGATAGTAAAGTGGACGCTAATCTGTGTTTCTCCGCTCACTCCTAGCGTCAATTGATTTTTATTTCTCCTCTGTGTAGATTCTTTTTTAAATTGGCAATTGTATATATATCACCAGTATAGCTTAAATGATAATGTTTGTTTCTGCGACCACGTACAGATGTCTGTTACATCGAGGTGGAGCTCGTTTATTATGGGATAGCATTTTTCAGAATCTGTTGAAAATATCAAAATAACTTTGAGGTAAAAGTTGCTTTTAGTTTACAGTTTCTGAAGAAGCCATCAGGATGATTCCTGAAGTATTTTGAATTTTATATCAAAAGTGAGGTTTGAAGTCTTTTTTTCTTCTTATTAAAGTGAAAATATTGTAAATTGGTAATAAAAAATTTTGTCATTTTAAAAATTAAAATGACAACGAACCATGTTGCAAACAAGACTATCGGACACTACATGCAACTTAACCGTTTTATATTGAATAAAAAAATTATATGAAGTCTATAACGCGTCTAACAAAAAACTAAATAATAGAGAAAATGTGAATAAAACATAAATTAATAAATTTTTTGAAATTTATTTAATTTAAATAATTTATTTTTTTAAATAAAAATATTTATGTTAAATAATATAAAATAAAAAAATATTTTTTTTGTTATTCGTTTAAAACGGTGTTTCATGTAGATTTTTAATCACCATATTTTTCGGCAAACGTCTAATTGTTCCATTTTTATGTCTCAATTTTTTAAAATGCCAAATATGACAAAACTATACAAATAAGGCGTTTCCATTTATTTATTTTTAAACCATCAATAAATATCACTATCCCAAATATGTAACAAAGGCTTTGAATCGGAGAAATCGATAGATATGCTTAGACCTGCAAATATAACTTTTGACATAAAATTAAAAATATGTTAGAAACGGTAAGATTTTTGCATACTTTACTATTTATATAAAATATGTCTAGAAAATTCCAAATAATTAAAAAATGCCTGAATGTGTCTAATTGAAAAAATGTTTCTTATCAACGAGAATGCTCTGTATATATATAAATGTAATATGTTAAAAGACAACTGTTGTGTTTAAATTTTGTATTTTTTTTTTTTTTACTGATTCTGAGATAAAGTATTATCCCATAAGAAACGTGCACCCCTGCATGGTTGTAAATAAAACTTAAATTGTAATGACATAAATAAATTAAATTGTGGTCTCTTGGTGTCAATGACTTCCGAAAAATATATTAAAAATTTTCGCCGGCCCTGGTTATTCGGTTAATTTTGGCCGACATTTTAGCTGCTGAGAGCTGCTCAGAATTTCTATGTTATTCTGCTTAAAAAAATATATCCCCTTTTAAACCGCTTGAGTTTTATAATTATTATTTAGAATTTTTTTAAAAATAAAGCTCATGTTCGGAGTCGGACAACAAAAAGCGCCAGAGCGACAGTTCCAGTTGCCTCGAAATCAAGCAATTGGTTAGTTCATTGAATTCAAACGCGAGCGTGGGGCGTGAAAAGATTAACTGCGGCTCGCGGCAGTCGAAGACGTCGATGGACGTGGCGGTACAAGCGAACGGTTACGATTTGGACTTGGAAATACAAAACAAGAGCAACGAAATTGACAGATCCAAAACGAAGCAAACGAAAACGAACGAAAATAAAAGGTACCGCAGACAAAGTCGGTACAGCGACGCGGACAACAAAGGTAGAGAAAAAATTAAACGATCGAAAGAGAAATATAGGATGGAGGGGAGTCAGGAAGAAAGGAAATGCCTCCGCAAAAGTTCTAGCAAAAGGTGTTCCGATGGCAGCGACGACGAGTCTCTTATTATCGATAATCTGTGCAGGTAGGGTACCCAAGACGGATGACAAATTTGAAAGTTCTACCAGTAAGAAGTTTAGTTTTTAATTTTTAAGTGAGGGATTTTTTTGGCAAGTTACCATTGATTTGACATCGGTAATAGACCCGTTAGAGCCCCTCTGCAAAATAATTCAAAAATGAAAGAGTAGATGGTTAACCCAGTGCCGAAACGATTTTCAACAATTTGTTATAACATAATTCAAGAATTGCACAATTTTCTGCTTGATCATTTGCATTTAATTTGAAATACATTTTTATATAACGTCAGTTATCAACCTATTAGACCAAACGGCAGGCTAAAATATGGCATTGCAAAAGTGGCATCTCATGTTTGTCCCAATTAGACAGATTCCTTCTTTATCAAACGAACGAGTTTATCCGAATCTGGTTCTAAAATTAAATTAAAAGAGAGTTATAAATGGGAAAGTCGCAACGTTTTTCGGTTGATTGCAATAGATAAACAAAATATATTTTTTAATTTCACAAAAAGCATGTACTATTTTGCTACAAACAGAATGTAGAAGGTTACTTTCTACTGCTACATGGACAAAGACTTATAGCAAGAAGTGTAAATATTATTCTCTTTGCAGAAGTTTGACAAAATGTATTGGTTTTATGAAAGATTTGGATATCAGAAGTTGAAAACCTGAAAAATAAGTAGATATGTACTTAATAATATTATCCTGGCAAATATAAGTTAAATATTACAATCTCTTTAATGAAATAACACTAACATACTGGATTTTGCAAACAGGGAACTTCTGTTGGTTAAATCCCTTGCAATAAAATGAGAATCACTAACGACGTATGTTCTGTCCACCCTGTTACAACTTTGTTTAACTATTTCTACCTATAATTTGAATAAGTTATTTATTTTTTATTTAAGGAATATCGATTAACCAAAAATAAAATGGGGCAAACATTGAGGATAAAACTGGTTTTTGTTAACCCCTTAATGCACATTTTTTTAATTAATTTAGGTACAACAAAAATCATTTATTTTTTTCGCAAATAATTATTTATACTTATTTTAACTAATTTTTGCAAAAAACTTTTTTATATTAATATTTTAATTGTGTATGGTAAATTTTAAAACATGGTACTACGCAGAGTCCACGTCACACTCACTGCACCAATATCTTGTTTCTTTTCTGATTTTTTTGCCCATGCTGTCTTTTCTTGAACCTGCTGCAAATTCCGAGAATAGCAATAATCTACCACCCAACCTGACAGACATAGGCTTAAAATATTTGGAAAATTATATTTCTATATTAGCCGTCACCCATACAAAGCTGTAATATTTTGAGACATATAAAATTACAGTGACGTAACATTTATGGAGTTTCATAATTCTGCCAGTAAACGTTGCCCCTATATCTCACGGAGGTGTGCATTAAGCGGTTAATACGCTCTGTACATGCCTAAAGCTTAAATTTAAATAAAAAACTTTTTGTAACATCGTTTCCGAAAAGTTAAGGTACAATTTAAAAATATATATATCCAAATGGAGTCAGCAGTTCTCGAAAAAATTAACTTAAATTAACCCAAGTTTTAATACAATTACCGTATACTTTTATTACATTGCAAAATCGTATTTTCTCGAATTAAGGATACCTTTGTAATTGTAATTTTTTATGTTAGTTTCATTTATGTTTAAAGTCATTGGAAGAGCGTCTTTAATAAGCTTTACTCAGTAAAAAAGTAAGCAAAGAAAAATGTAGACACGCACTTTTTGCGTAAATACTGACTGTATGAATACTCATTTCGAACGGCTGTGGCAATCTAATTAATATTATTAAACGACAAAAAAGGTACAAGAAGTAAATTTTGATTGATTTTTCTTGTTATATCCCAGTTTAGAATTAAGAAAATTTGCAGCACCAAATTCGGGGCAATATACTTAAAATTGCGCTCTGCGGCAATAGAACCATTTTAGTATTTTTATTGGTTAGGCCTATTGGCTCAGTAATATTGAGCTCCGGCCGAAGCATAATTTAAAGTGGTCATTAAAATAAGAAAATATATTTTGTTCTTTGTTTTATACATTGTGTACCTCCTGTTCCATTAAGAATAGCTCTCTGCTCTGGGGAAGCATTAATCATATGGGATGCCAAAGAGGCCGTAAGAAATTGTTGGAAATTATTTTCGAGTTATTAAATAGGACTCACAAGAAAGTTTCTTATTTTAGATTCTAACTTATAAAAAAAATATGTATTTCACACTAACAGCCGCTAGGTGGAATTGTCTTACAACTTAACGAACGTTGAGCTTTTTCTTAAAATTTTACAAGCAACGGTGTACTTTTTTTATACTTCTAACCGATGGCAAAGAGCAATAAAAGCTTAAGAAGTCAGCGAAAACCGCATCTTGACATCTTTTCCTAAATGGAAGATATTTACAAAAATATTAACAAATATAAAGATCGTGATCATTCTAAGAAAATATAGGAAAAAAGCTTAATTTACAAAAAAGATGCAACAGGTAGGTGTTAGAAAAAGTGACTTTTGAAAATTGCTTCGCTCTGTGCCCTGCAAAAACACAAGAATTACCACATTGCCACAGCAATTAAAATGTTACCGAATGATAACAACACTTTCTTCAATTAATTGCTATTTTGAAGCAATCAAATGAAACAAAAGTGATACAAATTTTAATCTAACACTTTGATGTTTAAAGTCATACTTTAAATTTACTTTTTTCCAAAACCTACATGTAATGACAACTTACTTATTACTAATTGTCATGTCATGTGACCATTAAGGTATTCTGGTATTATCTATATCCAAGTAAATTAATAATTTTCTCATTTTTTCTCTCATATTTTCTCAGAATTGTCATAATCAAGAGCGCTTTAGACTATTTAAAAAATATGCATGCATTTAAAATTTTAGAAAATGAGCGAACTGTATGTTATGTTATAACGCAGCGTCTTAAAAAGTCTACTCCCAAATGTATATTGTTATAATCCACATTTAACACACATTTAAATAAAAACACATTTAACTTTCCCACCACTTAGATATTGCAAAATCCGAACTTGTGTGATTCATTATTTTTAACAACTCTTTTCTAGGCAAAAATTTTGTAAATTTGCTTTTTCATATTTAAACTAGAAGTTGCGTCTTCGAGCGGCAGTTATAGGAACATAAAAAACTTGAAATTAATTTCTAGTGATTTCTCATGGCATGGTGATCCTTTTTCGTAACAGCCGAGACTGGAACACTCATGGATGGAGTATCGAAGAAGAACATTTATCTTTTCTCGCTTTTCTAATTTTTTTTTTTTTTAAAGATGAGTTTCACTATTTACAAAGCTTTTGCATTCTTCCTGCGTTGTTTGTTTATGGATCAAACTTCTCGACGTTTTGCCAATCATCCTGTTGGCTTCTTCAGAGCTAAACTGAAACTAAAAAAACTAACTGAACTAACTAACCAAAACTGAACTGAAACTTCCAGAAGGTTTGTAAATAGTATTACAGTAGCATGTGGAAGTTTCTTTTAAACACTAAAATGAGTTCTAAAATAAATAGTTATGATTTCTGTTCTTCTATACTCCACTTACTCACACGATATTATAGATATGTAATTTTGTGAGCCATTCGCATTATTTGTAGGTTTCTTTTATATAAGAATATTTTTGTACAGTTTTCTACATTAAATATTAATTCAGTAAAAGCTTTGTAGTTTTAATTTACCTAAATATTGTTTTTTTAATCTTAGTCTTTTAAATTATTCAAAATGGGCATCAGATAAAAGCGTAAGACAATCCAAAAAGAAAAAAATTACAAAAGTTGCGCAAAACGTCTATGCAGATGGCTAGGGACCATAGACAACTATATTATATTGGTTAGTTTCTAGGGATTAGCAATGGGGACAGAATACAACTATTGTGTAATGGTGTTTTATTTGCCCAAAGTCAATATTGCGACTTCGGGCAAATAAGAACGTTATTTTACAGGAGAATGTGACCTAAGATTGGAGGTTCTTAGGCATAGAATAAATATATGAACGATTTTCTCTATGGAAAGAATTTGTATTATCTCCTTATCAGTCCTTGTTGGCATAAACCAACTATGATTGCCCACCCATATGACGGTGTTTGTACGGTTGCCTAATTAATATTAAACTACTCGGGTGCAGAATACAACATAGTTTAGTGGTCTGTGACTCAGGTGATATACATTCCGATCTTTTTGTCTTGCTCCAACTGCAGATTTCTGATATTTTGCTTTTCAATTTTGTTTGTGACTTTCGGATGAAAAGTAATAATCGGTTAATCGGTTTTATGCGCAGGTCTCGCTCGATCTCGTTGTCAAAAACATGGTTAGCGAGTAAATACGTGAAACCGACAAATACCAGTGGTATAAATCAGAAATTCCCTTTCGAGTGGCGTGATTGTGTGACCTTTTCCGTTTTGTGTTAAAATCATATCGATCTGATTTTTCACAAAATATGACTATTTTCTAGTTGACTTTTAATTTAATAGTGGACGGCATCGTGTATATTTATTTTAGTTTTAAGTTCCAAAGTCATGAATTTAACAGGGAGTTTTACAAGGCTGCCTTACTATTTTTGTGGGTTTGTCCTTCTTTGCGTGGCTCAGGTAAGTTTTCATTAGGATCATTAGCGAAATAATCTTAAGTATATTGCGCATTAATGTTTTCCTTTTAAGTGAAATGCATCTACCTACTTTCTCTACAACTTGTCATTTATGAAATGCGTAAGGTTTATAAACATAATATTGATATACATATTTATATATGTTGGCTCTTTGTATATTTTCAAAAATGGAAAGGATCTGATAGAAGGCTGTTGAAAATTTATCTGGTACCTATCTTGACCATAAAATTATAGTTCATTAGTTCATGTAAAGCAATAACTTTTACTTCTTAGGCATTAGATATTAGATATTATGTATATATGTAAAAAACAGTATTGATAGTATAAAATAATTGAGATGATATTCAAGTCAGACAACATAATTGATAGGAGTCACACATGCAAATTGGGCTCAAAAATGTTTAACCAGTTTTATATTACATGGAACGTTTGTGCTTAGAATCTTTATTATTAGCATTCCTCATGAATCATTGATAAATAAAGGATTCATAAAGATGCTTTCACTGTTTTGACTGTTATCTTACAAAAAATATTCAAGCAAATACTCTCGACATAACATGAAGAAAAACATTTGTGATAACCGGCATCTGGTGGATAAAGTTAATTCGAGGTGTCAATATTCATGCCAAAACTTTGCATTTTGTTTAATCCCAATGTCATGAGACAAGACATTATTTTATTTTGGTATATATATTTCTAGATGTTAGAAGGTGAATTTGTATCCAACAAGTTGTGTAATGAAATAATATGTTACAATTTTTTACCTCTCGGTGAACCTGAATCTTAACGTTCCCACCACATATTTTCCATTGTAATTAATTGGTTCAATTGATTTTAATAAACGGCCCTTTTGAACTCTACTAATATAGGTATGGGAAATTAACTGGTGTAGGTAGAAAGCGAAATTGAAAGTTTCTGATTTGTCTTTATCCCAAATACCAATCGCATACCTGTTATTTGACTTATAGGTTCGAAAATATAGTAAATACAATAATTATTTGCAACGCATTTTGCTTTAGTACTCTTAGTTGCTGGTTAAATAATACTCGGAAAAACGTCCAAACAAATATGTAAATTTTATATTTAAATTTTTGGGTCGTTTTATAATCTGATGCCGAGACGGATACCTAATTGATTAGTCACGCAATGTGTTTACTTGAGTTCACAGAATAAAATTTTGATTTTCCAGTCACTGAATACATTTTTAATCGCTTTAAAATGTACCGAGCCTCACAATATTTATGGATCGGATTGGTCATGGAAGCGGGGAGGTCATTTCCAATAAAAAACCTATGATAAGTGAGCACTTACTATTTAATAGTAAAGTAAGATGCCAAATAAAAAAACACATTTAACATTACTCGAAAAAATTACAACAGCGATAATTGGAAGACGCCACTGAATCCGGCAGTTACTTTTAACTTCAAAAGAAAATCACGAGATCTGATAATAAAGATATAAAAAGTTTAGCTTTTAAGCGTATACTTTTGTTTTTAAGATAAAACCATATTTCCAACATACATTTCCGTAGATAAGTCTACATTTCTTGATAAGGAGTTTGTCTTGCTCGATCTTAGTCTCTTTATCCTCGTTAATATACGTATGCATATTCCAGACATGCAATTGTAAAAAAGTGTGTCAACGTGGCGCCTTGGACGCGACTTAAAATATTTTGCACAATGTCAAAGCAAAGTAAAGAATACCAATTTTGTTGGTTACGTCACTTTTTTAAAGGTCAGAAACACGCCGAAATAGCTATCGTCATCATACGAAAAGCTATTTGCCTTATTTTCCAGTAATACGGTATCAGTACATTGCAGTAATTGTATTATATCCCCTGACTAATCTTATAAGCGAGCTTATAAGTGACTTATTTTTTTATGTTTTATGTTAATTTTATTGTACCGGGAATAGAAAAATTAAAAGTTTTGCTCTCACGATATCAATTTATCTTATCTCTACAATTGAGTCTGTAATAGATGCATATTTTCGAAAAAAATTGATATTTATTTAATTAAACGCAATACGCATACCAAATTAACAAATTGGGCAGTAATTTTTAAATGTAATGTATAACAATTTAAAAGCAACGGGCAACTTTTGTCTTGGTTAGTTTGCTCTGCTCAACCCTATTTTGAGCCTCGTTTCCAGGAAGCAAAGTGTATCCACATCCTAATTTGACGTTGCACCTCCACCACCAAAAATTTCTTCTAGGAAAGTACGAAATTTTAAGGCATATTTATAATAAACGTATATGATTTTATTACCTATAACTAAACCGGACAACACAATCGGAAAACTAAATAACACTGAAAAATATAAAACTTAAGAAAACTAAAAATATACACTTTAAAATGTTGAACTTCCAAATTTTGGAGGTGTTAAAATGTAATGCAGTCCTCATTTGCAAAGATTTTAGGTCGTTAATCACTTCTAAAGCATCACTGTACATTTTGACGTTAAGCACAAACAAATTTTGTTCAGTATTGTTTACTGATTCCCATTATAGACGAATATTTTGTTTATTTTTAACAATTGCCGCTTCTTGAGTTTTTCCGGTTTTAAAATTTTCAGCAAGTTTTCATGCTGATAGGTGTTACTCTAAAATTTTAATGACATCCATTTTTTCACGTAAACTAGAAGCTTTTGGTTAGGCTCCATTTCAAAAATATCTTTTGTTGCCTAATATGTAATATGCAGAGTACAGTGTACCCTTGTATTGCCAATTATATGAGCTTGTACAAGGGCTACCTTTTATATTTCGGGATTTGCAATAAAAAACTATAAGCTACCAACAAATATGACTTTATTGTTTCTCAAAATATTCACCCTGACGATCAAATACACTTTTGCATTCGATAATACCAATCATCAAAGCACTTTTCCCACATCGAGTTGGACACCTCCAAAACATGTTTTTTAAACTCATCAATCGCTTCTTCCGGTGTCAAAAATTTATTCTTTCTTTATTCTTATGTGGGCTTTGTCTCATTCTGAAAGACCCACACAATCGACTGCTGCTTACTTTCAGGTTCATCTGCATAGGTCCGTGATTCATCATCTGTCACGATACCATAGACGTGTTTGGAAGAACCGCGATCGTATTTTTTTAGCATTTCCCTCGACCAACCAATACTAGCCTTTTTTTGAGCTGATGTCAAATTGTGTGCAATCCAGCGCGCACAATTTTTTTTTGCCGCAAAATGTTCATGCAAAATGGTATGTATGCTGGTCCCACTAATGCCCAAAGATCTGGTCTGTTCATAGATATAAGAAAGTGACGACTAACTGATACGAATTAAGGAAAGACCCGGGCAAGCTGTAAGAATGAAATATGGTCGAACAGGTCCGTGCTTTGCTTAGAATTCAATTATTTGGGGTTTTGTTAGGTATGATACTAAACAATATTTATTTATGTATGTATGTATTTATGTTTAAATCTAAAATAAAATTGCAAATTATTTTTATTACCTACTTAAATTACTTAAAATTATTCACATAATACATCAGTATCACTATCGCTATCATCGCCTGTTCTAATTATTATTTGTTCTATATTATTTGCAATATGAATATACGATTGTTCTGCTTTTTCTATATGTTTAACAGAATTTGCCCAACTTTGTGGAGGGATGTTAAAAACTTCGGTTTCTATAAGTTTGAGGACATTGGAGTTAACACGGGGAAAACATTGTTACGACGAATGGCAGATTTCAGTTGGTGCCAAACATGTTCAATGGGATTAAATATACAGTGGTAAGGTGGAAGCCTTAAACCTGTATGCCCTATATTTTTTGCATAATTATCACAGACGTATTCCTTTTGTAGGTTCAAGCTTTGTAGAACCTCAATTAATTGCTTTTTGGTATAATTTTCGTGAAAATAAATGTCGTTATTATACATGTAGTTTTGGATTGTTGCTTTTGTGTCACATGAGGAAGGGGTTTTAGTCAACTGTCTACTGTGATAACTTGCATTGCCCATTACAATGACGCTATTAGGAGGAATGTTTGGAACTAGTTTGTTTTTAAACCAACTTTCAAATAAATCCAGAGAAGATCTTTAATATTTTTCGCAGACAGAGAAAGTCCATTTGGAATCCAACCATCTTTAGAGCCAGCATGCAAAATAGTTATTCTTTTACCTCTTTTTGATCAGTTGAGTCAACCCAACCCTTTTCCGGGGTATCATAAGTGTCGAACCAGGTTTCATCCAAGTAAATAATTGGCCTTTGTTGTTCTCTGTAAATCCTATTTTTTTCTAGATATTCCAGTCGCCATTTCCGAATTATTAAACCATTAAAACTGGCCTTTTGTCCTTTTTTTTTTTAATCTAAAACCTATGTGTTGAATACATTTCCATAAAGTAGTTATGCCACATTTAACACCGGTTTCATCTTTTTCAAGCCTACTAATTAAGATATCTAATGTAGGCACGCTTTGTTCCTCGTATAATTGGTAAATTGTACGCCATATTATATCTTGATCACTTTCATCTACACTCGAGAAAATGTCAGCATCGCATCTTTTTTTCCTCGCTGAAATGGGATTATTCACAATTTTCCATGTAGTTGATGTTGGAATTTTCGTCAATGTGGCCGTTTCTTCTAAAGATGCTTGCTTGCTGGCACCACGTTCAATGAGAGTCAAATAAACATTGTTTATAACTTCCTTAGTCTCAATAGAATAAATAGTGTTTTCTACATTTGGGCGGGAGCATCTCCTGAGATACACTAGACTCGCACATATTTTGCAATAATTCGCACACGATTCAACACACGCTCTATTACACACGAAATGAGAATGATTACTAATAAACTTAAGCTAAGTAGTATACCAAACCAAAGAATATTAAACACAGATAGTTATAAAATTATTTTCTATTACGGACCACAATTTTACCTGAATTTAAATTCCGAAACTTTAGGTAATAATCTTGTTGCATTGTATGTTAATGACCATGTTGCATCAGGGTTTTTCGGTGGTCTGTGGTGTTCATATTCTATGGTCTGGAGAGGTTAGAATGTGGGACTCTCGGTCTGGTATCTCGCGCGCTTATATCTGAACCTCATGACGGAGATTAAATAAAGGACTTTTAGTGGACTTCTCTTTTATTATAAAAAACCTCCAACACGACAGACCACGCTTGGATAATCCCATTCAAAAGCAATTGGTCACTTTCTTATATCTATGAACAGACTGTACCTCAATCTCATGGTAAGTCACATGACGATCCTGCAAAATCAGTTTCCGCACTGCATCAATGTTTTCTTGAACAACCACCGATTTTGCACAACTACGACTGAAGTCCGAAAACCAGCGATAAACAGTAGTCCTAGATGCTTTAACTCCAAAAGTCGAATTAAGTTCAGTTAGTTGAGTTGAGTTGAGTTAAGTTGAGTTAGTCCACGTCTAAAGTTGTAAAAAATTATTGCACGAAAATGCTCCCAATTAAGCTCCATTTTTAACCGTCACATTTTTTAAAATTTATCACAAAAAAACAAAGAACACTTTTTCACCAAAACCTAACCTCAAAATGTCAAATTTCCATATAAAAACGTTATTCGCCAGATGGCAGGACTAGTTTAAGAAAATTCCGAAATATAAAAGGTAGCTCTCGGAACTTATTTAACGGTGTTTGTTGGTAATTAGGTCTATTTAACGATGCAAACCAAAAACACACAAAACATAAGTTTTAGAAATATTTTTAAAAAAAGGTCTCTTGGACGTGTCATCTTCATAAATTCTGGAAAATATGTATCCATCACCACTAACCAAATAAAGGGTGTTCGAAATTAATTCAGTTTTTATGGCATATAATGCGTCGAAAATATTCTCTAGTACTAAGCCATAAGCCAAAGTTTCCTGTAGAAATAAAAATGTTCTGCAATCTGTTCCTTTTTTTCTCATAATTTTTAAACTACTATATTTCATTAACATTTTGTTCTTTGCTTTCCAGTTTAAACGCAATATATTTTTTTATGCTAAATATTGACCAGAACTAATTTTTGTTTTTGGCTATTTCGCTTTGCATCAAAATCGTTTTTTTACATTCTTTTTACTTGAAAATGGTGCATTGTTTGAAAAAAAAAATTATTCGAAATTGAATGAAAGTTGTGTGCACACAGGAAACTAGAGCTTATTTTCGCCATTTCATAAAAAATTGGTGCATTAATTTCGTATAGTTGGTTATAGCGTACCTTTGTTCAGAAAACCGTAACTGCACAAAACGATGGTAATGTTTATGTGTTTGTAATTGCTCATGTCCTTGGTAAAATACGCAAATATAAAATAATAAAATAAAGAGGTCACAAATTGTAAACGCAACCCAGAGACTTAAGAGAGATTAAGTAAATACTGTTGGTGGAGTTCATTTAGCAGAGTTGTTGGCAGGTTTCGCTACACAACACGGGATAAAAAAATTAAGAATGTTGCTTTCACGTCGTGCAGTAATATTTTTAAATGCTTTGTCCACAAATGACCATAGCGTAGGTCTATAATTTTATAATTTCGGTTGGTCTTTTCGAGGTTAATTTAAGTCAAAGGAAATCAAATATTTTTTAGTCGCAGTGATTTTGGGCAGGTAATGTGTAATTGTAATTACTGACATTAACTAAAATACATGATCACTTTTTCAATGAAAAACTATTATTTGCAAGCAAGTTGGCAACTGTCGAAAATGCCGATCGTAATAGTCAACTAGCAAGGTCGCCCGGCCAGTTCGAAAGAGCTGCAAAATGATTTCTTCTGCTAATACGTCTTCCTGACGCAGCCATGGTCTGAGGGTCATGCTCCTCTAAAGTCGGTGTATCTAGGGAAAATGAGCAGCCAGGAAGTTATCATTTAGTGGTCACACATTTTTGGTAAAAGAAAAAATATTGTGGTGAAGCGTTTGAAAAAAAAATCTTTTTAAGCTTTACGCAAAATTTAGAATTATAACCCTTAAAACTCGCACTATCTGAAGATTATATTTATGAATTGGGTATCACTTTTTTTATCGTAAATTTGTTGTCAACAAAAAAAGTATCGCATAGCGCTCAAAAAAATCTTTGGAAATGCTTCACGCGAAGTGAGCATTACAATCCTTAAAACTTTTTCTTTTCTAAATATTTTGTTTAAGGATTAGGTGCAACTTATTTTTTTTCGTAATTTGTCTTCCAAGAAAACTCCTTTCGCAACACTTCCTAATTTCAATTTGAATGATTACACGCGCTAATAATTAATTCATTGTAAATTTATTACTTCAATTATACATATATTATAAACATGCTATTCTATGATTATATCATATAAAGGAAAATTCTTAATTTTCTAGATACTTTAGAAGGGCAAAGAGAAACGTTCTGGGGTGGGCTGAGATATCGATTAAATATTATTAGTGTTTGGGCTGGTCAATTGACCACTTCTTAATTGACTTATCAAATTCGATCAAAATGTTTTAAGTAACATCTTGTAGAGTGTTATCTGTCATTATTTAATGATAATATGTGCTTTATAATAAATTGTTATGCGTTTGTGATGTCCAATTTACTGACGCTTTTTGGTTTTAAGAGTAGTTCATTTTTTAAATTTAAATTTCAGTTGGTGCCAAACATGTTCAATGGGATTAAATGTGCAGTGGCCTTAAAACTGTATGCCCTAGATTTCTTGCATAATTATCAATGACGTATTCCTTTTGTAGGTTCAAGCTTTGTAGAACCTCAATGAATTGCTTTTTGGTATAATCTTCGTGAAAATAAATGTAGTTATTATATATGTAGTCTTGGATTGTTGCTTTTCTGTCACATGAGGAAGGGGTTTTAGTCAACTGTCTACTCTGATAACTTGCATTGTCCATTACAATGACGCTATTAGGAGGAATGTTTGGAACTAGTATGTTTTTAAACCAACTTTCAAATAAATCAGCGTTGGTGCCTTCGCGGACAGAGAAAGTCTATTTGGAATCCAACCATCTTTAGAGTCAGCATGCAAAATAGTTATTTTTCTACCACTTCTTAATTGACTAATCAAATTCGATCAAAATGTTTTAAGTAACATCTTGTAGAGTGTTATCTGTCATTATTTAATGATAATATGTTCTTTACAATAAATTATTATGCGTTTATGATGTCCAATTTAGTACTAATTCAAAGTCGGGGCAAATTTGATTTCAATAAAAATATTGTATTTTATAAGAAAACCTGTTCCATTAATATTGCATGTGCCTGTAACTAAAAAATAGGACTTTCTAGGATATCGTTAACAGCATAATGGTTTGTTATAATTTGAATGGCTTCTTTTCCAATCGTGTGTTTTATTGATTTATAAAATGAAGCAAAATTATATTTAATTTTGATCAAATCGTTATCGTTTTTTTTTAATTTTACAACGTTTTTTCTCTGACTGTATAAGCCTGAACATCCGATTCCATTTAGTTATCAGAACGACGCCACAGCGATGTAACGCACAATATGAATAAATATAAATTTCATTGTAGTTTTAAAATTATTTGGCTCGTCAATTGATACAAAAACATTTGACCGGCCAATTCCACAACCCAAAACATTATAACAGATATACGATACATATACGAGAAAGAACACGAAAATAAATGCAATTTCTACAAGTCATTTTTCCCAATAAGTATGAGGGACATCCATCTTTGAGTAGTTTGTGAGGAAAATAAGCAAAATGTAATGTAAAATCTCTTAGTTTAGTTAGTTAGTTTATCAGATATATATTTTTTTATCAAATATACATTTAGTCAAACAAGCAGGGTTCATAGACACACTTGCAGTAATTTCGACGAGCTAGAACCAGTGCTTCGCACTTAGTTCTGATTCAGAATTCAGAATGTCTTTGTCAATGGCACGGTGAATTGACCAGCCCCAACACCAGTTGTAATGCCAATTTCCGCGTGAATTACATTTTTTTTTCTTTCCCGACAAATTCACGTCAACATTAAATCATTGAAAATTTAGAAGTGGTAATAACAACCTCCTGCACGTCAATAATACTGCTTATCGAACCGAATTATTATTAATTAATTATTTTTTATTTATTTTAGTTTTTACTTTCCTAGTTCTCCAAATTTCAATTTGCAACCTTACAGTTAATAAAAATGATGTCTCAAAGGCTTCTAGTTTACTCATAAAACAGGAATGCTGGTACATATTCCATGTCCATTTTTAATACCAACTGCCAACCTATAAGATTGTTAAGACGTTTTTGGACATAATTCCGTTTGTTTGCAGTTTTAATACCTGATAATATTGTTACATTTTTAAATCTGCTAAATTAGTTCAAAGTCACTCACTATTCACACAACAGTTGATTATAATTGCGCGCTCAGCGGTTTTACTTTTTTAACTAACTCTCCAGGGAGCGGTGCTTCGCTTTCATATTATTTTACATATGCGCAATCTCTTTGCAGGTGTATTCCGCTCAAAACAATACGGTTTCAAGTCGATCAGGCGCCATTCAAGATGGGGGCCACTGCATATGGTACGGGCAGTGCAACCAGAAAGGGACGCTTAAACAAAATTGCGCCTACGACGGTCCCCCCAAACCCCTGAACGAGTCGGGAAGTGCTATTTTAGCGAAATGGTGTCCGAACATGTCGTCCGATTTGACTTGCTGTGATCTCGACCAGCTAGAAACTATGGACGCTAGCATTAAGTTGGCTGCCGGTCTTTTGCAACGGTGTCCGAGTTGCATGAGAAACGTGGCCACCCAGATCTGCGCCATGACTTGCTCTCCGGTTCATTCCACATTTTTGGAGGTGATCAAGACAGCTACGAACCCCACCACAAACAAAACCTACGTGGACGCAGTCAATTTTTACATCTCCGAGCAATATCTGAACAACACCTTTGATTCGTGCAAACAGGTAAGAATATTGTGTTATCATTTTGGAAGGGGGGAGGGGGCGAAGTTTGGGATTTCAGAACATACCATACTGTTAGCATACGCCTTGTAGTGACGCTTGAGAGATTGGTGCAAAAATTGGTCCTTATCGCATAGAGCCAAAAACAATTAAGACCTCAAAAAACCTTAAAGCTTCATATCTCTTTCTAAATTTCTAAGGTCAAACAAATTTTGAAATGTAAGTTGGAAGTTACTCCTCAATTTTATGAAGCAGCTTCGTCTCTTTTTTTTGCTTGCACCCTAGTGCAATTGCAATGAAATAGCTTTTTTATGATTCGTACGCCGTGTCTCACTTATTCATAAAGCTAGCTGCTTTCGTGCCAAACTGAAATGTCGTAGCTATCTTGGGTTTTTAGCTACAGGCTGCATGTTGCACTTTTAGACAGTAATTTGTTATGCGTTAACTTATCGAAAAGATGAATACTGGTCTAGATAGGGTTTTTTCTACCAGAGGACAAAAATACCAAATACCAGTTTCTTGACCAATGCAAAGTTTTGCATTGCATAGTTATCCAGATCACATTTTAGTCGTTCACAATGACTTTCAGCTATATATTTTTATACATACATAGCATACAGTAAAATCCTGCAATTCGCTATATATTCTTCAATATCATTAGTGTAACAATCGAACAATAAAGGGGAAAGATGACCGACCACCCTGTGGCACTCCCGAAAGTACAGTGGATATTTGTGGAAATAAAATTTTCTGAGTAAAGTTTGCATGCAGTCCCAAGGCTTGCAGCTTCTTTAGTAAAATTGATCATTATCGTAAAAAAGTAAGAAAAGAATAAGAAAAAGGAGTGTTGAGAACTGATGAATCAATACTTGGTAAAAATTAACTCATCACTTTATATGTAGTTTTGTTTTGAACTTGCTGGACATTTGTTTTTGCGTGACTAGTTATTAGTACACTAGTTAAATAGAAAAAGGAAAAATATTATAACAATTGTACAACAACTATACAGGGTGTTACATAACTTAAATGTTGATTCTTTTAATATGAGGGTAAAAAAGGGATTTCCTCATTTTCATTGAAACTGCTTCAAGTATTTAGTCGATTCTTCGTTAGTGGCCCGCAATGTATAGAAACAATAATTTAGTAAAAATTGTTTTTCTACTTTCATCAGTGGCGGCCTGTGTATGCACGGCACGGCACGGCACTGTTTTTTTTAAATGGTAATTATTTTATTTATTTTTTGTTATAGGACGAAGGATTTGCAACCAAAAAAATTAAAAGTATTTATATCGCTAGATGCCTATAATTTAAAAATTGGTGACCTACGATGTTTTAAAACAGCCATCTTTTTTCAGCAAGGTTTCATTCAAAAGAATTCAATCGACTCAAAGATCGAATTTGTCCATATTTTTTTGTGTATTTAAATTGTTGATGTAGGTAGGTGCACCTATATTTCTCAAATTTCCTACTTAAAAGTTTTAATGTTTTACACTACTATCGCTTACGTTCATGCTAGAAAATTATTTCAAAATCCGGCGATCGAAGTGATTAAAATGTTTCACCCTGATAGCGGGTGTTTTGAATACACTCCGCTTAACTCATAGATTCATAGTAATTCAATAGATATAACTGACCCTTCACGACACAAAGTCAGGAGATAATTTTTCAATTGAATCGATTAATCACGATTTTGAAAATGTAATCTATTTTCGAAAAATGCAGTGGCGTACCATTTTTTTGTTTCAGTCTGAAACCCGGGCACCACTGGGGAAAGTAGAAAAGTAGTGTTCGTTCAAAAGAAAGTGGCGAAAACTTTTTTTTAATTTCAACTCCCTTTATATCAAAAATTGCTCTGAACTCCGATGGTCAAATACGAAAGCGGAATCTGTTTATAATGCTTGTGTCAAAAATTCTGTCATTTTTTGTAATCGTCCTCGTTTTTCTCACTAGGTGTCGGTACCGTCGACCGGGCAATTAGCTATGGATTTAATGTGCGGCAGCTGGGGGGCGTTACGGTGTACAGCGAAGAGGTGGTTCGAGTTTATGGGCACATCGGGTCCTTCGAATCCCTTCGTGCCCTTTCAGATCAACTATATCACCAACGAGGCAGTTAACTACAAACCCGTGGACCTGCCCATCACGCCCTGCAATCGAGGCATCGATGTGAGCATTTTAATAAAAATTTTAGATTAATTTGGAGAAATTAGTGAATTGCCATACCCTTCGAACTATATGAAAAAATTTTCTTTTATATTAAGCGTATCCTGACTTCATTTTTCACAATTTGGTATTAATTTTGAACGCATTCTTTTTTTTTCTGCTTCAAAAACGAAAAAATGGATTCTCAATCGCTATAAACAAAGACAACCAACATTTCATAGCCAAAATCTCCTTATATAACTAAATTATAATAACGTTAATTTCGTCGATTTGTTATCGGAAAACTATGAGTAGCAACAATTTGAAAATTTGGAATTCAACTTGGTGGGGACAATCCGGATGAAAAATTTTTAAGATGGCGGTATATCCGGATTTACCAGAAGTGCGTGTCAACCTTTTTAATGAAACACCCTATATATTATTGCCATTTGTTCCACTTCTTCAACGCTTTCATCAGTTATTGACATGCTGTGGCGTCCAGAGCGAGGTTCGTCATCGGATTCTTCTTGGCCATCTTGGAGCAGCATGAACATTTTTTCTTTTGCTCAAAGTAGATTCACCATATGGCGTTGTCCACGTTTTAAGTATTTTGTTTGCACTGTATTCCACTTTTTAGATAAAATTTTATGCAAATTTTTTGTTCCATTTTTTTTTGACAGCATAAGATCGCCGAGCACATGAAACTCGTCTAACACTTCTGTCTCGCAAAAAAAAGTAAACCTGCAAACTGACCGAAACTGTGAACATATTTTAGGGGCATGTGTACCAATATAACAAAAAAATGTCGAAGATCTAGTATACGTAGCCCGCCCAATTACAAAGTCACCTTACTTTTTGAACACACCTTGTATATAAAATAAGAAAGTTGACACTCAATGTTGGAGTCTGAGTGTAGCGATCAGCATTAGTGTAATTCCGAATTTTCACCTACATATAATTTTCCGACAACAGATCGACGGGACATCCTGTGAGTGAGTGACTGGAGTTACAGCTCCTGCTAATATGATTAAAAAGTCTTGATTAATTAAGAAATTGGAGAACACCTCGTATATAATAGGTGACTGAATTACGATGTGTTTATACAAAGCTTAAAAATTGTGTGAACTTTGTCAATATTAATATTGGAAGTTATATTATTCCAGAAAGATATGCAAAGCCCACAAAAACTTTTAGCATTGTGTCAGAGGATAAATGTAAATTACTGATTTCTAAAATGAATCATATATAACTTTGTTTTAAATTTGTGGAAAGTGTGAACAAAAAACCCAATACATTTTTTTTTATTTTTTGACTAAGATATACTTCTTAGTGCCTTGGAAATCACAATTAAATTATGCGTTAACAGGAAGGATATAATAAGTAGTGCCGTAGTCTAAACGTACAGTTCTAGTCTATGATCGGGGTTTTCATTTGTATGACCTGTTCAAAGTTCGATCGGTATAAAAAAAAATACTTTTATCACGCACGTACGAACCTCCATTTAAAGTAATTAAATGCTTCTTATATTCCGTACTGAACGTTGGTGAACGCAAAGTTATGTACGTTTGACCAGAACACGTACTCGTACATCTATTTTTAGAGTTGTTTTTTTTGCGAATTGTCCATAAACTTGTTTTTTGTTTAATGCGAATTTCCAAAAATACTCATTGTTGTGCTGGAAATTCTCCAACGTTTTAAATCGATCCGACGCAAAATAATAAATGTTTGGACCTTCAGGAACATGTCGGCTTACAAGAATTCGGTCAAGAACGCAATCAATGACGTCTCGTTAATTTTCCGAAAAAAATAATTAATCATAAATTTGAAAACAATTATTAGAGACACGTGTTTCTAACTTTGGGTAACTTGTTTTATGATTAACTTAATTTTAACCAACAAAGAACTTTTTTATTAGGCGCGAAAGGCGCTGTAATAATAATCTTTATATTGATTCAGGTGTAACCATAAAAATTACAAAGATAAACCAAGTGCATAATCTGGGGATGAAGATAAGAAAGTATTGACATAATTCGTTCATACTTCTGGGAACCAAATTATGAAATTTAGGTTTTAGAAGTTATGTTTGTAAAAAATGCGGTACTCTAGCGCTCTCGCTTTGTTCGGCGGTATTTGCTTAACATGCAATCACAGAGTAGAACGTAAATTATAGAGTAGTATAAAGGCTCCTGAGCCCGCATTGAATTAGGGTGTGCTGCATGCGATGAAGATAGGAGCAATTATAGAGAGCATCTCATAAGTATCTTTATTTTAAACGAACCGCCTTGGATATTATTTCATGTTCGGAGCTCTGAGAACTTTTTTTTTGACGAATCTTTATTTAACAATATATACAAACTTATTTAAAAGTCAATTAAATTGGACATCACAAACGCATAATAATTATAAAATGCATATTATTATTAAATAACGACAGATAACACTCTACAATTGCAAGATGTTATTTAAAACATTTTTCGACTAGTCAATTAAGAAATGGTCAATTGATCAGTCAATTAAGAAGTAGTCAATTGACCAGCCCCAACATTAAGTGCCATAGAAGGTACATCTCATTCAGAAATTGTCTGAAGATGATCCAGATCGGCGAATGGAATTTTGTGGTTGTGTTATGAATGAATCGATTTCATTTCCCAATTTCTCTAATTATATCCTTTTTTTGGATGAGGCTATTTTTTATTCTAATGGCTTCGTTAATCGACACAATTGCGGATATTATTGGTAAAAAGAAAATCTCTATTGGATGATGGAACGTCGTACCTAATATCCTCAAAGCTAAACGTATGGGTTGGAATAATTGGAGGAAATATTATAGGGCCTTTGTTTAGTATTCTCACCGTTGAAAAATATTATATCCTTATATGGACACAATTTATGCCCAACTAGCTTTGCTATATCCCAATATCAGAAATGGCGAAATAGGGATGATTGATTGCCGCATATGGTTTCACAAACAACTACTTACTAAAATACTTGAATCAAATGTTCCTAAATTGGTGATGGATGGGATCGAGTGGCCGCCTCGTTCGCCAGATTTAAATCACTTAGATTCTTTGCTTTGGCAAAACTAAAGTGTAAAACACCAAATTCAACACCTTGGCTGGCTTAGAAGAGCGGATAAAAGACGACATCCGAGCCATAACACCAAACGCCCCCTTCGGGAATTTACCGATCACTTGGGATACTGTCCAGTAGCAGAAGGACGTCAGTTTGAGTTTTTATTAAAATGAGCACCTTTTTCTTCCTTAATGTTTAAATATTTTTTATTGTTATTTACGTTTACCAATTCGTTAAAATCATTAATTATGTCGTTCATAAATTGTTGTTGGTCTTTTAACAAATATCTGTAAGCAGTGCTTAGAGGTCTGGTCTCGAGCAAAATTAACTTTGAGTAAGTTATATATAGTGTGGGTATAAATATATAAATAGAATACTATCTATATATTAAGAATACAGTTTTTAAGTTAGTAAACCATTAAAAGATCTTAGTGCATTAACAATTTTAATTTGATATATATTTTTTTATACTTCTCGTCTCATAGTTATGCGCTTGATTAGATAAAATTGTTGATACATTAGATTTTTGTTCAATATTTAGTATTTTAAATATTAACTTAAAGATATTGAGTTCTTTTTATAGTCTAGTTGTGTTAGTTGGTCTGTCGTAATCACGTAATATTTTTGCTATTTTGTTTTATAAGACTTGTAATCTTTGAAATTTTTGTTTTGCTACAAGTTCCCCATAAAACGAGATATAAAAAACATTGTAAATCCTATCCTTAGCAATAACGTCTCGTTGGTTAAATATCTCAACATTATTTATTTGCTCGAAAGGTGTATTATTAACATTTAATGGCAGATTCCTTAATTCCAACTAGTTTCTAAGATATCTAGAATAATTTAAAAAATTTGAATGATGTAACATAATTTTGAACAATACTCCTAAAAACACAAGAATCGTCTTTTCAATGGATTCAAATCGGGTGATCAGTATGGGCAGTTGCAGAGTTTCTTAACTTTTTTGAAGTAAATAAAACCAAGAACATGTCAAACTTGGCCAAAATGAATGCTAACTTTGGGCGTCGATTGACTTTTGATGGAAAATACGAAATAGCAAGAAAACCGTTAAAAATAGGTCGATGTAGAATTAGATTGTGGATCACAATATACAATAATATACAGAGTCGTCGTATTTAAGGAAACGATGTTTTTTATTCTTGGAAATGATGTAAGGTTGGTAATTTTTTTTTACCCTGTAAGCCATAAATCAATTTTCAATACCTATTTCCAAAAGGCGATTCTTGTGTTTCTGTTTACCAGCGATTAAAAATGGTTAAAAAAAATGTTTAAAGTTTTTCAATTAATTACAATATTTAAGAAACATAGATATTAAGTATATATAACCTAGAGGAACCTATCGTGAAATTGTCTCATAAATCCAAAAACGAAATAATATACAAGGTGTTCTGTTTAAAATAAGTAATTTGAGTGCTGTGAGATCCTTATGAGTTTGTGAGATCCCCTACAGTGCATCCATACAACGCGGCAGTAACGAGTTACCTTGAATATGGCTCCTGACGCAAGCCGTTTACAAATTTGATCAAAGATCATGACGAAGAAATTAAAGATAAATAAGAATTTAGGACAAAGATTGAAATTAATAAAATTTAGATGGTCTACTCGTCTACTTTTCTATACACATGCAATGTTTTTATTAAGCAAAATGGACTCGATTATTTAGGTGGAATTTTGTTTTTAAAGGTTGTTTTTTAAATTTCGATACAATAAACGATACATTTAACCATTTGTTAGTGTCAAATGGCTAAGCAAAAATGTTTTTACGACGCGTATAATAACTTGTGAAAAATTCATAATCTCTACACTAGAAACGAGAGAAGTGAGTTTGATATGCTGAATAAAATCCAATTTATACTACTTATATTAATTTATATATTCTCTAAAACTTATTTCTCTTACGTTTAGAGCTAATTTAGGTTACATATTGAAATACAGTTTTTTTAAACAAATTGTTTATGGACTTGCTCTATAAAAGTTTTTAATTTTATTTGTCATATTTTGCAATACCTACAGTTTTTTAAACAAAATGTCTATTACCACAATTGTTAGACTTGCGATGAAGGAATAAGTGTGTGTACAATAGGTTCTACAGTTGCTTTGTTTTCTGCTTACTGAGATCTCATAAAATTATTATTTAAATTGTTAAATCTTTCATGATTTCGGCATTATTACCATTTCCAATAGAGGTTACACCTATAAATTTATGAAAACAAACGCTTTGCACCGATTTACGCCCACAAATTCGGGAAAAATTAGCTGGTAATTTTTTGCAATTTGCTAGTAGACACTTTGAAATATTAACGAGAAGAAATGCATGCAGAAATACATGTAGAAATTGCATCGGATCTACCGGGCTTTAGATAGTGTTTTATCAATCGGAATTTTAATAGGCAACCACACCGGCTTGCAGCTGTGTAGACTGCGAGGCCAGTTGTCCAGTGCCGCCACCCCAACCGCCAAAGCCCCTGCCATTCACCATAGCCGGATTTAACGGCCTTTCATTTCTGATGGTTGTGCTTTGGGTGGTGGGTTCGCTGATGTTCCTAATAGGGGTGTGCGCGTGCACGTCCGGAAGAAATCTGGGTAAGTCTCGTTAGTGACTTGTCACGCTTTGCCCGATTTATTTGGTATCATTTTTTTTTCATTAATCGATATCACTTTATGTTCTCGCGCTATTTTTTTGGCATTCATTCGTTTATTCGTCTTGGGCTAGGTATTTCGGACTTCATGACAGTGAACGATATACATTATACTCAGCCATTAACGGGTGTTAATGAAAACAATGCGGATGGGACGGTAAACTCTCATCAAGGTAGATCCCTAAGTGTCTGTGTATGTGTGCGCGAATGCATCGCTTTTCGTGAATATGTGTTTTACATGGGTGTTATTGCATATATTTCGGCTAGTAACTACTAACCTTGCAGTGCGGAACGAGATCTCGGAAACTTTGAAGGTCGTTGTGAAATTCATTAGATAATAATAGTAATAGTAATGACTTTATTGCAACGCAAAATTACGTATGGCCAAGTTTTAGCTTAGCTTCCCAACTTAACCTAATCTAGCGTAGCCTTATTGCAGCCTTACATGCTAGATAGGCTTTAAAAAAACACAAAAGATTAGAACATACTCTACAAAAGTGATGAGACCATTTCCGTGTTAAATGTACAGCTACTGAGACGTTTTAAGCTACTTGGTACTTCATTATAACAGGTGTAGGCCCGGTAACTAAACGTGGTGGTGGGATTTTTGTCTTAAAACCAGACTATAAGCATCATGGTTACATTTTTTTTATAAAAATTTCCTGGACGTTTGGTGCTAGACTATGAATGTGTCTTCTTTTTTTCATAGGTAGACACCGAATTTCTTTCATCCAAACTCGTCGCCCATTACCAGTTTCAAATTTCAAGCTTTGTTGGGAATACCCAGTTTTTCTCTACCTACAGCAATAGCAACTGACATTTTTTAGGGTTTAATTGCAAGCAAATGTTTCTGAGAAGCGTCCGAGAGTCTTATATGCATATTTAGCTTATTGTTGGTATCTAAAATTTACTCTGACTTAATGGACAAACGTACTGGCGAATCAACGGCATTGTGAATCTGTCAATAATCTGCGTCATTGATGAAATGAACACAACGTGCTGCCAATATAGGCAAATAATTGTTAATAGTGAACTAGTTGATTTCCCGCCCTTTTGGCAATAGAATGTATGTTACATATTGAATTTGAATATTTGGAATAACTTTTTGCAGTTTTTTTGAAAGATAACCAAAGACGTTATAACCAAGAAACCTGACAAACGCTTAATATTTTCGGACCGAAACACTAGTACCCAAACTTTTAATGGTCCAATTATATTCAGATTAAAAAAAATATTTTTATGTGTAAATTTCTTGAAATGGGCGAACTGTTTAAAATGAAAAGTAATACATTAAAACAATAAGATAGAATTTACTTATAACCTGTAAGATGCTTAACCAATCGTTAATACAAGGGATGAAAGTTTGGCTCAATATTATTACTTTCAGTTTAATCGAGGATTGCTTTGTAGCATTCAGTACGGAGCTCTTCGTTTATGAAGCAAATATTAATAATATTTTAAAAATGTACCCCAAAATAGCCTCATAAATTTAAAAAAAATCATAGGAAAGCAACAGGAAAGTCTTGAAACTACATTTGGTAGTCTCAATTCTTTGTAAACCTCACATTAACATAAATATTGCTTTATATACAAAAATACTATTTCCTACTATTAGAGGCTTAAAAAAAAGCTTAAAAAAAACTTTTATAAAATTTTACCTAGAAGCTGACCTAACAATTTAATCCACAACATTCTAAAAATATATTTCAAACTGTATTTAGGGCTCTAATTATTAGAGACTGATTGGTGACAGGAATTTTATGAATTTAGAATATGCCCGGGTTTTATAATTGTTCGGTGGCTGGCCAATTTGAAAGATTTGCCCACAGCGCTGTACTGCCATCATTGTCGGATTTTGACATTGATTATTTTGGGATTTTACAAGTGTTTTTTCTAAATATTAATTGAAAGTAATTGGTGGAAAGAAATCAGAGAAAATCCGTTGTCTCCCAGGCAAGTTTTTTATGTTGCCTGTCGGTTTAGACTCATTTTATTGATGATAACGCCTTTTACGATAACAAATGAAACGTAACATGGTACTGAATTTTTTTTGGAGGTCAATTGACTATTGATCCCAAAATTGAGGTACTTGCAAGCTTTACAATTTTCGAGATCTTTATCCGCATCATCGTATTTTAATTTGCGGATACGTGGCGCTATTTTTATTGAATTGCGCTTCAATTCCGCCAAAATGAAATTCAAACCGTTTCCCAATACACGGTGCATTTCATTTGTTTTTTAGATGTTTTTAATTGGTGAGCTTTTTAATTAAGCACTTGGGAGTTTGCCACGTTTATAACGCGGCCTGTATTTTTTTTTACCTCGCGATTAAATGTAAACAAAACGTCAACCTCCCGTACCCAGCTGAAAATGCAAAGGTCATTGTTACCAAATCAGGTAAAACCGCTATCGCTATTTTTAATGATTTTCTGTGTGCGATGTACAAAAGAAAATTATCTCAGTTAGTCATTTGCAAAATTATTATGAATTTGTTTTGTATCACTCAAATATATTGTCCACTAACTCACATGACGAATCTCGGGAATTAAGATAACACGTATCTCGAAAATTTAAGTTAACTGCGCCTTTGTTTAATTTTAAGTGATCGATGAGAGCCCGTGAATTTGCAGGGTCGGTTAAAAAGCACTGCCAAAATTGATTACAATATGTTTTACCCAGTGACGAGCATGACAGTTTCGGGTTATTTTCAATCACCTTATAAAAAATACAAAGCTGGCCCGGCAATCATCAGTAACAGCTTATCAGCCACATTCCAAACGCACATGCAAACCCTTGCCACATTTAAAATGTATTAATATACCTAATTAAAGATTAATATTATTAATATATTAATTAGGTTTGGGTATATTTTTGGACCATAAATTAATATTTAAGGAACACATTGGTCCAAAATTAAGTTTACGTATTCTTTGTTGGAAATCGTGTACTTGCTAAATCAGGGCACAAAAAAAATGTGAATCTAATGAATATATATAATGGAGATAGTTGAATGCGACTAATTTCTTTAATGATACCTTTAAATGTGGCGTACCGTCATATTTGATTGACAAAATTATTACATAGGTATACTGCGACCAGAAATATAGTGCTTTTACAACCGACCCCGTGATTAAAGAACACCCTGTCGAGCAGACCCTTACGGTCCTAGGAATTTATCTACCTACACTGAGAAGCGGGTTATGAGTATGTTTTCAATTTTTCTCGCCGAGCAATTCTTGATACATGTACATAAAAAAATTAGTACAAAGTAACAATTTATTACGTTCTATTTCTTTTCTTTTTTCTATTTATTTACATTTCCACATAGAATCATTATTAATATACAAAATATTAAATATAATAATAATAAAGTATCAGTCGCTACTGTTCCATTATAAATTGTTTGGAACCGAAAATACATTTTCTTCAAAAAAGTACGCAACGACTCTTTGGCACAACTAGTGTTTAAGCCTGTCAGTACTTCTTTATGCAGTGCTTTTAGGGTGAGTATACTATTCACTTTATAAGCGTCCTAGATTATACGCCTAATTAGATCTGCGTGTTGGTCTTTAAAAACTCTTGAAGTATTTTCTGTCGTTTTCTTCTTGACTATCCCACTTGCAATATTTTTTCTTACAGTTGACTTCGGAACTTTGGTCATGTCACTTGTTTTTATTACTGCTCATACGTCTCTTTCTGAATTTCTTATAAAATTGTAAACATTCAAAACAATTTGTTTAGCATCCGAAGACAAATGGATCCTTCTTTTATTTGCTGAGGTAGTTCGTCTTCTAAATTGTCATTAGGTTCGACCACCATCTCCACCTCGTCTTCAAATTCTGCGTGGTTTCCATGTCTGCTTCATTCCACTTTCTCCACATTTTAAAGTGTTAAAAAACAGGAAACTTAAAAAAAATGTTTAATTTTAAGGTTCTAATAAATATTTATCAATATTCTTATGACGTGCATTTATCTACCTTGAATATAATCTTTAGTCTTAAAAAAGACTGTTGTATACAAATCGAAGAGCTATGTAGAAAACGCAAAAATAAAGAAGAAGAATGTTGTTAATCGACAGGCATCCAAGACAAGAGTGATTATATTCAAACTTACGTGTAAGATAAAACAGTGAAAACAGCCTCGTGGGGTCAAAGCTCGAGAATCAGGTACATAAATACGTACTTACTGGAAGGATCACAGTCAAGTACGGCCGTGATATATACGAATATTAGAATAAACTCTTAACACATCACCTAATGCTAAAATAAACACTTTTACTTATTCGAAAATGCCCCGTAGCATTCGTTACGGTCCATCTCAGGCAAGACCTACTTAATGCAGAATAAACGGCTCTTGGGATGGGTTTTACCACTGTCCTGTGAAGCTCAAATAAGCTCAGCTTAAATAAAATCTTTTAGTTGGTGTTTGGGATTAAGATTGTATATTAAATTCTAATTTTGTGTTTAAATTTGTCTATTTTTCTCAACGTTTTGACCCTGATATAATTGTTTTTCAAGTAAAAAGTAGAGATTTATTATCAAATAACAATATTGAAACATATAACATACCTGAGTAGATGAATAATTTGAATTGATTAAAATAATTGTTTATCCGCGGTGGCATAACTACTGATATTGAATACTGAATATTTAAATTAAAAAAAAAGAATAAATTAAAAAGATTAAATTAAGTGCAATACAATTAAAAAATGCATTGGATTCTTATCAGGACCAATGCACATAGTAGGTTTTCTGTCACTACATATTAAATCGAAAACAGCTTTTAACTGTTGTTTCTTTACTACCATTTAACTGATATCCGATTTTTGTTTAATTTTTGTTTCCGTGTCACTTTTTTATTGCACCATTGCTTATTACTTGTCATCTTTTCTGACAACCATTACCATTATGCTTGTCACTTAAAGCATTCTCCTTAGCTTTTTTTTATAGTGGGTACTTGTGATTTTTTTAATACTACTCTCGTCGAAACTCGTAGCGTTAATTTTTCTGCACAATTCACTAGACAGGCAGTTCCTATGAAACAAGACAAGCTTTTAGTTTGTAGATCTAGCTTATGTCTTTACTATTTCTTATATTTGTTAAATAATAAATAGAAAATAAAATAATATAAATAATGGAATTTCGGAATTTCAATTTTCGTAAATTGGGTTTCATTTTAAATTTCAATTTTTTAACCACTAATAAGTAATGGGACGGTCTCTATATATTAGGGCAACGCAAAAGCATGTACTTACTATTTAATTTTCAACCACACCGATAAATTACCAACGCCTTGAAAAAATTTCCATATAAACAGGACTTTAGTTTTACGAGACTTTAAATTCTCCGCGCACTTAATATTACTTTGTATACGGGCAGCTGCCGAAATTTTCTTCGCAAAGCAGGTCTCCTAATATGTTTTCATAAAGTATTTTTTTTTAAAGTTATTCACGACGATTTTTTCTCCGCTTTTCTCCATATTTTTTCACCCAGTGGATGAATATTATTATATGTAACCAATACAATCCCTTAAAATATTTTTTAAAATAACAACATTGTTGTTTTACTTTGAAAATTATTTATCTACAACATTTTAGACATTAACATGATGTTGTTTGCTAATATAGACGAGTTTCGTGTCTATAACTTTTCTCCCTTGTCCTCTCTATTTTTAGAACAATGAAAAGTGAGAAATAACGGGAGCGTAAGGGTTTTGTTTTTAGCGTAGGTAACCTATTAGTAAAAAGTTCGTAAAACTGCAAAAAAACAGTCATTTTTGCTCGGTGGACGTTCGCAATCGTAAATCGCAGCCTTTAAAAAAGTTAATGAAAAGCGAAACAAATGAATTTGTCTATATTAATATATGTCATTATAGAAACGTGTAAAATATTGTAAATAAATAATTTTCAAAAGCAATTTGATCCGGTGAGTGGAAAAAAAACGGGCGAATAACGAAATAACCGAGGAATTCATTTTATTCGTGAACATTTTATTCGTGAATAACTCTTAAAAGGGGTTAAAAGATCTTTTTTGTAGGGCATTAATTTCCCTTTAAAAGTCAATATTGTCCTTTTTTGTATATTGCGTTGTTTATTAGTAAAAACATTCTAAAATGAAAAAGTTAAATCAAAAAAACATTTAGTGTGTGTAGTGATGAAAATTTCCAATCACACCTTTTTTACAGAGAATTAAATTTAAAAATTTCACGTTATTTAAAAAAAAATCTGTTTGAGATTCTCTATATTATATTTTTCATAAAAAGAATAGTCTTTTTTTTTTACCTATCTAGAACAGTGGCGCTTTTCAATAGCTCTCGTCGATAACCGCGTACAGGTTGAGTGCATATCGCGCGGATTAGCAAAAACTGGGATTGGGATTTACGACCCGTCGTATTTTGCTTTGGATATAACGTGTCATTGGTTACATCTAACTCTAACGGCTTGCACGTTGTTATTTTCGGTTTGCATGTTACGACTACGTTTTTTTGTGGATCTCTTTCCAGTGGGTATGGTGAGTGGGCACACTTCTGAGGAAATGAGGGTGGCAGTCGCGCGCCGTTTGGCCTCGGCCGAGCGCCATTCATCTCAGGTGGCTCTGGGCGAAGCGGGCGAGGACAGTCCCTTACAGAGCAGTAAACGATCTAGTACGTTGGAGATTTCCACGTGGAGAAGTCTGATTTCTGTGGTCTTGTTCTATGTTGCGCCTTTTTAAACCCAGCGCGATTTTTTCGATTCGATTTGATGACTGTCATGAAAGAAAATGGAAATCAAATTTTTCCAATGCTTTTTACTAACGTTTGGAATTTAAATTAACCGAGAAACACGAATAATGTTAACATTGTTTGTGTTTTTAGTTTGTTTGACTGTTTTAAACATGTTTTAAAATTTTGTTTTAAATCCCTTTTACGTTTTTTTATCTTTTCTCTTTTTTTGGGAATGTCAACGTAAAGATTTGATTATTTGAGTACAAGATGTCGCATTTTGGGTAGTTTTCCTTGGTATCTTTGTTTTCGCCACAGAGCTCTATTTTTACGTAAAACCAAAGATGGTCTCATCTCGTATGACCATTTAAGAACGCAGTGGTGTAGACATTTTTTATATAGTATATTTATACCATCTGCAATTGACAAGTATCAATAATAAACTATCGACTCATCTTGTTGTAGTTAAACAGCCTTATAGAAAATGACAATTTTTTTAAAACTGAATTCATAATTTAATAGTACAGCATGAATAACAGTAATGTACCATTTAATATTAAAGAAATGCCTTTAAGAGTCTAGAGTTGTGACTTGGGACACCATCAACTCTGATTTTCTGGGTGCCAGTTGCTGGTATTGTGGCGATTCGAAATGCCCAAAACAACAAGAACAAATTTATAATCATCGTAGAGATTATCAAAGCCATAAAAGCTTACTTATCTTTGGAAATGTAATTCCAAAGCTTTTTCAAAATTTTCATTACTCTGCATAATACATACTAGCATGCCATATTTTTCATAATGTTAATTAAATAAAATTACCAAAAAAAGAAAAGAAAATAAACTGCTTTATAAACCAAAACTCGATAAGATATATTTGACATTTATTTTTATTTCCTTTTATAAAAAATTGTTTTGGTCTACTATTAAATTGTGCATTTAATTTTAGTTTGCCATAAAAGGTGCATAGTTTTAAAAATATCAGAAATGAGAGATTTTATAATATGGGGGGTCCGTTAAATTTGATTTTTAACACCCCTGGATTCGACGGAAAAAATATAATCTATCCTGCAAGAGTTCCCAAAATGAGACTTCGTCTACATATCGCTAATGTGCATTACATCCATTTGATTTGTTTTTTCATAAAGTTTAATACAGTCATTCAAATTCAAGGGGGAATTATTTTTTGGTTTACGGGGCTGAGGAGTGGTGACATTTTTTTGCGTAACTAACTCGTATAGAATATTGGTGGTTAATTACTCGTGTTTAGAACGCAAAGCATTTCCTGTTGTTGAGACTGTATACTGGTATTTTTAAGCGTTTGTTAATAAACTCGAACGTAATTCCCCGCTCGAAAAATAATTTTGGCTTGGTCAAATAGTTTGAGAACCCGAGGTACATATTTGGCAGTTTCACACTGATCTGGCAATTGTATTGATCCATCTTGTTTGGTAGCTTACGTCAATATATGCGTTTTCCCCATAGGTATCTCGTCGGAAGCTGGCCACGAAATGGATACCCATTCGATCAACAAAATGCCCGACGAATACGAAAGTTCGTCGTTTATTGAAAGGTAATTCGTTTGGGTCCAAGTGATTTTTTGCCAGATATGACCCATCCATAGTTTCTATTAAAATTGCTTATATGAAGTTACCAACATGTCGTTAATTAAAAAATGTTTTTAATTATTTTATTATGATTTCTATAAAAAAAGGTGGAACCAATAGTAATCACCCAAAAGTGGCGAGTCATTAAATAATTCATAAAAATCTCCCGTTAAGTGCCTTCCGTTTGTAAATTTCTGATGATAACATCGATACATATAGCCATTACATAATATATTGTTCATACTGTTCAAATTGTTGATGCGCTTCAATTTCAAGAAAATTTGAAACAACTGGTATAATTTCCGCGGGATGTTTCAAAAGTTCTGCGAATTTTGCTATAATTAAATACCGCAGAAGTTATAGGCAATGTTTTGACATGTTGCAACTATCTAGTGTTTTAGTTCCAATTTTCATAGTGCTATTTTTGAAATCATGGAAAACGCTGGAAATATTCGAAGAGCAATAATTTTTTTTTGTGGGAGGAAGGTGTGAAAACATTAGCAATTATTAGTCCGCAAGGAGTACTTTTTATAAAGCTTCTGGATTCCTTTTTGTTGAGTCGAAATTGCTGACGTTTCGTCAATCATCCTGTTGGCTTCTTCAGAGCTTGATTGAAAGTGGCTCGTATTTTACTCTGTACCTGCTTATATATTGTTTGAAGGGGAACGCTAATGAGGGGTATAAACACCGTCGGATGACTGATTCCCAAATTGGTGCCAGGTAGAGACCTGAGTCGCGGTTACGATTGTTAGGTTGTTTATAGATTTCTATAGACTCTTGGATTCTTTGTTGGTAGAAGAACTGATTACATGCAAGGATTTTAGTTTTATCGAATAAAATTTTATGCCCGGTTTCACGAGTGTGTTCGGCAACAGCGTGTTCTTTGAGCCTAGTTGATATTTTTCGTCCGGTCTCTCCAATATATTCTTTCCCGCATATGCATGGAATGCTGCAAACTCCTGGCATCTCAAATGGAATTTTGTCTTTGACGTCTTGGACAATTAAAAAGCATTACATTAGATAAACAAGATATTCTAGTTAGTTTCGTCTTAGAATTCCTCTTCACCAAAGTTCCTATTCCTGAAACCCTCGACATAATTTCAGATATATTAAAATCCGAGAATCTGGAACCAAACCTTCTCATCTTAATTGAACATATTTTTCTTGTAACGGTCAAATGTTTGAACAAACGTCGGGAACAGCTGTGGATTCTCCACTATCACCAGTCATCGCGAATATATTTATGGAAGCCTTTGAGAAGAAAGCTCTCGACACCTTCCATCTAAAACCAAAATTATGGAAACGCTACTTCTATGATACTTTTGTTATTTGGCCTCATGGTCAAGAAACCCTAGTAGATTTTCTTAGACATTTAAACTCGATACACCGTAACATACGTTTTACCATTGAGTTGGAAGCTAATAATAATCTGCCATTCTTAGATATTCTTATCAATAGAAAATCAGACCTAACATTGGGTCATTGTGTTTACAGAAAACCTACGCACACAGACCGATACCTTAGTGCATGGTCACATCACCATCCGGCCCAAAAACCATCGGTTATCAACTCTCTTGTTTACAGAGCCGTAAATCTATTTCAGCCTGAGTCATTGAAAACAGACTTAAAACACCTTACCTCTGCTCTTCTCTCTAATAATTTCCACATTAAAGATATTAATCGTTTCATCAAAAAATACACTTCACCACAACCTTCCAGTGTTTATACCCCTTATTAGCGCCCCTCCTCAAACAATATATAAGCAGTTACAGAGTAAAATACGAGCCAGTTTCAATCAAGCTCTGAAGAAGTCAACAGGATGATTGGCGAAACGTCAGCAATTTCGACTCGACAAAAACCAACGCAGCAAGAATTCAGAAGCTTTGTAAAAAGTATTACAGTAGCCTGTGGAAGTTTCTTTGAAAAAGAAAAATATCCGCAAGGAGTATTTGGTCGGTTTGCAGAATCCAAAAGCCGTGGGTCGGTGGATATCACATCATTAGAATATTATCCACGCAGTGGGCTTCCAAGCACGTCGTTACTGAAAGAGTACTGGGAATTACGTAAAATTAGTGTAGGTCAAGTCTTCTGAAAAACCAGACCGTTAAAATTAATAGACGGATAAGAATGGTCCGGGCCACATGTCTTGAAGAATTAGTGAATTCCCTTTACAATTAACAAGAAAAGTATTTAACTCCCGCGTTATTCCAGCCGTGACATATGTTGCGCAAACGTGACCCTCTACATCTAGACTGAATAAGAAAAACCGAATGTATCTTAGAAAAGACAAATGATAGGAGTAGGAAAGATATCGAACCAGTGCTCTGGATGCTATTAAGCAAAGAGCAAGACTTAAATGGAGATGGACAGGCCACAACGAACACCTTGAGGATAATAGATTGAATAGAGAACTCGGAAAAACTTATGATAGAGAAAACTGGACATAAATGGGAGAAGCCTATATTCAGAGATGGTCTGAGTAGAAAAAGGGCTAAGGTTGAGGTTGGGGTGTCAGAGCTGTCAGAAATTTGACAACGAATTAACCACTGACGAAATATGGATTTCTTATTTCATTCCTGAGACCAAAAGTCGCTGAAGAAGGCACTCAAGGGCTGTTTCTCTGTTGGAAAGTTAATACTTATTCTGGGATTACGAAGGAATGATGTTTTTTAATTATCTAGCGAAAGGTATTACAATTAAACCAGAATATTATTTCAATTTATTGTCTGGACTACTGCGATAGGCACTGGTAAAAAACGACTTGAAAAGTTGCGTAAGGGTCGTTAGTACAAAAGAATAATACAAGACCACAAAGAAGAACGGAACATGTTTTGAACTATTTGCCATGGGAATTGCTTCCTCCTTCTTTTTCAAATTCCATCTCCGAGGCGGAAGTTGGCAATCATCATTGATCTTCTTACTATACTTTTGTTTCCCGGGATCTTTCCCTGTACGATAAGTTGAAGCCTGGCATATGGTATCCCGCGTGTGTATCCCACTTGTGATATGTCCAAGGTACTGTGCTTTTCTGGTCTTAATTGTTTCTATTATCTCCATTTCTTTGTTTTTCCTTCTCATAACAACATTGGATGTTTTTAGAATGCTTCTATACAACCTTAATTCTAATGATTCTAGTTGGTGAGATCCCTTCTACGGACTAGCTTTTTTAATTTCTATTCTTCCATTACTCTTTTTACAATAGTCGTATTGTGGAGTTTATTGCAAGTCCGTATTCTGGACCACATTCGACAATTGCATTCATGAAGATCAGGGAAGAATCTATTCGAAGTATGCGTTGAAAAGGAGTGGTGATAATATGCAACCTTGTGTTACACCTGGCTCTATTTCGATTTGTTTCGAGTGTTTTGATGGCTTCTTATTGGGATATGTTTACATCTAAATGGAGATTATATTGAAAGGCTGCATTGCAATATTGACCAAAATAATACAAAATTATAGCTAAATTCCCAGAACTTTGAAAACATCCATCCTAACATTTATAACAAAATTATTTAAAATGTTTTTAAAAAAGTTGTCAGATGAATTTAGAAAACAATCGTCGAGGGTATCGAAATTTACAAGAAATGTAAAGAGTACAATTTAAAATAAAAAAAAGTTGCTACCTCTTTTTTCAAATTTTGTATATTGAAACTACAGCACATTCTATAGCGAGATACACAATTTCCCTTAAATTAATTAAATAACTAGAACGTAGAAACGGTGCGGCCACATTATTTTCATTAAAATAGAACATTGTCATAAAAATGTGAACTTCTGCTAAATTTGATGAATGTGCCTCTATAAATCCTATTTCAAGTGAATGCATTACAAATACGGTTAAACAACAATATTACTAGCGCCTTACGATCTTTGAACTAAAAGAACTTCAAAATGGAGAAGCTAAAGCTAGAATTAAATGAAAAAAAGCTGAGAAAGCGAACGTTGCAAAAAGCCCCTCGCGAATAATTTACAGTTAAAAACAATTTTAGGTGGGGTGCCAACGCTGACTCCTTCCTGCAAAAGGTCTTCGAAGCTTGGGGCACGTTTTGCGCCGAAAAACCCTGGCTGGTGCTGTTTGTCGGCGGGTGTGTCGTGGTCGCGTTGGGTCACGGTATAAAACAATTGAAGGTACCAAGCGCTACCGTTGATTCGAATTTCGATTCTATTCTGACGTTATATTCTAGGTAACCACCGATCCGGTGGAATTGTGGGCTTCGCCGACGTCACGAAGTCGCGTAGAACGCGAATATTTCGATTCGCATTTCAACCCCTTCTATAGAACGGAGCAGATTATCATAAGAGCCGTGAACATGTCCAGCATCGTTCATCCGACATCGAACGGCAACGTAACTTTCGGCGCCGCCTTCAACGACACGTTTTTGAAGGAAGTGCTGGCCCTTCAACAGCGAATCAAAGCGATCGGCTCGAATACCACTCACGGTTTCGAAAGGATTTGTTTCGCGCCGCTGAGAAACGCCGAAGACATCCCCACTTTGGATCAGTGCGCGGTCCAAAGTATATGGGGTTACTATCAGGACAGTGTCGAGGTGTTTGACGAGACCGACGTCGATCCGGACGGCTTCGAGTTGAATTATTTGGATACGTTCTTGAAATGCGTTGGGTGAGTCAATTGAATGGATTTAGATTTACTTTTCCAAATGTATAGCATATTCGATAGTTTGCACGAGTCAATAATTAGGCTTCTGAAGAAATTAAACCAAAACACACAAAAAAACGAATTATTTGTTATTGTCAAGTAAACAAATTTGTGTTATTGTTTGTGTTAATTTTTTAATATTTCATATATGAATTAGAGTACAATATCCCAAAAACTGCATTTGTTATTAATGAGAATTACTTTATTTCATTTCATTTAAGATGGGAGACTTCACATCCCATACCTTAGACAAGGCTCCAAAAACGGCCAAGCAGTGATTTAAATGAGATAAAACCAAGGAGTCGCAGAGAAGTTTTTTGATTTCTCCCGATAAGCAATTGTCTGCGGGAATAAATTAGTTTTGAACCTGAACAAAATTTCAACAAACTATGGGATTAATTTGAAGGGATCATTTTCACAGTTATAAAAGCTAATTCTAATTCGATGGTTGTCATCAAAAGACGTATAGAGATTAGTGTCGTCGACACACAGATGGTTTTTCAGATGTGTAAGTGATCGATGAAATTGACAAGTATAAATAGCTCCCAGGATGCTACCTTCAGGTACTCCGAATTTAATGCCGATGCTGTTTTGAGGGGCTCCATCAATAACCACTTGCTGATTTCGATCAGATAAGAGTGATTTTACCAGGCTCGTTCGGTCAGGTTTTTATTGGTATTTTAAACTTCGTGTTGTGATTATTGTTAATGGCGCCTAAAATATTTTTTATCGTCTGAAACTAATCACTATTAATTAATTGACTTGCCGCCTCTGGATTTTTTCCGACTTTTGTGAATCATATCACAATTATAGTCACACGTCACAATCTGACAATATTCACTTGTTATCTACATTATGGCCTTGTCGATCAAAGACCTATACCTGTTTAAAATGTAAATGATTGAAAATCATTCAAGGTCACTAATATAAAAAAACTTATTTTTCCGTTGGTAATTATTAAACTAATTGTTTAATTATAGTTTGCATTGAAAACGTTTTGATAGAAACACAAAATTTTAAAATTTCAAAATTAGTAAAGAAGTTGCCTCAATTTTTTTAAAATACACTTTTTTGAAACAAACCACGCTAATATGGTTTTCGTCTATCTTTTTTGGAAAGGGTCGTTTCCCTTCAAAAGTGTCCGAAAACTCTATAATAGGGAAAAAGCAATTCATAATTTGGGAGTTGTTTGTGTAGTTTTTTTTTTAACTTATTATATTTTTTATTTGCGGAACCTTAATAATTAGTTATTTATTCCTTATATTGTGGGCATAGTATACGCATTGATTAGATTAAAAATAAACTGGATGGTATTTTTGTTTATTTTGTTTGTTTGTTTATTTTTCGTTTCTTCTTTTTACTGCAACTGTATTTTCATGTTATAATTTGAACTTGTGCTATATAGCGAAATTGTACTTAAAATTGTACCTTTTACTTTCATAATTTTTATTTCTATTCTGCCTGTTTTTCACGTATTTTAATGAAATGATCCACGGGTGTCCTTTTTTGATTAATACGCACCTTGACTTTACTGCCCCGAATTGTTTTTTTTAGAGTTTATGCAGGGGTTTATTCTGCTTTTTGTAGGCTTCTGAAGAAACTAAACAAAAACACACAAAAAAACTAAGAATGTGTTGTTATTGTCAAGTTAACAAATGTGTGTTATTGTTCGGTGTTAATTTTTTAATATTTAATATATGAATTAGAGTACAATATCCCAAAATCTACATTTGTTATTAAAAATGCACAAAGTAGGAGGCGTTATTAAGCGAAATATGCCCAAGGTCAGAGACCGGGAAAATTTAGAACGCAATAATGAGTATAGACCATCTGTCTTTTCCAGTATTTTTTACTTTCTCTCTTCTAGAAAATTTGCATGAGAAGTATAACTGAAAAGCGAAATTATATGTAATAAACAAACTAATAAATAAATAAATAAAGTCTGTGCTCTAAAATCAAAAATGCGATAATGAAAGTTCCAGCAAAGAAGAACGCATTATTAACGGGTTGACCCATCGTTTCGACTCGCTTTGTATAATATACGACCAAAAATTCTTTTGGTACACATTTCTAACCAACAAAAAGAAAACACAAAATGTTAAAAACAAATAATAAAAGCATCGCTAATCGAGTATCCTTTTGCAGCAATCCGTACAATACGGAATGCCTGGCGCCCTATGGAGGACCGGTGGAGCCCGCTATCGCTCTGGGCGGTTTTCTAAAGCCGGGACAAACGCTGGCCAAACAACCGAGCTACCAAAACGCGACCGCCATCATTTTAACGTTCCTAGTCAATAATTACCACAACAAATCGAAAGTGGTGCCCGCCATGGAATGGGAAAAACAGTTCGTCGAGTTTATGAAGAACTATACCGCAAACGAGAAACCGGATTACATGGACGTAGCCTATACGAGCGAGAGATCTATCGAAGACGAATTGGACAGGGAATCGCAATCGGACGTGATCACCATTTTGGTGTCGTATTTGATCATGTTCGCGTACATAGCCGTTTCGTTAGGGCAAGTAAACAGCTGCTCGAGACTCCTTATCGACAGCAAAATCACTCTGGGTTTGGGGGGCGTGACCATAGTGCTAGCGTCCGTGGTGTCGTCGGTCGGATTGTTCGGGTTTGTCGGTATGCCGGCCACCCTTATAATCATCGAGGTCATCCCGTTCCTCGTATTGGCCGTGGGGGTCGATAATATTTTCATACTAGTCCAGACTCACCAACGGGAAACGAAAAAACCGACGGAAACTCATGCCCAACACATCGGGCGCACGTTGGGCCAAGTGGGGCCTAGCATATTATTGACTAGCGTCTCGGAGAGTTGTTGCTTCTTTTTGGGCGGCCTTTCGGACATGCCTGCCGTCAGGGCCTTCGCCCTTTATGCCGGCATGGCTTTGTTAATAGACTTCCTCCTTCAAATCACCTGTTTCGTCAGCTTACTCTCTTTGGACACCATCAGGCAGAACTCGAATAGGTTCGATATATTCTGTTGCATACGCGGCAGTAAAAAGAACGAGCCCAGTGCCATCGGCGGCCAGGAGGGGCTGCTTTACACCTTCTTCAAGTCGATATACGTCCCAATATTGATGAACAAAATGGTTCGTTGCGCGGTGATGGTCGTGTTCTTTGGGTGGTTGTGTTCGTCGATAGCGGTTGTGCCCAGTATTGAAATCGGGCTGGACCAAGAGCTGTCCATGCCGGAAGACTCATATGTGTTAAAATACTTCAAGTTCTTGAAAGACTATCTCAGCATAGGACCGCCCATGTATTTTGTGGTAAAGTCCGGTTTGAACTACTCTCAGCCGAAAGATCAAAATCTTATATGCGGCGGACAGTATTGCGACGCGGACTCGCTGATCACGCAGGTGTTTGTGGCGAGCAAAATTCCCGAAACGACGTACATAGCGAAACCTACCAGCAGCTGGTTGGACGACTATTTCGATTGGTCGGCAGGGGAGGATTGCTGCAAGATTAACCCGCAAACGGGCGCTTTTTGCCAACATACTGATAGTAAGTATATATATATATATATATATATATATATATATATATATATATATATATATATATATCGCTTTTTTTTTTCAAAGAAGCCCTTTAATGTGCTGATTCAGTACGATCAGTTTGTTGCTACTGATCTGATAACTGTCCTGCGCATGCGCAAGTTAAGAAAAACTTTTCGAGCATGATCAAACGATTCTATTTACATTGTAACCAATTTTGGAATCGTTTTCTAGCGGCAATTTGGGTAGTTGCCATTCAGTGGGAACTGTTTGCTCCGACATTGCACAATTAAGTAGATTATCAGCTGATTGACGTTAGTGTGGAGGTTGCTCGGTTTTTGTCATGCTTCTTCTTGTGGTTTATTCTTTGAAATGTCTCAAGTTTTCTTTTATTTTTGACACAAAACTCTTTTAAAATGTTGCTTTGGTTTGTGCTTATTAATTTTAATTTACTTATTTGTACGTGTTATTCATTATGAATCGGATCTAGTAGTTCAAATGCATCTCATTGCGAATTCTTTGATGCTGCACCGTTATTGAAATATTTCAATCAGAGAAACAATAACTTTAAATTTTGCAGTGTTATTTATTCAACGAAAAATTGTCATATACGCGTAAGAGAATTCTTCTGGGGTTTGATAGGTTATTGTAGTAAGGGGGCCTTCAATAAATTGCCATGTCTATCGGACGTCCCTTCATCTATCCATTGGTTTCTCATTTGGTAGGTGTCGCCTAGTAAAGCCTCTCCAGATGAGCATTCTTTCCACCTGCTCGGCGATCTTCCTCTTCTTCTTTCTTTCAACTGGTATATTGTTTTTTGCCATTCTTGGCAATCTGTCATCTTTCATTAATATTCTAACCCATTTTGTCATGTCTTGGCACTTTGCTCTCTAAGGTATTCATTTTTCACTCTGTAATATAGTGATTTGGTCTCAGAATTATGAGAAGCTTTCTTCATTTGTGCTTGTACTTCCCTTTTGAAATTTTCGTTGCTCATTAAATCTGCCACCCAGATATGTAAATTGATTGACCTCTATGGTCTTTAGATGTCGATGTTCACTATCGCTCAAATTCTTTATTAAAAAGGTGAGGTAACTTTTGTAAATTGTCCTTTTCTGTCATCCATTATTACATTGCAAAAATAGTGGGTTGATGGAATCTCCTCTATTTATATTTACTTCGATAGCCAGTATATGTTCTAAGGGGTTTCTAAAGTAACCACTAGGGGGCGTAATTTGCAATTCGATTTCTAAAACCCGGTTCTGCAAAACTTTCTTACATTAACTATAGAAGAGCGAGTAATTTCTTAAGGTTGAGACAAAGTCTAATCATTTTTGTCAAATGCTCTTCACTTTATCCCTCTAAGGAGAGTGGTGGGGTGTGTTCGAACTTTTTCACAATGAATATCAATAACTAATCAACACCATATCATCCATAAATAATTTTCGAAAAATAAAAACTGCAATGATCTGACTTTTACAACATTATATTAGCCAGCAAATAAAAGGTCCACGACCCACTGAGAACCGTATCTCAATATCTTGATCCCAGTTTAAAATATGAACAAGAGAACTTAATTTTTAATTTGTCAGTGACATACGTTAAATCAAGTTGGAAACCACTAGGCACAAACAATATAATAAAGCAATTAAGTCAGTGGCAAATATTCAGGGATTTGTTTATATTAGTATATTTTCAAGAATTCTTGCGACTTTCGAAAGTAAGTGCAAATATTTTGAATCCTTTTAAATGAAGTTTTTTACCATTTTTGAAAGTCATTGAGATTTTTCTTTAACTAACTAAGGCAACGACCAACAATAAAATAATTTAATAAATTCATTTGTTTGGTTACAAAATTAAACATACAAACACAAGAATGATAAAAAAACTGACAGCATTTAAAGATATTGTTCACAGTTTTAACTTAACTGGCCCCCTTTACGTAAATACAGGGTGACTCAGGGTTTAACTGTCAAACGTTTAAAATGGGGTTTCAGGTATAAATAAGACTTCTTTTTCCTACAGACATATGTCCAACATGATTTGTTTTCGAGATGAAGTCTTTATAAATTTTTTATTAATTATTCAAAAACCTTTTTTTTTATTTTGATAAAATTTGTCGTTTTTATTTACGATAATAATGTAATTAGAAAAAAAATTAATAATTGATGTTGGAATAAATGATTTCCTTTTTTGAAACAAATTTCCTTTATTTTAGCACAGTATTACATTGTAATACAGATGAAATATTTTTTTTTCAAGAACAAAACGCGTTACGAAAAAACTAGAACAGTAGCGAGCAATACATTTTCTAATAAATATCAATTCGAGTACCTTCTGTGATGCCAATGGGAGTAAAACTTTAAAAGTTTAATCAAAACCAATCCGAGATCGGTTCGACTGCATGCCTGAATCAAATGCTCTTTCTTCATGTTGATCATTGTGCTTGTTATAGCATCCTTCAGCGATGAAATAGTGTTATGGAGATGTGTATTGGTCTCTCGCTCAACTGCGGCCCATACGTAATAATCAAGGGGATTAAGCTAAGTGGCCATAAGTTTGGGTTGATGTGGTCATAAAAATTTTCAGCCATCGAATTCTGTGTCTTGTCTCTGCTTCCGAATTTGTGCCGGCATAAACTGTTTTCGACGAATAACGTAGAACTTATAGCGGAAGACAACTGGACCGATTTTACTCTCAGAAACATTAAGGTGCCTCGCAATGGCTCTGATGGAATTTGAGGGAATTCTTGCACTTATTGGACAAATTGTGTAATTCTAGTAGTGTTCGAACATTCCTCGTGTATTGTGCGTTTTGAAACAGTTTCTACATCGCCAATTGATGCTTCCAATTCACGACGAACTTTATGTACGAATGATCGGGCGCAGTTGAGAAAATTGGAGATTTCTAAATCGGTGTGTTTGGAGCAATAAGCGAAGATAACTTCTCATTTCTTCTCTTCATTTCTTGCGTTACTTGATAGTCCTCCATCTTACAAAAAAAAAACAACAAAAATGTTAAATAAATTACAGCCACATATATGGATGTCCTCAAAAGCTCCCGTGATTGGTCTACCCAGGCACTCCATTTGCCAAAATAGTATTTATATGGTAATATCTAAGGATTATAAAAGTTTAACTAAAAAAAAGAAATCAAAAATGGTTGTAACTCGGTAATCATAGAGTAAGCTTTATTCTGTAGATTAATTAAATACCTAATTTTGAATTTATTCAAAATTTCTTAGTGTTAGTATTTTATTTGTATATAACTGTATATCGGGATGTATATATGAAGTAATTTATTATGGTTGAAAATTCTAGTAAATTATTGTTGTTAGAAGGTGCACCCACGGCTTTTTGGATGCAATTATGCAAGTACAGGCAATGATATATTGGTTAGTTTTTTAGTTAGCTATTCTTTATTTGTTCATTCTAAAATTTTTTGTCTTGTTAGTAAATAACTGGACCACTAAAATAAACCCCTCAATGCTTACCAACAGGTTTTACTTATTCCAGGCGAATGCGACCAATGCAGCATATCGTTCCGTCCGGACAATCATCGGCCGATACCGACCGACTTCGAACGATACGTGTCGTTCTTTTTGCGGGACAACCCCGACGACACGTGCGCCAAAGCGGGTCACGCGGCCTACGGCGAGGGCGTGAACTATCGGACGAACAGGACCACGCATTTGTCTCGAGTGGGCGCGAGCTACTTCATGACCTACCACACTATTCTAAAAACGTCGGCCGACTATTACGAAAGCATGAGGGCTGCCCGTACATTATCCGCCAACCTCACCAAAACGGTGGGCGTGGACGTGTTCCCCTACTCCGTCTTCTACGTGTTCTACGAACAATATTTGACGATGTGGCCTGACACCCTGCAAAGTTTGGGTATCAGTTTGCTAGCGATATTCGTCGCCACCTTCTTGCTGATGGGCCTGGACATCTTCTCCAGTTTCGTCGTGACGATAACGATCGCGATGATCCTAATCAATTTGGGCGGTCTCATGTACTGGTGGCGTATCACTTTGAACGCCGTTTCGCTGGTTAATCTCGTGATGGCGGTCGGCATTTCGGTCGAGTTCTGTTCCCATCTCGTGCACAGTTTCGCGGTATCGTTGAAACCGACCCGGGTGGAAAGGGCGGCGGACGCCCTCACCCGAATGGGGAGCTCGATTTTCTCGGGCATCACGCTGACGAAATTCGGCGGCATCATAGTGCTGTACTTCGCAAAGTCGCAGATTTTCAAAGTGTTTTACTTCAGGATGTACTTGGGGATCGTTTTATACGGCGCCGCCCACGGACTGATCTTTTTGCCGGTCCTGCTCAGTTTTATAGGTAAGCGGATTTCGTTTCGGCGAATCGCTATTTTCAATCCGCCCTAATAGGGAACTTGAACATAATTTTTATTAAAAAAATATTGCTTATGAAGTTTAGTATATACTATTAAAGGAATCACAGTTCACAAAAATAAATAATTTTGTTGTTCTATGTAACAAATATTGTAAAATTTAAATTCTCTTTGAAACTCGTTGTCATTGGCTGTGACCCGTTGTGATTTCAATTCGCGACTTCGCGCCAGCCGGGCGGTATCATAAAGAAACCAAGAGAACGACAACGCGTCTTGGTGGTTTTAATAAGTCCAATCTGACAATTTTTCTTTAGTGTATTTAATATTTTTTGATGAGAGACCGCTTCTGATTTTTTTAAGAGTTTACCGTGCAAAATTTTTGGTAGTAAGAAATGTGTAGTATGCATATTCTGATAGTCCTATATATAATCGAAGTCTATTTTGTAACTTGGTAATTGGTTTGCTTTTCTTTATTAAGTTCAATTGCTTCACTAAGTGTTACTCTGTAATCAGTACTTATACTACCACTTCCATTTTCACTATTATTTTGACAACTTTGCACACATATATATTGTTTAGAGAACTTATTGATAACTTCATTTCAATTTTAATGGACTCACTTTTATTCATGATAATGCAACCATAACTCCAGAACATAGTTTACATAGAATAGCATTGCTTCTGACCCTAGGACATGCTTGCATAGAAACCTCCCCCTTTGAATAGCACAGTGTCACTAATTTCCAACTGAATTTCTGTAGGGCTGGGCTGATGGTCAGCTGATCTTAGTGGGAAGTCTGCCCTCTGGTCTGGGGTACTAGATGCAGCTACATGTAAATCATCCTGATTTTCTTTTTGCGGTGTCTTACAAGACAAGCCAGCATTAGGTGCTCTTCTTCACACTAAGCGCAAATACTCGCAATACTAACCTAATAATAGCACTATAACGACCATGTCGGCTCGCCATGTGGATTGAAAAGCAGCGGTATGACGTCACGATCATTTCCGCGGGTTTAGTGTCGTTTAAAAGGAATAGCCGGTTGTCACAACGTGAATTATTTATTGCAATTTAAATATTGGTGTTTAAGATACATTAACAAATTTGAAAAAATGTTCAAGTTCCCTATCGCTGATGCTATAGATGGAAGGAGACCGACAAGCCTTAATAGTTCACAACAACAACAACGAAGTCACATTCCAAATATATGTACTTGATCCATTATAAATGTTAAATTTTTTAAATTTAAAACCGGTATTGACTAAAAATAATATCGTCACTAAGTTGGCCATGCATCATCGCGGAGTCACACCAACATTCCCTCTTTTATTTAACTGTGGCAGTTGTGGCATATTTTCAATATTATTGTTCAAAATTAGACATTTTGTTGTTTATAAAAATGGTAAAAATGGAAATAGGGTTTGACGCGATCATATGAAAATGCACAGGAACCATAGATCTTAAAGAAACAAAACTGACCAACCAAATAGATTAATATAACATTTTAAATTTTTTTAAAAAATGCATTAAATTACATACTCGAAATGGTTATCAATTTGGAGAATTAAAAAAAAAATAATTCCACCCTTTTAAATGTAAGTTCAGCATTCGACTGAGGATTTAGCATTTTGCACCACAGTAGAGATATCCGATAGAAAAAACGTACACTACTGTGTTGGATGTCGATCTTAAACGTCTTTATAATTCGACGATGACGTCAGAAATCTTCTTAAGAATTTTAATAGGAGGAATGTAAAATCATTTAGAAAGCATCACATTCGATGAATTAGTGGAAATTATGTGGGTTGAAATAAATAATATTAATGATTTATATCCTGACCGGATAATTAGCTTCTTTGCAACATTCGCTTTTGCAGTTCCTTTCACATAATTGGATATGACAATTTCACCGTGCTTGCTTTCTCTATTTTAAAGCTATTCAAATATCTTGAAGCACTAGAAAACGTCGAAGGATTTGTGACGTCACTATACACATGGCTGTAAAGGTCGAGACACGCGAGTGCGTGCGAGTAAGTGCGAATCTGTATGTGTCAAAACTCATGGCGCGTTCAGTTCCAAGCACGGCTCGAAGCGAATCAGATTGTGTCTGATTTTTAGAGCAAGTGCGAATGCCAACTTCATTTTTCGCACAGCAGCAGCTCCCACCAACTGACGAACCTCGACGTTTACCTGTATAGTGAATAGTGTGTGGCCGCAATTTGTTTCGCACTTGCTCGCGGAGTTATCTGGACACACTTGCGCGCGGACTTGCCTGCGTGTGTATAGCCCCCATTATATTTTGTAAACGGTGTTCATTGTTTTTATTTTTTTTTGGTAATGTATTCATCACTTGAAACAAGATTTATAAATGTAGATTCGTTAAATTTACCAGGAGTTTACATGTTTGTGGTAATGGGTTATGGTTATATTGGAAATATGGCTAACAGAGACTAAATAAATGCAAGTATGTTATAGCAAATTGAAGGTACCCACTATAAGTACATAGTTTCACGCGATTAATAATAAAATTAATTTAATAAAAAATTGAGCAATTATAGTTTAAGGCAATCAAAAAATTGAGGCCTTTATTCACGTTTCCCTTTTTCATTGTTATTATGTATATTTTGTTTTACCTAAAATGAGGTCAATAATTTAGTTTATGAAATATGAAATTAAACATTCTCATCAAATTGGTAAATAAATCGGCTAGTTAGCTGAAATTTATGAGTTTATTGTTAATTTAACAATTTTTATTTTACGAATTTATAATATGTACTAATTTTACAAGACCCATACAGAAATACATTTTTTAAACAAAAATCACTTGGGAATCTTCGCAATATTATATATTTTTATTACACAATGAGACTTTCTTTTCCTAGATTTTAAATTATTACACTCATACACAAACCCTAAACTACAATTAAAAGCGCTCCTCACGCAACCCAGCTTCTCTCGTTTATTTAATGGATTTAACACTTCGCTATAAAATGTATTCTATTTCCAAAATTTAAAAAAAAATGTGTAGAAGGCCTATTGAAAGCTTTAGATGATTTCAGCATTTAGTGCATTCTTCCGTATATTTTTTGATTCATATGTTCGCCCACCCTATTTGCATTTTTGACATTTTTTTTTATATACAACATCTATATTTCGAATTTATAATCAAGTGAAAAAACGCTATATTTATCACATTTTGAACAATAATAATATTCTAACCACAAGTGACGATTTTATTTTTGGCTAGTTCTGGCCTTAATATGTAAAATCACTATAATGCATATTTTTGAAATCAGGTTTTTTCTTTTTATGAAATAATATGCAGCGCTTCCAATTAAACAAAATGATATCCTATGCTTTTTTGGCACACTTTGTATATAAATAAATATGTTACATTAGATCAACACATTAAACTCTACAACTTTTTTATTAAGCTTTTTTTTTTCTAAAATGTAAAAGAAAAAAAAGTTATATATGGCCACACCCTTACGGGTGTGGCCATTTTTCATTTGACAAAAGATAACCATTTTCAAAACAGCCCTAATTGGCTTTGTTTTTGAGACACATGGTGAAATAAACAATTTGGCCATTTCAATTACCCCTTTATTTTTAACGCCCTCTAAATTGTAATCCTATAGATCCTTTCACGTAGAATCCAATGAGCTACTCACATTTTTTGTAAAAGATATCATTTTTAAGATACGAGCTATCCTTATTTTAACATGTTATTTTACCACCAAAAATACAAATAGATCATCAAAAATAGAAAAAACTGTTTAAATTTTATATTTTAAATAATATATTTTGGCAACAAATACATTTTCCCAAAGCTTCCAACTTTTCAACATATTTGACATTTTGACTGCGCATTTGCGTTTAAATTTATTGAATATACAATAGTTTTGGTGATGCATCCCTTTCTCATTTTAACACACATTCAGCTCTGCACACATTCTTAGCTGAAACAATTTTTAGCCCCTCCACATTATGAAACGCATCCTGACAAGTGGTTTTGAATCAGTAATTTTGATTTGAGGTTTTATTTAGATTGGCTGTTGGTTTTTAAGCCGTTTTGTTTGGTCTCCTTTAGATATGTTATCATCGGCTACCACAAGCTTTTCTGACTCAACCATTTGAATTACATACGCGCTTCCCTGCTTTTTTCTTAATGTTGCATGAAAATCTGCCTGAAAGTTTTAATTTAAGCACTTCAGTGCGTCAACTAACAACTAAATTCATTTATTTATATATTTTTATTTATCAATATATCTTGCAGAATTTAGCAGTCCATTTGGACATAAGCGGTATATTCTTTAATATAGTTCACGACACTCTGAACGGCTGCAAGCTCACATCGACCAGAACTCTGATCTGTACCTTTTAGGAATGGTTTATGTTATTAACGGATACGCAAGATGATTGATAAATCTCCACATCTTACCGGTGAACTGGTTATCGCTTTCCCACATTGCTGATCGATAAGGAAATAAGGCAAAGGATGTTACTCTGCAAGCATGAATCGCTTTCAACTAGATTTTTGTGCAAGTTTTAAACCAATTGATTATTGTACTTGTCTGGTTTAGGGGATTTCTGTTTTATGTACAGCTTTTTTGTTGCGGTCTTCAACACTTAACGCATATGTTATCATTGTATAATGTAATGTAATGTTTATATAATATTTTTCGGCGCAGGAACTCCCATGAATAAGGAAAAATTGGCCAAACACCGGAATTTAAACGGGGAGCATTTTCAGGAAACACATTTGGGCAGAGTAAGGATTTTTTGTCTCTTTTCTTACAGCTTTCTCGTTATTTCGATGTTAGCATATTTAGTCTCAACATTAGTTGCTTAAATTTTTTTTTCTTACTTATAAACAAGTCCTAATAGGTTTTTTCTCAGCTACGCACTCAATAATTATTGAAAAAATTATTCCACATATGCCCTATTGTATTACATATCATTGACGGTAGGTTTATTTAGAAAAGATCGGACAAGTGATATTCGTTAAGCCGCCAATAACAAAATTACATTTTATCACGGAATCAATACCGTTGCTAATTGGTAATAGATCTTTCTCGAAAACAAAGTTGTGCAGTAAACATTGCTCAGAAAAAATTTATTGTATACTGCTGATTTGCATGGAATTTATTAGTCACTTGTCTGGACTCTTTTAGATATAGATATTGTGATTGGAATAGCTTTTGAGAAGTAATTTGGGTGCTTCTGCTTAAATCAATTCGATATGATCAATTTCATTGAAAGCAATTATCGTGGTGAATTTGTTTGCACTGTTCACGAAAAAAAGCGTATTTGACATAAGCATGTGGTATTAATTTAGAAATATTTACTTACATCTTTGCACTAATTTGACTGAGTTATCAATATTGAATCTTGTATGACGATTTTTGCAGGCCTGATGAATAAGAAAAGGTTAAAAGTAAAACGTGTAGAGTCAGATGAGTCAACTGCCACATCGCCCCTGCTGCCCTCAACATCGCGGCAAAACTACGATTCTCTAAGACCAGATTTTTCATAACATTTAGTAATCAATCAATCGAATATTTCAAAGGTATTATTTAAATGTTAAATGTAGTGAAATTTTGTATATCTAGTTACTGATGCTAAATCTCTGTGAAATTTGGTCTTGAGAAATTGTGATATTTACGTTAGCCAATTCTTAATGTATTTAGTTGCTTTTGAGAAATTTGTTTAAAAAAAAAACATATGATTACCAAAGTGAAGTACCATTGAGTATAGAATTCTGTATTGAATTGTTGTATAAAAGAGGAACACAGTAGTAGTAACTAATAGAGTCGATATAGTATTATTTACTTGTAACTAATTTTCAGAGGAAACAAAATTAATAAAAGAAAATAAATGTTTAAAAAAAAATTTCTAACCAAAATACTGTTTGTGTATAATCAAGACTGCACTTTTATACCGTAATATTTTCTATATGTGCAATTTTATAAATACTTGTGAAAAAGTAAAAAAAAATTATTCAAATTTGACTTATTCAGCGTGCTCTTATTTAAAATTAGTGCTAATAATTTCATCTATACCTTTTGCAGTTTTTCAGCAGTGGTTTTTGCATTTGTAAACTTATACTTGTACTTAGAAGTTTTTTATATAATGATTTTCGTTAAATAGTAAAAAATCTCCTCTTTATATTTATCAGCAAAAGCAGTGGAGGCAACAATAGAAAACTTTATTTTATTAACATTCCGTAGCATTGACTTTAATATATTATGTGCAGTGGTCTTATTTCAAACATTGTATACATTGGTTTAAAAATAAATTAGGGTTTTAGTTTAGTGTATTTTTTTTTAATTTAACCTTATTATATCAATATTTCCTTTCCATTTCTTCCCACTCCTCTTATATTTTTTCTATTTAATTCTATTTTTTGAATGATTGGAGCTGCCAAAGTCATAAAAACAAAAATGCTTAGTTACCCTTAACTACCAGTTGGTAACAGCAGTAGTGAATATGGATCATAAAAGGAGCGATCACGATTTTCAGAGGCAAATTTTCTTTAGAGGGAGGTTGGTAGTAATGAGGATTCTCTTCTTCCTCGAACGCAATAAGAGGTTGTATAATATTATTTCTCAATTTTTCTTCTTTTCAACAGTGACGACGCTCTTCTTTCCGTGCAGGTGTTTATCAATAAATATTTTTTTAAAATGGTAAATTCTTGTATAGCATTTGGATGCAGTAGTGTATATATAACCTCTGCAAAAAGAAGTTTATCTTTTTGGTAACTAACGCAAAGTATCTATACCTACTGCATATGACATTCTGATTTTATTTCATAAATAAAAAATAACTCCAAGTTATTATATAAATTATATAAAAAAATGTATTTTCATGTAGGTATACTGGTCATCCATTTTAAATGTTACTCCTCTCTAACTTTTTCATTTTACATACTTATGTATATACCGGGTGTGTCAGAAGCGAATAATATATCATTTTTTTTAATTTTAAGCTGATTTTACATGTAATTACATATTATATTCTAGTTTTGGTTAGTTTTTTTTTTTAATAACAACAGAATTCACGGGGTCACGCCAATGATTAGTCTTTTGTTTAACAATGACGGTTGTGGCATATCTTGAATGTTATGAAAATTTTTATATATTGTATATAAAAAATTATAAAAATGCAATCATACCACCAAACGCGATTATAACATCCAATATGGATTGGATGGATTATAGCCAGCTGATGGCCTAGTTCCTACTCTTCTAGATACCTTTTTGTGGGAATATTAGTTAGGAGCTAAATAAATAATAATAATTTACATGCTGACTGGATAACTAAGCTAAGTTAAAAATAGGGCATCAACTGTATTCAGCAAAATAGAGGTGATTTTCAACATTTGGCGCAATATTACTAATCAATGAATTATTTTTGAACAATTCTGGGCTTAATGTAAAAACTATCAGGGTACAATGGCCTTTCTTTTTATATAGAACTATAAAAACTGTAAATATATTATTTTATGAGTACTATGCTTTTTGGTCACACTTCGTATATAAATAAATATTTAATATTAAAAATATACATTCAATCCTATAACTTTTTTTCTAAAACGTAAAATTAAAAAAAAAAACCGTTATTAACTCTTTAAGTTGTAATTAATTTTACAAGATGTGTGTATTATTTTGAAATAAAAAAAATCAGTATTTTGGTATTATATAAATATTTTGAAAGGAATATATAATTTTTAATTAAATTAATATTTCAGGAAGTACTTCTATATTTTAATTATGTTTAAAATAATACTCTAAATATACACTGCTACTTTGGAGCAATATTTTTTTAAACTTTAGAAAAGATTTCAATCTTTCAAATCTATAAGTGTATATCATGTTTTATGCGCTTTTATAGTTGCTTTTTTAAGAACAAATATTTCAAGATTTATATCGCTGAATCGCATAATGAGAACATCCTATTGTCCTATTTATATAAATGAACAAGAGAATGGCAAGAATCCCCATAACTAACAGTGTTTTTTAAATGTAAAGTTTTTAAGTTTTTAACTTTATTAAGATATTAATGGGCTACTGGCTCTGGCTAGTTTTCCCAAGTTGCAATGATGTCATTTTGTGATTCATCGTCAGTGCTGCCAATTACATCTGAAAACTTGACCATATATGGAGATATCCTTTTCGTTACTGTTTTGGCGTGTTCGAATTCCCTAAGTAATCCCCACCAAATTTGAGATGTCAACGTCAAGTTTTCAACTTTCTGGAACTGTCAAATTAAATTGTTAATAATTATTGTTTTGTAAAAATATTTTTTTAGTTAATATCACTATGGTAAGCAAAATAAGAATTTGCCTTTTTACAATAATTTTGATATTAGCTTGAGCTGAGTTGGTTATATTTGGTTAAATTGTATTGTGGCACACCCAAAATCTGGGCTTTATGAGTCTAAGGTTGAAATAAAATATCAACTACTGTTTTCTATGAATAGCATGTTAAACAACATTAAAATATATTTTAGGGTGACCAGTTTGATTGCGCCCTAGACCTCATGAGGAGGTTGCCTCCTCAGCAAATAGAAAAGAATTTAAGTGACCTAATAGATTTAGTTCCAAGTTTATGTGAAGATTTACTGTCATCTGTAGATCAGCCTTTAAAAATTGCTAAAGATAAGGAAACTGGCAAAGATTATTTACTTTGTGATTACAACAGGGATGGTGACTCATACAGGTAATAACAATATTTTATAGCAATAAATCTAATATTTGTATTATTTTGTATAATTTTAGGTCGCCATGGTCGAACACATACTATCCACCCTTGGATGATGGTCAAATGCCATCAGAAAGATTAAGGAAATTAGAATTGGACGCTAATCATGCTTTTGACCAGTATAGAGAAATGTATTTTGAGGGGGGTGTCAGCTCAGTTTATTTTTGGGATTTAGATCATGGATTTGCAGGTAAGAATTTTGTTTATTGTTGTTAAATGCAATTGATAATATTAATACTTTTAATTGCAGGTGTTATTCTTATTAAAAAAATGGGGGATGGTAGTAAGAAAATTAAAGGATGCTGGGACTCTCTGCATGTTGTAGAGGTTCAGGAAAAAAGCACGGGCCGCACTTCACATTATAAAATGACTTCCACTGCTATGTTATGGCTTCAGACCAATAAACCAGGTTCAGGCACTATGAACTTGGGTGGCAGTCTCACAAGACAAGTAAGTGTAATTTATAGGTAAAAGTAGGAATCCAAAATTGTGCCATTTTTTTTCTCAGATAGAGCAAGATGCGGCAGTTAATGAAAATAACCCTCATATTGTCAACATAGGTCGAATGGTGGAGGATATGGAAAATAAAATTCGAAATACCTTAAATGAGATCTACTTTAGTAAAACTAAGGACATTGTAAATAGTTTAAGATCAGTGCAACCATTGACTGAGAGCAGACAGCAGCAGGCCTTAAAGCAGGATTTGGCCGCCGCTTTACAAAGGAGGCACAATAAAACGGACAACTGATGCTACCAGATTTACCACATAAATTACGAGGAAGGTTGATAAGAGATCCATAGATATATTTCCTTTGAAGTTTAGAATATAAGTGACATTGTTCTTCTTTGGCCTAAGACAAGGTTAAACAAGGTGGCTCAACGATTTTTTAAATGGGATTTAAATAAATTTTGTTTTGTGCAAAGAAAACAATTTATAGGCTAATTGCTTCAGAAATGTAGATATGCACATATGGTTCAAAGAAAATTATCATTAAGCTTTGCTGTAAGCCTTTTATCATTTTCATAAATAAATATTTAGAGATGTGTGTATTAGAATTATTACATCTTCAATTATCAAAAATTGTCACTTATATTTTAAAATGGTACCAGGTATACTACATTTTGAGAATGTGTTGCTCCTTAAGATTTTATTTATTTTCATCATAATGCATCTCAAATTGTGCTATATGGACATATCGAGGAAATTATTTTATTAATATTGGAGACGTGTAGGAAGATGTAATTCATAAAAGAAAATGAATGCCAAATTTTTGGTGGGGTAAAAACCTCTAAAACACTAAGGTTGCAAGGGTTATTCCTCCGCTAGACCAGAGATGTATTTTGTTTCTCAAGTTTAATAAATTATTTTTTATATAGCTCTATAAAAATGCAATATTGGATAACCAAAATTTACTAATAAAATAATTTGTACACATTCAGTTTTATTTTTATCCATATGGCAAGTAATTTTTCTATGTAATATAATAGTTACACAGCAAACATTCATTTAGGAGGAAATTTTTTTGAAAAATTTATAATATGATGGAGTATCTCAGGCAATGAACCATACATTATACAATTTATTTTTGACTGCATTTTATGGTTACTACCAAAATGTCACTAATATAAAACTAGTTTACTAATTTTCCCAAAAAAAAGATTATTCCATACTAAATTGTAGATAGATTCCATCGTTTTTGGCACCCACTTTAGATTGTGATGTAAAAAAGAAACCGAAATTAAAACCTAATAAAGGTAATGAAAAATGTTATTGCTCCCCAGGTTAAACCTCTTATGTAACAAAGTTATGACTATTACAATTTATAGCTTGCAATATACAGCGTGTCTCATTTTTGATGGGCATGAATGTCATAGCTGTCATGGATTTTTAGATACAGGCTGCTTTTGCTATTTTTGAGTTTTTAGACACTTGTTGTAAAGGTGTGTTTGTTCTGTAGGATCCAGTGGAGTACTCAGTTTTCTTTTGAAAATCAAAAATGTTGATACCTACACTAAACTTGCGTTTAATTTAATGATTTTATTAGGCTTGTTATTAGCTTTTCAAAAATATATAATACAAGAGCTATTTTAAATATATATTTTTTATAAGTCGACCATGGAAATTACAAGTTCTTCTTATGTTCATTACATAACAAAAGTTTGTTACCTGCCGATTATATCTAATTTTTCATAATTTTCATATCTTGAGTTAACTTGACACATAGCAGGAGAAAGCTAAAATGTGTTAGCGAAATGGACAGGTTTTTTCTTTCAATAAAAAAATGTAATAAAAGTAATACCCCCTTTGTGTTAGCTCATAATAAACTTAATCAAATTATAAAAATATACTCAGGATGTTCCATTTAAAAGAAAAACTATTGGAAATTTTAGAAGAAAGCTGACTACGACAATGGATCCTACATTAAAAAGTATATCCAGATCAGTTTCCACCACTTTATATATTGCAACATGACTGAACTACAAAGGGTAGGTAAAAATGCAACATATTCAAAGTCACCCTGTATATAAAAATTGAAGTGTTTGTGTCACCTTTCGTTTTGGTAAAAGCAGCCTTGTGTCACGAAAGGTTTATTAATAAGGTACACCCTGTACTAATACCAATGCAAGCATTTTCCCACTTATTGGGTTCTTTTAAAACCTCAGAGCAACTTTATCCCACTTGAGGTAAATCAAAACTTGGATAATTTTGGTTGGCCAAAAGTTTTTTTTGTTGGGGAATTACATAATGATAATATTTTGTTAACAATTGTCTACCAATTACCTCTTCCTTGTGTATTTGTGTGCCAAAATTGAAAAAAAAATCTATGTTGAAATTTACGCGCAGAGTCCAATTTTCCATTGCTTCGCTCCATCCTCAGAAACCAAATATCCGGGTGAACATCGATGTTTGATATTGTTCCTGTCGGTTTTTTTTTTGTATATGCCTTAATTCACTGCTCTCGAGAGTTATAAATTCGGCTCAACTATTATTTTCGTTGAATTGGATATATTGTAAAAAAAAATTAAAGACAATTTTTATATCAGAGGCTTTTATTAAATAATCAGAACACAGTCCCGACCTACGGGTAGATGTTTTATTTATCAAGTACTCAATTAGCTTATCTAGATTAAAGTCACGTCTAAATTTTATACAATGAGTACAAATAAAAATACTTATATTGGTATTGGTACCTCTTTGGCTGTGGCTAGCAAAATTTGTTCAGTTGAAAATCCCACATTTCTAATATTTTTGGAAACCGAACACCACAGCTCTCCATGATGCGGTTCCGCCGTTAAACACCTCTGCTTCACCTCCTCCTGCTTTTCTTTAGTACCATGAAGTTGTTCGAATCGATACCTTTAAAAAAAAATTAAATACCAATCAAACCAAACCGCCCCATTGTGTGTAACCGTACCAATGTGCCCATGCGTCTCCTAAATCCGGATCGATTTTCAGTGTTCTCTGAAACCATTCCCTGCATTTCCCCACCTTCCTTTCCGACCAAAACAGTTTGCTGACCGCCAGCAACACGTGGGGATCGTGTTCGCACTTTTTCAAGGCGTCCACTGATTTCGTTTTCCTTTGCGGTCTGGGCTCCATGAATATCGACTCCGCCCACAGCAACCCGGACGTGGAACACTCCTGCAACGCTTTCGCCATCATGGCGTTCGCGATCTCCTTCATTCCCGCTCTTAGTTCGACCCTGATTGCTTCCAGCCACAGTTCGTCGTTTTTCGGGTTTTTTAATCTCGCTCTTTCGAGAACCGATCTGGCCTTTATTAGGAGACCCCTTTTTTCCTCCAAACGTGACAACAGAATCCAAAGCGGGATGGAATTTGGCGTCTTTTTTATCTGCGATAACCCAAAAAAACCAAATCCAATCACAATGGTGTATATAAAAAAGCTTATTATATGACGGATCTGTACCTCAGCAATTACAATTTTTATTTTTTTAATTTTATTTACTTCTAAACGATAACCTTGCAAATAACTTTTTTCCCAGTCCTGAAAGGTCGAAAAAAATGAGATAAGCCATGCTGATTTGACTACGACTAAGTATTGTTCATTTATCTTTGGGATCAGCCACGTTGCCATTTTTGAAGTAAGTAAGTTAAACCTTTAGGACTCCGTTTGGTTATTGATTCCCTTGATACTCTACTTATTTAGATCAAGATAAGTACTTGAGTGCTCGAAACATCTAACATATTGATGTCTTCGTATAAAATTTGACTTTTACCTCAAACTAAGTAAAGGATAGAATTCGCTACTTATTCACAAAACAGTCGTTGTCATAGTCATTTTTTGTGGTGTGTGGTTTGACGCAAGAGCATTTTACAAAAAAAAAAACATTTTTATCCTATTTCAAATGTAACGTGAAAGTAGGAGTTTTATGGAGAGCATTATTAAAAGCAAAACATGCAATTTTAATTGGGTGTATTGCAGAATCCCATAATAATGGGCAATTTTTTTTACCAATAACGATTGTTATTCGTTATTTCTGGAATAACAGAGGAATTTGTTTTTTGTGTTTGAATCTGAAACCTGTAAGCTTTTCTTTTAGTGTTGAACTTTCGGAGAAATCCATTTTTTAAAACAATACAACCAGTCCCAATTTTACTTGCCATCAATAGTAATATTTTTTCCGTCAGAGGTCTTATTGTATCGAAAAAATCGCCAATTGCAGGTTACTAATTGTGTTGGATTAAATACCATCAGAAATACTTAAACTTTACACGAGAACGGCATTGCAGTACTTTACAAGTTATATAACTGCAATAGTGACACTCTTCAAATTTTATTTCTCTACCAAAGAAGACCAGCGAACACAGACTTACTAGCCCCATGAATCATTCCCTAAAAATATTCCTGAGGATAATACATCAGAGATTGTATAAAAAATGCGATAACGCCATAAGCAACCCACAGTTTGGATTTAGACAGGGACTGGGCAGCAGAGAGACGTTAGTTGCAACGCAAGTATTAGTACCGAATTGCTATGACCAGTGGAAAAACGTGGGTTTATGTTTTATATACTACGGAAAGGCTTTTGACAAAGTACATAAACTTATGCAGCTTCTCAAAATTCTTGATTTGGTTCAAAAAGACATTCGTTGCTTTGAAAACTTATACTGGCACCAATCAGGACAGGTCAGAGTGGCTAACGGTCTGACCAACCAAATCCAAATTCATCGAAGAGTGCGGCAGGAGTGTATACTGTTACCATTCTTGTTTAACCTGTATTCGGAAGCTATTTTTCAGGAGTCGCTCGAGCACAAGGAAATTGAGATCAAAGTCAATGAAGTTTGGTTAAATAACATATGCTATACTGACGACGCTATTCTGATTGCGGACAATATAGATGATCTGCAACAGATTGTTAATATGGTGGGAGACTGTAGCCAGGGTATGGGACAAAACACAAAGAAAACTAAATTCATGGTTATAACATATAAAAACGCCAGCTTAATAGAAAAGTTAGAGAACGCGCGAAAAAATTTGGGTACCTAGGAACTTGGCTTTATGAAGAATGATTTTCAGACAAGAAAATCGAAAGCAGAATTGAAGAAGCCCGAGGCGCATTCCTAAAATTCAAAAAAGTGCTCACTTGTAGCGACTTGGACCTTAGTCTTCGGCTAAGATTTGTGGGCTGCCAGGTTTGGTCAGTGCTTCTGTACCGTGTTAAAGGCCGGACACTAAGAGTAAAACCCATAAACAAATTGGAAGCATCTGAGATGTGGATATAATGTAGAATTATTAAAATACCATTGAGGGCAAGATCGACGGTAAAAGAAGTGTAGAACGAAAGAAGAACTTGAGACAGTCGATTGGCTTACGCCAGAGATAGACAAGCAGAGCAAAAAGAAGACAAAATATCATGTTATCGTGAGAATAAGGCAACATTTCATGTGTACAGTTTCAATTTCACTTTTAAAAGTAGCAACATATTTAAAATTATTGTTCATTATACCTATTGTTATCTTTTTGTGGACATTACTGAAAACTTTTCAAAATAACTTTTGAGATATGTTGGTGGGTAATTGTTTCCAAGTAGAACTTCTTTTATAATTTGAAGGTTTTTCATATTTCATATTCATAACTGTTTATAACCGTTTCTTGTTAACATCTTGCTATTACATTTTAATTTGTTTTGTTTGACATTATACAAAATTTGTCGATCTATACATTTGTTATTTAAAATGTATGTCTCGGGTATAAGTATGTTCTATAATTTTTAGTATGATTAAACCAATAATTGGTGTAGAACCTGAAGATGGCTACTTATAGCTAAAATGTACATTTTAAATAATAAATGTATACATATACAATGATGTTTACTTGAATGAGAAAACCAAAGGAAATCCTACAACTTGTAGAAAAAAGTATTCAGAACAATATTTAGCCAATCGTTTAACTTACGCCCGCGTTGTAGGCGTCAAATGCCTTCGACAAGTCGTTTTTCTGCTCGTAAATCTGCCCGTACATCATCCACAATTTCGGAAAGTCGGGAAACACTTTAAGCGCTTCGTCGAGCAGCTGTAGACCCGCATCCAAATCGTTCAAGGACCACTCCAATTTTGCACTTTTCATCATGACTCTGGGCGTTGGGGCAGACCCTATAAACAATTCCACTTAATTAACCTAACGCGTTGTTTGAACTACTCCACCTCTAGCTTTCGCCAATAGTCTTCTAGCTCTCTCGTACTCCTTATTTTCAGACTCTAATTTCACCGCGGCCAACCAAATTTCTTCGCTGTTGGGGTTCGCTTGGAAGGCAAGGGATAAAATACCCCGTGCCGCGGGTACATCTCCCGCGAGCCATTTACTTTTCGCCCCCATAAGCCACAGAACCTAAAAGTGTTTATGAAAAAATTTTATTTATTGGATAATAATAATACATTTACACTATATATAAAGTCTTATCTTATTTGTAACTACTATTAACTTGGCTGCACGATGGATTTAAATCTGTTTCATAAGTTCATAAGTTCCTTATTATAGCTGAATTCAAGTTGAGATTCTTTATTAGTCCCAAGCAGTACTATATATAGTTAAGCTATAAAAAAACAGACAACAAATATGTTTATAAGAAAAAAATTGACTAACATAAATATATGTGAGTGTAAAACATTACAGTAGAAATAGATAGATTTCAGATACAGATACACAGACGTAGGACCTTTATTTACACTCCAAAACAACCAAAAACTCTCTATTGTGTAAAAAGTAAGAGATAACAACAATCCTTTCAATCGTTTTTCAAAGAAAGTTATAGATTTTACATCCAGAATGATGCGGTGATTTTTTTATGAAACATACTATTATGATTGATCAAACAAATATTTCATTACTTCCGGGTACTATATTCATGGATATCAGAGTTTTCTTTATTTTTTTTTTGGAAAATTTGTAGATGAAGACTTGTAGGTTCCATAAGTATATAGTAACCACCATTAACAGCCTTCCCGAAAAGAAAAATAGATATAATAGACAATATTCGCACTCACATAGTTTAATACTTTGTTTAGACCAAAATTATTTGGAATTTAATGGTCAATTTGCTAAAGAAGTATTAATTATGGGAAACCCAATTAGTCCACTACTTGCAGAAATTTGCATTGACAAGTTAGAGAATATTCCCCTGAGTAAAGGATTTGTCTGGCGGTATAGTAGATGCTGTTTTTGCTTGTTTCACTGGAATGGAAAGACAACTGCAGTCCTTTTTAAATCATATTAACTCCATACATAACCATATAAATAAAACTTTCTGGACTGAACTATAACTAAACTGCTAATTAACTAAACTAAAGGTAGATTTTTCCATTTACCACAAAATCAATAAGTCAATAATTCAAATCACCCTTACACACACAAAATGACTGCCTTTTATGCTTTGATCCACAGACTACTTAATATACCATTTTCCACAGAAAATTTTGAAAAAGAATTAAATATTACAAAGCTAATAGCTTTTAACAATGGTTACCACCCCTGTTTGATAGATAAGATTATACATAAAAAGCAGTTAATAACTCTGCACTCTATCTATTCGATAGTAAACACCGAACCCAAAATTTATAAAACAATAAAATACATAGGAGAAACAAGCGAGATAATTTTGAACCATCTATCTAAATTTGGTCTTAATATTGCTTTTAAAACTGAAAACACCAGAGGATATTTTCCAAAAAACAAACTAAATTACGAAAAACTCAAAAATCCCGAGTCTACAAATTGAAATGTGGATCATATATCGAAAAACAGGTAAAACATTTAAGAAACGCATTAATGAACATAAAAGGGAGTTTAAAAATAAAAGTTCGGATTCTAACTTCATTGAAATACAGTCATACATAACAGAAATTCAGAAATTCACAACTTTGACGATAATTTTGATATTTTAAATAATCAATCAAAAAGCAAAAAAATGAATTTGTTGGACGCTATGAAGATTAACAAAATGAGGAGATATTCCAATCTATTAAATGCGTCGCTGTTGTTAATTTTGAATTTATAACCAACCCTACACCTTAAATAAGAATCTATTACTACCTGGTTGTCTATATAGATGCCGGAATATTGTCATATTTTGTATTTGATAAATGCAGTGTTGCCGAAACAGCTGTCTGAACATTTTTTGTTCTAACTTAATTGTGTTAAATGTATTTTCATCAAGTAAAACCACCTCGGTCCAAAAAAAATATTGTTTGCATTTCCACCTAATTGGCGTAGGGGTGGTAAACTGATTAAATCAGTCTTACGAACGCCACTCGTCATACGAATTGAATGTAAAATTTAGAAGATATTATCTTCGCAATATTTCAACACCCTGTATCGCCGAAGCAAAGCATTTTAGGATATAAGTTTATATGAACTTTTTTAGTTATTTTCACCTGTTGAATGTGCTGTTAAAGTTTCATCATTATAATTTGGATCACCCTTTGCGTAGTAGACAACTTAACCTGTGACAATTGAAAACTTTGGCAGCACACATGTCTAGTATCATTAACACTCACATTAACTCAAAGTGTGATGCTGATTATAGCTTTTATGAAATTATTTTTTTATATATTTTTCTGCATCAAATTCCCAAACAACTAGGCTATAATCAACTTCATTACACAAAGCAGGAATACATCATCCAAAAATTGTCTTTTCTTTTAGTTTAGTCCCTTATGGGTCTAAGGCTGAAAGGTATAAAGTTTGTTTTATTCAGTTTAAAGGGTAATAGACAATCATCTAATCAATTTTTTATATACTGTTATAGTCTGCTAAGCATGCTATTATGTGTCCTTTAATTAAATATTCAAAAGAAAAGGTTCCAGCCCCATAGTCTGCAGGGTACGCAGTTTCATCTCTACTGGACTGCCAAGTCTGTCTTGCTGCATCTTTTACTTAGATATGACTATCCAATTCATTTTTATTTAAAAAAATGGTCAGTTTACCTCGCTTTTCGGGCAATGGGCAACAGCCCGTTGAAGAAGACTTTCCAGACTCTCCCTGGAACCGTGATTCTTCTCCAAATAAGCGGCACGTAACCAAATTGATTTCTTACCGGGGAATGTAGCCAAAGAGATGTTGTATATTGTTCGGGCACACTCATAGGCCCCTTGAGTGGTGCACTGCCAAAAAAAAAAAAAACAGAACAGTGAAATAGCAAACACAAACCTTTTAAAATGCTAACGTTTTCTGCATCTTCCATCCAAGTGTGCTTCTGATCCTCGGGTTCGACTCCGTACCCCAAAATCGCTTTGACTATAGCCCGACAACAGTGAACGTGGCCCCCCTTTTCGCTTTCGATGGCTTCCTTAAACCACTGTTCCCTATTGATCTCTACGCCGTTGGAACTGAGAGATGTGATAGCCCTTTCTATAATCTTCTCCACCATGTGATGGTTACCGTTGGCCTCTTCGAGCTTCGCGGCAGTAGTCCAAATCTGTTTGTCGGTGGGGATATTTTCGCGCGCTTTGTTCAGCACTTTTCTCGCATTTTCGTAGGTTTCCAATCTGGCAAGGGCCAACCAAAGCTCCACTGCCGTCGGGCAACATTCTACCGCCCTGAAACTTGAATTCTGCACCACATTAACTCTCAAACGGGTAATAATTACCTGGAAAGCAAGATCCGGGCGTCGTCGGGGTTTTCCAATTCCACAGCCGCTTTCCACAGCCTCACGGAGTTTGGAATATGCTCCAAGGCTTTTCGAAACACTCTTCTTTTCGTTTTTGTTTCTGACTCCAGATCTGCAGCTTTAATCCATATCCTAACCTTTAACAATCATAAATTTTGATATTTTATGCTAAAATTAAGTCCAAGATGGGTGACTTACTGATGTTGGAATATGTCGCGCAGCTTGTGCAATAACTGCTTTAGCGGTATCAGCAGGGTTTAATCTAGCTGCTTCCAACCACAAATCCTCACTCTGCGGATTGACTTCACACCCTAAGTTCCAAAAATTCCCAATATGTAGCTCTAGCTAGTTATCAGATTGACGTTTTATCATTACCTTTCATTATCAAATTTCTAGCAGCTTGTACTTTACCAGTAACTTCTTCCAGCCTGGCACTAGCGATCCAAGCTGGAGGGTGATTGGGATTCGTTTCTCTCACAGATTTCAACAGGAGCCGGGCTTTCTTAATGTCATTTATGTCACCACCATAAGTGGGTATCATGGACTGCAAATCTGTTAAATAACCTTTTGGATCAACAACTGTCTGTCCCGTTACTGAATCTGAGACCTGTGAACCATATAATTTAGGAAAACAAAAATAAATGCATTATGCATTACTTGAGACAGCTTCACATTCATTAAGGTGTTTCTTGCTTGTCCAATTTTTTTCAAATCCATATCACCTGTAGGGGTAAGCATTCCTGCAACGAATCATCAAATCAAAAATCCAATAGTATTATTTTAAAATCATCAGTTTACCAGGTGTATTTACTCCTGGAACCATACTTGCCAAACCAGAATTAGGATCAATAGCAGTGGAGGACTCTCCACCCAGATTTCTAGCTAAAACACTGTCAGGAAGAGGGGTGAATTTTTCAGCCCTGGGATTTCTTTGCTTCCTGTTTCTTGCATCTCCTACTTCTGGAACATTTTTCCACTCATCATCTGTCACTTTAACCAAATCCCTCTTCAAATCTGAGAACTGTTGCTGAATTTTTGGCCTTTCCTGCCGATACCTTTCCAGTTCTTCCCTAAGACGTTTTTCTCTATATTCTTTACGTTTTTCGTCCATTCGTTTATCTATAGCTTCATAAATAGCATCAGCTTCAGCATCATCTTTATCATAAGGATCTTTTGAGAACAACGAACCACCGTAACCACTAAATTCATCATAATTGGAATCATTCAAATCTTCTTCTTCCTCCTTCTCCTCTTCCTCGTCTTTCTTCTTGGTCCTTTTTGCTGCAGGTGGAGCATGGCGATCGTCTCTTCAGAAATACAAAATGTATGAATAAAAATAGGATTATTATAGAGCTATTCCACTAAAACTTACGAAACGTCATTGGCATCTCGAGCAGGACCAATATCAGAACGTGTTGTAAATCCTGTCGCTCTAAAAAATTAAAATACAATAACCAGCGCTTAACACTTTCAAGTTGTGAAAGCTCACCCTCTTCCAACACCTGCTACATATCCAAGCGGTGCTGGTACGCCCAAAAAATGCTTTTTATTCCTGTTAACTAAAGCTGCCGGAGGAGCGGTCATATTTAATATTTAGTTAATAATCTAGATCAAATTAATAGTAAGACATATTTAAGCAAATTTTGCTGAGGTTACGTTCAAAGGTATGTTTTGTTCTTTTTTCTGGGATGACGAAGTCATTATTTTCATATTGGTAATGCATTCGTAATGTCTTTGCTTTTTTTTGCAATGGGCGCATATACATATATTTATCACCAGTAATATAGATTTCTATTACATTAAGCGTTCATAATTTAAGAATTAACAGTTAATATGGGAATATGGTTCTTGCAATTTTTTCCAACTTGATTCAGTGAAGAAAGAAGAATTTGATATTAGGTTAGCCTCACCTAATTTGAAGAAGGAAATTCAAAATAAATCTAAAACACTTCAGAAAAATATATCTATACGTGTGTTTCTGAACTTGATTAATTAATTAAGTCATTTGTATATTAAAACAAAATAAATAATCAAGAGCTTTTCACACATTATATTATAAATGACTAACTTAATTCGTTTTATGTTGTTATGGACACTTTTTTTGGGGATTCAAGGAACGTTATCTCCGAAAAATAAAGGGTCTAAAAATAAACAGGCAAAAGAATTAAAGAGTAAGATAGGGCCTCAAAATTATTCAGTGTTTGATAAAAATTTTGTTAGCGAAACAGTTTTTGCAAAAGATGTTTTGGCTAATCACAAATCCTTTTATGCAGAAACTGACGATTACAATTTTGATGGCATGGTTCTGGGGTATGTAACACCGGTAAGTTTTAATTCATAAAACCTACAATCACTCAGTGCTGTGTTATTTAAGTGGAATAATCACGGTTATGATATAGCAAAAATATTTGGCAATAAGTTCACTCATATTTCCCCCGTTTGGCTACAAATAAGACGAAAAGGCACAAGTTCCTATGAAGTAACAGGTACGCACGATATTGACGAAGGCTGGGTGGCAAATGTTAAAAATGCAGGCAGGCAGCGCAACACTAAAAGTAAAATCTTGTATCGAGCAATTTATAGTTTCAAAACTGAAAAAATATCTTAGTTGTTCCAAGAATTTTGTTTGATGGTTGGACGTCACAGGACTATTCAAAACTTTTAACGAGTAAAGAGGAAATCAAGGCATTACTACAAACATTGATAGATTCCTGTAAGAAAAATCAATTTGATGGATATGTATTTGAAGTCTGGACACAAATAATACAGATTGTAAAACCAGAAAGTGTAATAAGGCTCATGCAGATGTTGAGTAAGATTGTTTATTAGTAAAGCAACTTATTCTTGATAATTATTTTCCCTAGGTGACAGTTTTACTGTAGAAGGCCTAGATACAATATTGGTCATTCCCCCTAAAAGGGGTAACCATGAATTGTTTAACGGTAACCACTTTGAAGCACTGTATGACCATGTCACTGCATTTTCGTTGATGACATACGATTACTCCAATCCCCAAATGCCAGGCAAGTTGAACCTTACGCGAATACCATTTTTACACAACATTATGCTTCTAGGGCCGAACGCGCCTTTGACTTGGGTCGAAGATGCGGTAATTTCTTTAACGACCAGCACCAGTAAAAGAAAGAAAATTTTAATGGGTCTTAACTTTTACGGCAACGATTTCTCCTCAGATGGAGGTGGTCCTATTGTGGCTCACGAGTATATTGAGAAACTCAGTTTAAATCCCGATAAAAAGTTCTCTTACGATTCGCAAGTGGACGAGCACATATATGAATACAGGTGAGATAAAACTCGAGGTATTCGATGTACAGGATTTTTTATATTCAACTCTCATAGTGGGAGTCTCGGATACAGTAAGAGTGTTAAAAGGAAGTATCTTATGGGTGATTCTGATAACATTCCGCTGACAAATTTAAGATAACATTTTCGGAAATAAGTCGGGAAAATTAAAATTCTTAGTTTTCGATTTTATTCTTTTGGTAATGTCCAAAATCACTTTTAACGATTTTTTTCTTCAATCGACAGCTACATCTAATTTTTTTATATTGATGCCTTATAATTCAAAAATTCGCAAATATTAATTTGATATATGTTCAACGGGTGAGTCATTTCAACCAATAAGAACCCTTATTTGAAATCTAAACTAACCAATAACACATTGCGGCATTCAATAATCAACATGGACGCTGACAGTTTACAGTTTGAATGTGGTATTTTTTCGGCATTAATGTTGCATCAATTAGCGTTTCCGAGACTTCAACGGAATAGTCGAATTTTATGCAATTTATTTTTTTTTAAATTATTTTTAGAGATGTCGAAAATAAGAAGCATATAATTTTCTTCCCTACACTTTATTCTATCCACAAAAGGTTAGAATTGGCCAGGAGATTGAATACAGGTATTTCAATTTGGGAATTGGGTCAGGGCCTAGACTATTTCTACGATTTATTCTGATTTTATGCTAAAAATAATAAATGTTTCTAGTTAAACCGTCTATCGTTCCAACTCTAAACAAAAAAAACTACGCTGCTTCCACTTCTTTGAAACTCCTCATGCTCATCATCGCTTGTGGCAAACGCAACACTCTGTACAGCAACAACCATCCTAATTTGGCTGGTATGTAGCTAAAATCGACGCAAATTTATAATTCGAATGGACAGGAAAGGATTTTTTTTACTTCTTCAGGGGTAAAATATATCGCGAGCTCGTTGGAACTGTGACAAATATTTCTTCTTTCCGAATCGCCGTTATAATGCTTTTCGCGACGTCTTTCGGTTCGAGCATGTCCATCTGTTTCGGCTTGCAGCCCTCAAACATGCCCGTGTTGATAAAATAGGGACACACCATAGTCATTTTGATTCTGTTGTAACCCTGGCTCTATAAATATTGTAAGAGATTTTTTTAGCGTTGCCAATTGTACTTTTACAATTACATTAGCAGAAATATTTTTAATATTATTAACATATGGTGATTAACGAGCCGAATGAGTCCAGCGTTGCCTGCGTTTCATGAAACGTGGGCACGTGGAAATCGGAACATGATTAAATATGTCTGATCTTGGGAAGACGGCTGGAATATTCGACCACCATTGCGAGAATGCCTGCGTTCTATAAAAGCGACGCGTCACTCCGTGGCCAGTCAGTCGACAAGTGATACGGTTGAGCGCGCAAATATTAAAAATCAACGAGTAGTGTGTAAATTATTAGTGGCTTTGTTATTTTTGATGAAATAAAGTTTATGTTCATTGGTATTGGCCTCCTTTACTTCAATTTCTACCAATGGCTTTATATCGCCAAGTCGTTGTTTATAAACTTGAAACTTCACTCTGCCCCCTCTGAAATTTTTCATTACTTCACTGTGGAGGTCAAGCACGCAGAATTTTATGATGGAGTAGTTTATAGATAACATAACATTATAGTTCCTAATAAATGTTCGAAAATTATTGTTTAGATCAATGTTCTAAAATGAATAACAGATGAGCAACCAACTAAAAGCCGATCCATAGTGAAATAAATTACTTCCAGTTTTAATATTTTAATTTCAACTTCATTAATAGGGAACTTGAACAAAATTTTAATTTGAAAAATATTGATTACAAAAGTAAGTCTATAGATACTATTAAAAGAACCATAGGTCACAAGAAACAAAATAATTTCTTAGTTCTATGTAAGAAATATAAACAATTAAAAATTGCAAAATTTAAATACTCTTTGAAACGCGCTGTCAGTGGCTGTGACAATTCGCTGATAAGATTACGCGCCAGCCGGACGGTAGCATAGAGACGCCACTAGAGAACAACAACGCGTTCGTGTTGGTGGTTTTAATTTTAGTATTGATCCTGTTGCTTGCTTTTGTTATCTTGTGTTTAGTATCAAAAAGAAAGTTCTGAAAATGACCGAAGCCGATTTTTTAAAAGGTCAATTTGATAATTTACCTTTAGTGGATAAATTTATGGTGACATCTTACATACAAAACACCAAAAGCTTTTCTTTTGCTGAGGTTCGCGGTGTTAAAGCTCAAAAGTTATGTTCATAGAAAATTTAGTCACTAGTTTTAATACTACTATAATAATGTAATAAAAAAAAACAATTTTATTTAAACTTGTGGAAACCTAAATACTGATTTTAAAGTATCTTGGCATTGATGACTTAAAGTGTTCTTTATTTTATATAGACCAGGAAGTCATTCCTATGGAGATTGCAATACGATGGGTGCAAAATGTTTGCACGATTAAGGTTAAAGTGACATCTGAACATAATGTTTTTCTGGTAGACGAATAAAAAGGTTATCAACGATTTGCAATATTGTTTCTGTGTTGCTATCATTATTATCATGTAAAGCACAAACACAAACTGGCGTAGATTAAATACAAACACACCTTTACACCAGCCAAAAATAAACGTTAATAATATAATTCTCGATAATCTGGGAATAACACTATAACATGTCGCCGTATCGATTGAAAAGCAGCGGTATGACGTCACGATTAGGCCCGCGCACTTAGTATCATTTAAAAGGAATAGCCGAGTGCCACAATTTGAATTATTTATTGCAACTTAAAAATTGGGTTTTGAGTTTTGATATTTTGTATGCGTCATTTGTATACATAAACAAATAAAAAAAATGTTCAAGTTCCCTATTGAAGAGCTTGTATCCCAAAGTAGAAAACGTAGCTCGGGGTAGATTTTTTGTCTATGTGGACATGCTCTGGTTAAGAGTTTTTTAAATGTTGTTAACCTTCAATTCGATCAAGAGGCTTTCGTGAAATCCCACAGTTGCAAATTTAGATCCGCTGTAGTCGGTGCAATTGTATGTTCCCAAAAGACCAGTGAGGCTACCAACAGTGACAATGTGTCCGTTACCTCTCTTTATCATTTCTGGAAGAAATGCTTTGGTTGTCTAAAAAAAAATAATATTAGCCCTTGCCTGGTATTTGTTTCATTTTTTTTTCTTACCCAGTAGCACGACAATGTGTTGACTTTATAAGTCTTCTCTATCATGTAGTCGGGAATTTCGAGAAACGTCTGTCCACAAACGATTCCGGCGTTGTTTATAACAATATCGACCGGGCCGATGTCTTGTTTAACAATTTCCGCGTATTTATAAATATTTTGACGATCGGCGAGATCAACCGGATACGTGTGGATTTTCAGTCCTTCTTTATCCAAGTTGGATTTAAGTTCTTCCATGCCTGTAATGTAAATGCAAAACCAGTTAATATTTTCTGACCAAAAAGACGTTCTCGAGTTAAAGTGTGCGATGATCGCTGTTTAAAAAAAAAAACTACAAAACTTGCAAGTTAAATTGTGAAATTTGGGGGAATACGTGGTTCGAAAGTGTCATGGCCGCCCAACGAGCATCTGATTGTTATTTGAAAAAAAGGTTCGATATAGATTTTTGCTAATATTAAAAATTAAATTACCTTTTTCGTTGACATCCCAAACTACTACAACAGCTTTATTTCTAGCCAATCTAGTGACCAATTCTTGCCCCACTCCGCCAGCTCCGCCGGTGACCAAAACGGTTTTACTTCGCAGGCTTTTCAGGGTTCTCAACGATGAGGGAGTCAGCGTCAATATGAGAGCTTCGCAGAAATAATAAACGGCCAACCAAGAGACTATCAGTAAGTCGAGAAACCGCGTAATCGCTCTGAGACAAGCTTCTTGCAGGGCAACGTAAAACGATTGTAACAGTCTAAAAGTATCAATTTAATTTAAGGTTTCTCAAGCTAGGAAGATTACAAACTGGTTAACAAAAATTGTTGATTGTTTTTGAGGACCATCTTTGAAAAACAAAAAAAGATAGATTCATAAAATGGAGATACTAGACACCAAAATATTATGAATTATCTCAACATAATAATAATAATAATAATAATAATAATAATAATAATAATAATAATAATAATAATATTTATTTCGGAAGAAAATAATACGAAAGTATCACAAAATTAACATTGATGTTTGCAATTACAAAAAGCTCAAGTCTAACTCCTGAGTCACGTACGTCAGAGTATATAAGGCAAAACATTAAAAAATGGATAAAAAACATAAAGAAGAAAGCAAACAACAAATCCCGCTCTGCACAGAGTCGTCTGCTACACACAATTGTTCTCGAAAAAGTACTTTCTACAGAGACGTTTAAATATGTTTTAGCTCAAGAATTTTACTCCATGTAAGCTGTACATAAGCGCTATAAGAAAAAGATGTTTGAAAAAGGGTGGTTTGTTGATGCGGTGACGAAGTGGAGGTGGTGTGATAATAAAAATTGTCAGTTTTAGATTTGTTGACATGATAATTAGGAATTTTAAACTTAAAAATTACAATTTTTATAATATTAATGAAAAAGTTCAAATTAAATGGATGAATGAATTTTCTGCCGTAACGCCTGCAAACAAATGCACAAAGTATTAAGCAACACGCACGGAAACTAAAATTTAATGACACTCAAATTTGACACAAGCCTACCTAGAAGAAAATAGCAACATCATAAATTTAAGTGTATTGTAAAATGTAGGTGGCGGGCAATTCCAAAATATGATTAAAAGTGTTTTAAGTATTTATAACAAAATGGAACATTCTTTCAAATTTTCCTCACGTTTCAACTATACCACGACAGATAAAAAAATATGATCCGATTTATCCAAATAATACGGTGAAACTATGTTCTGTTTATTAATGCTGGATAATTATAAATCTTTATTGAACTGCGAAACTTTGTCGTAGGCGTATTCCATAGGCGTATCTATCATACTTACGATGATTGTCAACATTCTCGAGAGTGGCAGGTAACCTATCTCTTTAGTGTTTAAAATTAGAATTATAGTTACTTTCCGGCAGTTGTTGGCAAAGTTCGTTCTCGACATTGGCTAGTGTTTCTGGATTTGTTGGAAAAAAAAATTATCATTTATTGGGTTCCTTTAAATAAGAAATTTCATTAAGATACTCTGAAAAGGGAGTTACTGCTCCATATCGCTGTAGAATGGTATGGGCCCAAGTAAAAGGGTTTGTAGCAAAGAATAACATCACTTTGAAAAAGAGGGACGTTGAAGCCCTCTCGCATTGAATATGCTAGAAAACCCTGTAGAGTTCCTAATAATTTCTCTGTTATTAAACTACCTGTAGTAACGTCCTTGTGACATTACTTTCATCCAGCAAACTAGTTTTCCCACTGTATTTATGAAGTAAGAGCCCAAATTTGTGAAAATCCTGTCAGAGAACAAATATCTAATCTACCACAGTTGTCGTATTTCAACATAACTGTTTAATGATGTTTGACGATGATAGCGCGCTCTAAGCGGCGTTCAGTAACTTTCAAATTTTTATTATGGTACTATAAAAACTTTTTCAATTAATGAAAAAAATTTTTATATATTATTTATTATATGATTATATTTTGGTGCCTAGTATCTCCAGCTTAGAGATTGCCTATTTTTTATGACTCATTCTGTATGAAAGATATACGAAAGGTAACAGGTAAATTGAACGATTTTGCAATAACAAACCGGTATGGGTTTTCATTCACAATTTCAATTGAAAAGCAGAACTTACTATACTTTGTGGGGTCAAATACGTTCGACCTGATGCGTGTTATTTTTGTGAGGGTAATTGTTATGCTAAACAAATTTCTTTAAAAAAAATATGCTTCGAAATTGTCATAAGGTAAATGAAAACAGCAAAGAATGTAGCGATAGAAGCACGTATCGACTATATACAAGCACAAATTTCTCAAATTCCTTGTGCATTTGATATCTTTTTGAATGTGTTATCTAATTGCTGTAATAAATGTGATTCATATGTTCAATAAACATAGTTTTAGTATGCCGGCAAAATACAGATCGGAAAGGAATAAGCTTAATGTATAAATTTAAATGTTAATGTAAATTGTTTTGGTAGCAAGAGAAGCTGAATTCTCCCAAAATTGTCAAAAAGTTTTTTATTTGGATTATGCCAAGTCCCATTGTGGTTACTTTTTGAAATTTCTTTTAATCGTTCAGGGTGTCCCAAACCTGTTAAAAGTATCCAAATTGATTAATTGAGGCAGTCAATTTTGACTTTTCCATTATTATTCTAATTCGAATCCAGACAAATTCAGATTCGTGACAGATCGGAATAGTGTAGGAATGTGTGGTATGAAAAACAGGCTCATATTTACTCGACTCCAATTTTTTTAAAAGACCTGTGAGTAGTATAAAATTTTTGGAATTTATTTATATCAGCTTCTCGTATTGTGAGAAGTCCTTTGAAATAAAATAAAATAGTTACGTGGTCTCAGTCAGCCGGAGTTCCACCTCGTATCGCGAAGTTCTGGAATTTTTAAATGCCAATTTTGAAAACAGGTAGATTGGAAGACATGAGTTTCATAATTCATAAAGCTCCCTAGAGTTATCTTCACTAGATTTCTTTTTATAAAGGAATTATTTGGCGTTATAGCCTTGATAATAAATTACTTTTAAAGGTTCATGTAATTGTTTAAAAAAACTTATACAGTATAATTATTGTTATTCTTGTTTCTGTATAATCCCCATCTAGTTAGCTTTCAAACATGCCACTAGTTGTAACTTTTAATAATACAATTTACTCTTGATAGGGTTTTAGTTTAGTTTAGTTTGGTTTTAGAGCAGACCATTCAATAAACACACATTACAACAAAACTAGACCCAATTAATCAACCAATAAATTAGCTGCCGTTTCTAAATACGATAGACAACTAGAAGCAATAAAATATTTATTTACCACCAAAACCCATAATCAGCGAAAACGCGACATGTCTAACCTTTCTTCGATTTGCATTGTCCACTTAACGAATGTATTTTTTGGTACCCTGTATAAGATTGTCAGCCTTTTGTAATTGTATTATAAAATATGCTTAAAATAAATAAATTGCTCTTTACTGCAGTTTTAGCTTACATACCTTTTATCTATTTGCAAATATATAAAATATAAATATAATTCAAAAATGCCATAATATATAGGGGTTCCGTTTAAAATATAAAACTTTTACTTTTAACTTTTAACACCTTTGGAGAGTCTGTATAGTATGAAAGTAAGTATAGTATGAAAGTAAGTAAATTTTCAGAATACTTTGCATTTTGGTGACAACATTCCGTGCCATATAGCGTGAGTGGATTTTTCCTACAAAGTCCACCGCCATATGAAATTTGTAAGCGAAACAGAGCGTATTAACCAATTTACTTATTACGTAAATAATTCGATAGACATTCAGAATAAAAAAGAAATAAATAATATATACCGAAATAAGAATTGTTTATTATTAATGCGAACATGAACTTCTCCAATTTATCGTATGTTTTATATCGTATTTGAAAAACCAATCTATGGTTTCTTAAACTTAAAAAAATTAGTGACTTTATTATATATTACAATTATAAAAATGGGTATTAAGTTTAAGAAACAATACTCTGAATGAACTATTCAATAATATTATTAAAACCAAAACTATCTAGTACTGGTTTACTTGTAACTATATTTATTTATTTTCAACATATGCAAATATGTTTTAGAATTTCAGTGGGTTTGTGCTTTACTTATATTTCTTAACATATTTCAAACTTTACGAATTCTTAAAATACGTATTAGAAAAATGTAAAAAAATTATTGTTTCATAAAAAAAAACGAAAACTACTGTTAAATTAATCCGGAAAAAAGTTTGTTATTTTCTTCCAAAAACATCAAAGGATGTTGGCCCTTAGGCACAGCGAAAAGTAAAGCACAAGTAACAGTAACTAGAGATTTCTAAACCAATTCTTTGATAATTGGAGACAAAATTATTAGAAAAAAATCGATGAATATTATCAAATGACCAACGTACCTTTCCGTTTTTTGTTGTTTGTGTGACGCCGGCATATTAAAAATAAGCCAATCCTATGCACTTTCTACGCCGGAGTAAACGTTCGAAATCACTGATGTTGCGTTGCGGACCGGGCCACTTCCACACTGCCGCGAGTAAACTCTCTAAAATGGGGATACCGCCGCCAAATAGACAGTCACATCCCGACCATTTTCCGTTTAATATGGGGCAAAAAATCACTTGACCCGTTCTACTCAGTTTCTATACTTTTCACTTAAATTTTTCCGACATGCCGAGGTTTTTTCGACGCAAGAAACATGGTATGTACATACACTGTTGCTCAGCAATTAGTACCTTCGTTTTTTTGTTGTCCCTAGTGAATGGGTTCAATAAACCCGAGATTTTCTCTCGCACGAAAGACGACCTCAAAACGCGGATGATCGAAACGAACCACTGAAGACATGTAAATATGAAAGTTAATATTTTCTCTGCGTTGTATATGCCCGGATAGTTTTCGTAAAAAGTAAAAGCATCCTAATGCAAATGGTTTTAGAACGGTTCGTACTATCCATTTGGTTACGTTTTTCGAAATTGCGAGCGCGGATACCAATATTTGGGTGAAGTTAGATTTGGATTTGGATTCGGATTTGCGAATATTACGGTGGACCAGTTCGTTACTTGCCTTAATTAAAAAAACGTATTCCTGTGGAAATGCCGGGAAAGTAAGCACGAAAATATTGTAAAGGAGCTCCCAAAAACCATATTTATTAAATTTTTGCTTTACTGAAAATAACCCCTTTACCGTTCGCATCACATCAGGATTTTTTGAGATTCCGAAATAAAAGAAATTTCAAGGTATTTCATTATTGGGGGTAATTTTATATTTTCCCGACCGTTTCGAGGTAGTCGAGTAATACATCATTTTGAAGCTCTCCTGAGTGGCTCTTTAAAGATCTGGTTGAATGTCTGGGACGTCAGATTTTTTCAGATTGCAAAATAAATAAAATATATATTTTGTTATTTTATTATTGGGGGTAGTTTTATATCTTCCGTACCGTTTCAAGGAGGTTGAGTAACACATCATTTTGAAGCTCTCCTAAGTGGCTCTCGAATGGTCTAATTGAATATGTGGGACAACGTGAGGATTTTTTGAGATTCCGAAATAAAACGAATATTTTGCTATTTTATTATTGGGAGTAATTTTATATCTTCCCGACCGTTTCGAATTGGTTGAGTAATACGTTATTTTGGAGCTCTCCTTTAATAGTATTGAATACCTGGGACGTCAGATTTTTTTATGATTGCGAAATAAATATATCGAACTTTTGGGTATTTCATTATTGGGGGTAATATTATATCTTCACGACCATTTCGAGTCTGGTTGAATCTCTGGGACAACGTCATATTTTTTTGAGGTTGCGAAATAAATATATCGAACCTTTGGATATTTCATTAATGGGGGTAGTTTTACATCTTCCCGACAGTTTGAGTAATACATCATTTTGAAGCTCTCCTATGTGGTTCTTTAATGGTCTAATAGAATACCCGGGACAACGTCAGATTTTTTCGTTGTATTAAATTATTTTTTGGGGTGATGCAAGCGGACAGGGGTTATTTTCTGTATAGCAACATTGGATATGGTTTTTGGGAGTTCACTTACGAACCCAGCATGTGCACAGAAATATGTTTTTTAATTATGATAAGTAACGAGCTGGTACCCTGTAATATTTGCAAATCCGAATCTAAATCCAAATCTAACTTCAGCCACATGATACCAATAAGGGCTGGCAATTGTGCCGTGGTCCGTTTATTATATGATGGTACCATCCCTCAGAATTTGTAAAAAATATTATATATATATATATATATATATATATATATATATATATATATATATATATATATATATATATATATATATATATATATATATATATATATATATATATATATATAATTTATTGTGTTGAAAATAACGGTGACTTTGTGTAAGGTTGCGCATTTGAAAAAATTGTAAATGTTGAAATATTAACATGGCAAAAAAAAACAATTGCCCACTACAGAGACTTCGCTAGTTTAAATTTTTTATTACGATGGTTCTTTTAATACAAAAAATTGCTTCAGGTCTATTAAAATGTTTTCTAAAAACCTAAATAATAAAGAAAATACTAATAGTAAATAAAACAAATTCAATAGATAATGTTATTTGTAACATTCAGAAACCCCAAAGGTCCGAATTTTTTTCAATTTTTCAATTATTTAAAAATTTATCTTTTTCTGGGAAACTAAAAAAAATATAATAATTTTTTTTTCTTAGTCACTTTATTACAGGGCATAAATTTCAAAAGGTCTTAATTTCTCCATCGATTTCTCTAAAAGCAATTTTTTTCAAATTGAAATGCGCAATTTTTATAATTTTATTGTATTTAATATTTAAAAAAAGGTGACTTTGTATAAAGTTGGCCGTTTGAGAAAGTTGTAAATTTTGAAATATTAGCAAAAGATAGTTTTTCATTCTAGAAATAGTGTGACGGAGAAATATGGCAAAAAACAAGTGGTCAATTGTTTTTTGCCATATTTCTCCGTCAAAATATATAAAAATTAGATTTTTCATACATTTGTTCAGTTTATAATAAAATAAATTTAATTAATTTTAGGCTTTGTCATTTAATTACAGGGTATCAATTTGAAAAGGTCTAAATATCTCCATAGATTTCTTTAAAAGTCATTTTTTCAAAGGGAACTACCCCATTTTTATAAATTTATTGTATTTTGTATTGTATGCCCATTTTAAGACGTTGTAAATTTCGAAATATTACCAATGAAACGTTTTTTATTGTAAAAATGGTGTGACGGCGTAACATGAAAAAAAATGACCACTACAACAAGGTCGCTATTTTAACTTGTTATGTTTATTTTAATATCAAAAATGATCACAAGTTTATTAAAGGCTTTTATAAAAAACTATGTAATAAAGAAAATACTAATAGTAAATATAACAAAAACAAAAGATAACCTATTATTAGTAACATTCAGAAAAAATATATAAAAGTTTGATTTTTTATATTTATTATGCCTAACCCTAACGGTCTTTTTTTCAATTTTTCAATTATTTAAAAATGATTTTGATAAAATTTGCCACATCCTGAGAAATTAAATAAGTGTTATAAATGTTTGTCTCTGTAGGTGCCACTGTTTGATTGTTTTTTTTTCTTACATCCTTTTGGCAAATGAATATCGATATAGCATTTTTACACTGGATAAAGTTGGGCTGTTTTTCCATTTGAAAAAGTGAGTATGAATACTAATTTAAATGTTTAATGTATTTTATCAATCTGCATTTTTTTTTAAATATCAAAGCACATCATTAAAGTAAATCTCTTTCTATAAGAAAATCAACTTCAATATATAGCAGGCATTTTTTTAAAGCTACTGTATAAAATTTTTGTATGTACAACGAGAGCTAGATGTTATAATAAAGATAGTTTTGGGGTGCAGTAACATTTTAATAAATATATTTCCGGCATATCTCTGTTTTGCATTACATGAAATTGAGTGTTCTCACGAGTATATTAGTTGAATTTCATGATTTCAAAATGCCGAAGTACCAAATGATTAATATATCAGTTTCATTTTTAATTTATAAAAGATAGCCAAGAAATTTAGTTAAATATTAGTGTGCTCTTTCGTTAAACTATTTTAAACGTTGTTACTTTGTTGGTTGAAAGTCGGGGCTGCTGTCCTGTGTCTCTGCTCTTCAGTATATTATGTATGTATTATATTATGTATGCAATGTCGTGTATTGCTGCCCTTCAGTGCCGGTGTAGTTATTTGTGACAGGATACTTCATGTGTCTCTGCCCTTGGTATCTATCCATTGCACGATCGAAATAATCAGCACTAGTGATTAAAATAGGTACTATGTGTGTTCCGTCCTTAGTACCAACATAAACTCAATTCCAGATTTAATACTCTGATCTGTTTTTTCCGGTGATATTAAGTAATATTAAGTTTGTTTTATTATTTTTAATAATCCTTTGGTACTCAGGTTATTATTTTCCTTAGTTTCAGATGCGAACCATGTCATCTCGCTGACGGACTCATCACCTTTCGTTTTGACAAAGAAAGTTAATAATTATTCATTAAAACAATAGAAAAATATATTTTTTATACATTTTCAAATTAAAATTTTAATGTCATACAAGCAAATCGAATCTATCGATAGAACTGCAAACGTCACATAAAGTTCAAAATGTCAAACAAATGGTGCATATTTAGAAGTTTAAGAGGACTTTAAAAATGTCACTACACAGGGCGTTCTATTTAAAATAAAGTATTTGTCCAGGATATATACAAGAACCATGTATATATAAACATAAAACTATAAGTGAATCTGACTAACTTTTGTCTTTGACATTTGATATATGTAGATAAAATATCATATCCATTAGTTTAGTTTTCGCCAGCACAGTATTTCTTTGTTATTTCTTCACGCAATTACAGGACGCTATGTTTACGTTATTTATGTTAACGGACGTGAGACGAAATAAAAAGGAAGCCGATTTGCGGTGGTTCCTGGAGTTCGGGTCTGGTTTTTGATGCGTATCGACAAAAGGTTCAAAGTAGGTCACGACGCTTGACCACGGGCATTAGGTATTAGACGGTTAGTGGTTAGACGAACAAGATATAAAAGATATGGGTAACGCGAAAAGCCGTACCGCTCACTGTTTTTCTTTAAAAATACCATAGACGGGTCATAGACTAATTATTATTCTTCGTATACCAAGTGTCGACGAAGTTATTGTACGAGATACGAATGTCATAACATTAGATAAACAAACCTACATATACTCCATATACCAATACTACCGCATTTGTTTGTAAATAAGTTACAATCGATATTATTATATGCACTGTCCCGTATATATTGGTTCTTTTCTACGAGGCAAAAGCACTTAATTTGCGGTCGTTCGGGATTTCCAAAGGTTATTACTCATAAATTGGATCAACTACTAAGTAATTGGGTTCTTGAATAGTCAAAATCTCCATAATAATGAACGCGAATTCTTAAATCAGGAATGTTTCAATTTATTTGAATAAACGCGGACTTCCTTAAAAATTAAAAAAAAAACAGCGCGGCAGGAAGGTCAAGAACCGAAAGAGTCCCAAACGAAGC